AATGATTAAATGAAGCAATGCTATGTATAATTTTAAAAAATCACAACTCGTTTTGTGATTTCAAAGATGTCATACCTTCGATTATGCCTACGTAGTATGATCCCTCAAGGCAACCGAGTTTAGTCGTCAGTTAGAAGATCGGGTATATTTTATAATGAAACAGATGATGATCTACCTGTCATTGTCGCATAAAGCATAATTAGAAATTACATTTTTGTCCAGTGAATAATCAGACCCTGCTGTTTTTGCTCTATCTTTTTATATAATCACATTTAACTATTTACGAGTTTTAATGAAGGTATTAATTTCATTTTCAATTTTTTTTAGCAGAACGACTAATTATCTACATTCATTTTCTTATTATTCACGATCATCAGTAAGAAACCAACCAAAACTAACCAGATTTGAGATTTTGACTACCACTTTTGACGTTTAGCAGGCGCATTGTGACGTCCATTTGTAGGTTTGTGATTGTTTTTTTTAAATATACTTGGTTTCAAAAGTATTTGGCTTGTTGAATTAACCAATACATTCAGGGATGCTTAATAGCGTTACTAAAATATTTTATTTTGTGAACAATGAAAATCATAATACTTTTAACGAATTTTCTTGCGGTTTACTGGATTACAGCGCGTAAGAAAACTCAGGATTAAAACCGAAAATAAAAAATTATACACGGAAATTGAAAAAATGAATGAATTTGTGGATGTAGCAAAAAAGAGCTTTATATTGTTTTATATTTAAGTTTGAAAATAAAAAGACATGAAAATTTTAAAAGCATCCTTCGTAATCCAATGGAATTAGAGCTCCACAAGATTCTGCCTATTCGATAAATATACAAAAATATTATGGAAAACGTGTCAAAGAATGGATAGATATATTTTCTCAAAAATTATAAATCGTGTTAAATTTTGCGCAGCTTTTGAATTGGCTCTCCGGGGACAAGATGAACTTCGCACTGCGAAACTTCCGAGAACCAGAGGATATTTCGTAGACGAGCATATTTAAGGGCACTTCCAAAGAAATTCAGAAGTTACAGTTACGGTTACAGTGCATCCTTGAAATTTGTCGTGGACAAATAATTAAGGAAATTATTAATTCTCCGTTTTTGGTCAAGTTAAGTCTTTTGCAAGAATTGCAGAACATCTTCAAATTTATTTTACGAGCCGTCACGGCATACATTGCATCACTGCAATTACTTGCATGGAGGTGGAAATTCCACTTAATTTTTGCGAGAGGTGGTTTGGGGCAGAGCCAACTCTGTTTATATTGACTTGATAGTGATATATATTGAATTTTACTGAATATATGGTGTCACAAAACCACCAGTGAACACCAAAATGAACCATTAACATAAAATAAAACAGGTAACTCTCAATCTTTTGATTGTTATGGTTAGATCAATCAATCAATTTTTTACCTGCTTTTACGAGGCCATTGTATCACCGAAACGTACTTCGTGTAGGATAAATGCATGTGCTTCGTCAGCGACTGAGAGCAGGGATATTATAAAGTTGGTCTGGAAATACCATTCGAATAATTTAAGGGGTGATTCTATATGAAAAAATAACATGGGATCAGAAATGCATAGTTTTCAAATACAGGGTGTCGTGGTGTTAAAAAAACTTGCTTTGTTTTCCAGAAAAAAACATTTTATTACATGGCTTTAAATTCTATGCGTTTTTTTGTTAATATCTTTAATAACCGTTATCGAGATTCCTTAAAATTTGGCTGGTTTATTTTGGTCCCTTAAAATGGTATTCCAGAATAATTAAATAAAATTTCATTGATGGCAAGTAGAATAATATGGTTTTGTTATGTACATAAAAAGCAAGATATTCGTCTATAAATAAAAACACGAAAATGAAGCAAGATACGATCAAAATTAAAAATGCAAAAAGTTGCATTTTTAGTTACGTAATTAGAAAAAAAAAGGCAAAAAATTCCGTGGCGAATATTTTTTGTGCACTTCATAATTTTAATGTAATCAATCCTAAATTATCTTCTTGTCACAATAAAAAACACCGAATTTCAACAAAATCGGCCGAAGGATAATTAAGATATTTACAAGAAAACATTTTTTTAAAACTTTCTCACCCCGTATCTTGAAAAATATGCTTCCAAAAAGTTATAGTTGCGTAGGAGTATAGTATTCATCACTTTTATCAACCTTTTTAGACTTTCTAAATGACTTGTGCACAACTAAGGCATCCTGCCAATAAAGTCGTATGTATTTATTACTTTGACCTGTGTATTTCTTGAATACTCTTTTTTGCGATTATAGTGCCATCTACCGATGCAAAAAGAAAACTTCGGATAAAACCTGACGTTTTTACAGCATATAATCCCAATCGGTAATAACAATCGGAGGATTTTCCATTTAATATTTTAAAGTTGTTTCTGACTTCATGTTGGGTGCTATTAAACAGTTTATTTATTCGATTTTGTGTAATTCTCAAGTTATTCCATTGTTTCCATACTTTTGGACACCTGGTTATGATCATTGTAGCCATCTGCTCAACAAATAACAAACAATAAAACAAAAACTGATTGGTACTTTTAAGATGAAAACTTGCTATAAACTTGTGACCCAGAATGCTTCGTTTTCGAAATACAGGGTGTCAATAATGCTGATTTCTAAACGGAAAATAGTGCCCGGGGGCCTTTTCGGATGAGATATTTGAATTTGTCCTTAATTTAGTTTTTTGGTATTTTATTTGAAAAACGTTCTCTTTATTAATAAATATTTTGGTTTGACGTAAACGAAAAAAAAAATTAAAACAATTTTGTCAAATAATTATTTTATTTAACATAAATTATTTCTTAACATTATTAAAAAGGCAAACACTAAATAAAAACGATGATCAAAAGCACAATAATAATAATAATAATAGATAACAAATTATTACCTTAAAAATACTAGGGAAATCTAAAATAGAGAATTCTTTTAGAATAAAACATTGAAAAAAATCAGTCTCATTATTAATTTATAGACCTAGCATGCTTCCGTTATAATACCGAGCTTTGGTGGTCGAGCAAGGGAGTGCGATCATAACTGAGATAGAGTCTTAAAATAAAAAGTTATTGATTGATATACATAAGTGTATGCATTCTCCGCCACGCAATGCAAGTTTAGAAAGAAACAATTTTATAACAAATATGAGATGATAATTCTATAATTGACGTAGGTCGCTGCTAACGGCATAAAAAGTTGGTGTCAATTAGAAAAGGTAGCAAAATAGGTCGATATGGTTTTTGAAACGCGAAGGTCACTATGATTTTGAAGTGTTAAACTATAGTTGCTTTGGTTATGATCGTCGAAAATTGCTATGCTTTTTGAAAAGCCAGAGTCGCTATAGTTTTGAAATGTTAAACGAGGTTCGCTATAGTTTTGAAGTGTTAAGCGAAAGTGGCTATGATTTTAAAAAGGTTATGCGAAAGTCGTCACAACTTTGAAATGGTTAGGCTAAAGTTCCCATAATCTTGACAAGGTTAGGCGAAATGGTCTCGTGATCATTTTGAAAATGTTAAGGCCTAAGTCGCTGCAATTGATTAAAAATGTTTTTTTTTCTACTCCCTTCTGTAAAATACTTAATTATTCACCGATATAGCGTGCGGGAAGTATTACTTTACCACGTGAGTCCCATGGGTCCGAGCTACTTTTTCTGTATATTACCGCATGGTTTTTGAATCAATCGGATGTTTTGGGAGATTTTACCACACGGCTTGAATTTTGACGTTTGTCAATTCTAACGGTTACGTCAGTGAATGTATTCGTGTTGTTTTGCATGTACCCAAAAACTAACGGTCGTAGAACTATAGTATAGTATGCAACACGTTTGGTAATTTTTTTAAGTCACTCGTTTATTAAACACTCGCTCCGCTCCTGCCACTTTACCACACTTGTTGCATAATTATTGTTTTGTAACCTGCAGATAATTAGAAACATCGTTAATAAATCTCTGTGGCTGCTATGGGTTACGCACTACATCGCTCTTTAGAGTCATAGTTCACAAGATAAGGGAACATGCAATTCATCACCGATGATATGTCATCTAAGGAAAGAATATGATTGAAAAAAATATGATTGCGTGCTGTAGTGAATTAAGTGTGAAGTTCCCCATGTTCTCGCAGACATAAAAAAAATTCTTCACGATAATCTAAGACCACATAAAATGTAAATTAAGTTATGACAAGACTGGGGCGGAGCAGAACGTGTGATCCGCTCTCAGTGCGGGCTATTGAAGATGAACCACGACACGGAAGGGGGACCCCATGCGTTCACATCGTCGGTTGACAGTGAGAATGATCAGAATTTGACGCACAGATTTTGAGCAATGAATAGGGGATGAGACAAATCTGCGTAACAATGGTTCCAAAAAACTTTTCACCAGACCAACGGACCAACGGACTTTTTGGATTCGGATTTAATGACAAAATCTCTTAGGCCAAAAAAGAAATGAGGAAGTCGAAGGTCAAATTCGATACCCACGTAATCTACCTCCAGCCAATACATTTACCTAGCGAAATTTCGAAAAGGGTCATTCGTGTCAGAAAAAACATTCAGAACAACTGAGTTGGTTCCTTAACTTTCTAATTCCTCTAACTTGAGTTTTTATGACTTTTTTCTCTAGCAAAAGTTGAAAAATCACCTTAAGCACTTTGGGGCAGTCGAAAACATTCAAACGACTGAAACTGAGCAGCTGAAAGCTATTTCATTATATGACTTCGGTGGTCGAGCAAGGGAGTACGATCATAACTGAGATTATTCTGGCTGACCCAGTTGGAATCTAGATAAGACAATTATTTGCGAGTATTATTATGTTCAATATACGTAATAGTGTGTTGCATTTTTATTATCATTCGTTAAGGTACGGTGGTAGAGGGCGTCCCTTTCGTGTGAATTCATATTCGACCGGACTAAGACCGACGAGCGCGTGGAAAACGCGATATCCGAGACCTCATTTTTGTTTATTTTTGTCGGGCAGTCGACCCGTTACTTTTCGCAACGTTACCGCACGCCAGTGGTTCCGCGCGGTACTCGATCTCCAACGGAACCGCTACGAATTTACTCAATTAAATCGGACAATTGTTTCGGTGGCTTCGATCGTCTATTAATAAAACGATGAAGTCACGCCCGACTCTGTCGTCCTATTTATCCCGCTGACGAATCCCGTCGCGTATGTATAATAAACTTTTACGACAATTTCCCGTACGCATCCAAAGCCTACCGCGACCTGCGATACCCAGATGTGCCGATAACGCGGTTTTATCTTTAACGCCGCGATTTTTTTTTTGGTCATTGAATCGTAGTGAGCGACGGGAAACGCACGTGTGTGTTGCTGAGGTCGTACGGAATGTTGGTGGTGTTGTGGCTCGCGATCTGGGCAGCGGTACTGCCCGTCGACGGAGTCGAGGTCGACCTCACGTACATCTTGAAGAGGGAGAAAAGCAAAGTGCGGCCGAGTTGTATAGCGGAGGGGTTGGAGAGGTACGACGCGGTCGGGTGGGTGTACCCGATGCCAGCCGACGGTACCGGAATACCTAATATTAGTGAGTACGATGCATACGACTACCTCATCGCAGGTGCTGTGGTTCGGTAGCGTCGCACGCGTTATTTCTAAAATTCATTTGGTAAATTATAGAACGAGACGAGCACATTGACTGTCGTTTGTTTTCGCTTAATGGAGGTATGGTCTATGTCAAAGTATATCGTCGTGGTTTTAGACGGCAATTCTCGAAATAACCTGCCTTAACTTAAGATCAGAAATGAATTAAAATAACCGTTACAGTAAAAAATACTATCAAATATTAACTTCCAAAGTCGCAAGACAAAATAGATATTTCGATACCTACAACTTTTTACTTTTAACGATTTTTTCATTTAAATTTTTAATGTTATTTATTGATTTATTTTTAAAATATCAACATAGATCACTAAAGAAGATCTCCTTTCGATCTGCTTAAGATGAATCCATGTTTAAAACAAAAGGTAGTTTGTTATACAAACGTTGGGTCAAAAGCAGGCAGATATCGTGCTACTAATATTAAATACCTATATCATTTTTCTTGAGTAAATTTAAAGAAAAACTTAGGCAATGACAAATATTCCGAGCGGTTTTAAAAACATTTATTATACAAAAAGCTAAATAAAATTTTATTTAGAATAGCCGATACAAAGGCAGGAATAATTAAGAGCGTTTTACAATGTGGCTTTTGATGCGATGTCAGCGAGGTGTTATCTTCGCTTAGCTTTGGGCTTCGTCTCCTGTTCGGGGCATATAACTAGGTAGACCGATTTTCTGCAATTTTTTCATAAAAGTCTTTCGCATGAAAAATAAAATGTAAATCATTGCATGTCGAAAAATTTTTTATTTTAGAACAGACAACAAGTCTACTAGGATTTTTTTATCTCGTTATGCATTGCATTCAATCGTATTTTCCACTCAATAAAACATAGAATAAAGAAATATATATATATATATATATATATATATATATATATATATATATATATATATATATATATATATATATATATATATATATATATATATATATATATATATATATATATATATATATATATATATATATATATATATATATATATATATATATATATATATATATATATATATATATATATATATATATATATATATATATATATATATATATATATATATATATATATATATATATATATATATATATATATATATATATATATATATATATATATATATATATATATATATATATATATATATATATATATATATATATATATATATATATATATATATATATATATATATATATATATATATATATATATATATTTTATGTCATTCCATACATTTTTCCTTAAATTTAGTTAAGAAGTATGATACGGGCAGCCTAATTCAATCCCCTCCACTTATTTGTGTCTGTATTAATTTTTCAATGAAACTTCCACAGGCTAATTTATCGAACTTCGATCCTTCTATGTGAACAAGAAATGAACCGCCCCATAAAAATAGTTTGATATTGCCTTTAGAAACTGGTCCGCCATATGACGCACTTACAAAACTTCTGGATTCCCCCTGCTATTCTTGAATCGAACTTGCTGACGTTTCGCCCATCATCCTGGTGGCTTCTTCAGAGCTTAACTGAAACTCTTTCAGGATGACTGGCGAAACGTCCGAAAATTCGAACATCCGACGCATGAGGAATCCAGAAGTTTTGTAAGTAGTAAGTGTGCGTATTATTGATAAGGTACGTCTCTCCTTCATCAATCGGACTTATCGAATATCTGTTAAATTGAATCTTTGTTTCGTTTTATCTTAAAGTACATGTATACATAATTCACGTGATTGTTTTATTTTTCCGAATAACGGTAAATTTGAAAAAAAAAACAATCAACACGTTCTTGCTATATGGGTACACCTGCACCCGGAATATCTGTTAATTTTATTGGTATCTACTTATCGCATTTAGATTTGTCTGGTCCAGTCCTCAAATATGCTACTTCAACCATTTTAATTTGTTGTTCTAATGTACCCAATGCATGATGTAAATTCATCGCGGTGAATATGTAGGCAAAGAATATTTCAAAGTATATCGCCATTTTGAAGGAGCCCAAAAAGTAATTACTTCCTTGATACCTATTTTCCATGAGTAATCCGATTTAGGCAATAGCCGAGATATACCGATAATACAGGAACTTGTGAAGCAACTGTGATTTTTTTTAAGCAGAACCATTCAACATGCGCATTAGTGAAATTTAAAATCTTGCTTTTAAAAATTTCATCAAGTACTAACATTCAAGAATATTTGTTACAAAATGATATTTATTTTGAATCCAGTCATAAGAAAGAGCTACTTTTGGAAGTGTTAAATTCTCTTTAATTATTAATTTCTAGTTAATTATTAGCTTAACAGATGGAGCATACTCTTTTACTTACGTCTTCATGTATAAGGATATTTTTAATAATTTTATTAAATGTTATTTAATTAACTAACTTAATAATTATTACAAAAACAAAACATTTTGTAATTCGTGTAATGAAAGAATTCTCTTATTTTATAAAATGAGTTTTTGATTGATTGATTTGAACTCATTAACCGCATGCTGAATTTTATGCCAAAGTTCTTCACAACTGTTTATGACGTCTTCATAAACCACTGATTTAATATAGTCCCATAAACAAGAAGCGGACTTCTTCTGCCATTCCATTTATGTAAGTCTAAATTAAGATAATTTCTTACAATTAGCCCAAAATTAAAATGTAAAAACGTCGCTGCATCAAGATTAGGGGATAATTCAAATGGTCCTAGTACATAATTATTAAATGATTGTGTGCCCACACGTTTTATCTTGAATTCGTGCTGGAAATGTCTTTACCATATCAAATATTTTTTATTTCCACGAATGTCTGCTATGCAATAAAATTGCTTCTATGGATAAAAGTAGCTATTGTGCAAGTGCGGTAAACGGCATTTGAGTGTTTAATAAACGAGTGACTTGAAAAGTTTTTGAGTACGTTTTCGCAAAACAACACGAATACATTCACTGACGATCATCAGAATTGACAAACATCAAAATTCAAGCCGTGCGGTAATATCTCCTAAAACATCTGATTCCTCCCAAACCCGTGCGGCAATATCCCAGAAATGCCCGAAGTGGCTCTGATCCATGGGACAAGAAACTCACGGGGTAAGGTGACGCTTCCCGCAAGCTAGATCGGTGTATAATTAGGTATTGTACAGAAGGGAGTAGAAAAATAATATTTTGTTAACAAAACTAGATCTTCATTTGGCTGGTTTTGAACAACGGTAGAAAAATAAGTGGTGTGAAATTCTGGTTTTGTTGTTCTAAATACTGACGCAGAACTTACTCTAGTAGCAGCACTCAACCGATGTTTGTGGATCATCAGCTACACCTACTAGGATTTCGTCTTATTGATCTAGTGCAATATTTCTTAGATATACTCTATTGTACTCTTTTTGAGGAATAGATCCTGAAACTCCTAAAGTGCAGCACCACCATTATAATTGGTATAAATACGCACTATATCTCTCAATTTGTCGATTTGAAAACCTATTATGCCTGTACATTTGTAACAGTAATTGAGGAATGAAAAATAAACACAAACAATAACTTTTAAATATCACATATCTGTCAAAATTATAAGGTACTATGCCTCCTATGATTTCAATTATTTACTGTACAATAACTGATCAAAGCCTACTTTAATTTTATAAAACATTAATGCGCGCAAAAAATTGCTTTAATGTTATAAGAGAGAAAACCAACTAAAAAGTAGCATATCTAGTAGTATACTTACTTTTGAAATAAAAATTTCTTGGAATAAATTACTAATTTCCGTTCCAATACAAAGTACTTCGCGTTGGCAAAAATCGTATTGGATTGCATTGCTAGTTAAAAATGTGAATATCATGAAAACGGCTTAAAATAGAGATATTGAATAATACCTTTTCTTATTTAAATAATTACAGAAAATGATTGAATGATCCTGTCTTATCACAAATTAAATTTTTGAATATAAAAAAATATGATGGTATTTTTGCAAAAAATTATGTGCTGTTGGCCCCATCTACAAGTTATCGCAAAACTGTTTGTCATCCCCGCAAACTCCCACATGCGAATTTTTGTGCCCATAATTTTTAAATTATAAATTTAAGCAATAAAAAAATATTTTCTTATTATATTGACTTCAGGATGGTGGTTTATTTAACAACAAGAATATGCTGCTATTCTATGCTCCCATCGTTTTGAAACACCCTGTATCTAATATTCAGTGTCATCATATTTTCTATTAGTACTGATGTGATTTTATTATATCTAAATAAGCATAATACAATATTTAATCTTTATATTTTTGAAACATTTTAAAAGTCCGTCTCAGATGCTCTATCCTACAATACCGACTGGTCAGGTGTTTATTTCATTGCCATCGGCAGGTTATTTCGATAATAGCCTTCAAGAACCCAGACGATATACTTAGAAACAAAGTATAAAATGATACTAAAATTGGCAAGGATACCTACCATTGACATTACTTAGGATCTGGCGCGCATTTGTAGGCACTTGTTTTCGCTTCCAATGGACGATCAGATCTATTGTCGTAGCTTATTGCTCTAAGATTACTATATTGGAATATTCGAATTAAGTAGTTACATAAGCGTAGCACAATAATTTATTATTTTCTTTTTTAATTCTACGTTAACAATAAAGTTGATGTCTATTTTTAATTCCAGTAGAGGAATATTTCGAGTAACCAAGAATCGGAATCTATACAACTAAAACAACAAAGTTACTCCAGCATCATCTTTTTTTAGCCACAAAATTCGTACCTGCGCTGCACAATGACTTCAACTGCAAATTTTCGAAAAACGACTTGTGTAACATTAGGTGGTCCATCAAAGATTGGTACATAGACGAGAGCTCCCCTAGAACTAGACAGTTTATTGGCGACTTAAGGTGGGAAGGTAAGTATCGCACGCGCATCACAGTTCTTTAAAAAATTGAAAGAAAATGATTAAAGCCCCTTTTCGCGATGAGGGTCGAGACCTAGAATAAACACCATACAGTTGCTCCACATTTCCCCCACTCCAAAATATTCGACCGCATCATTTTCTAGCTTTGATGTTTATTCTGGGGCCGAAAATTCTAGCGGTCTTCCTGATAGGCGGTATCTATGATCACGCTCCAATTCCTGTATACCTAAACTTTTGCTTTACTTTTAGAGATTTGCCCTACTTTATCGCAATTCTAGGCAAATAAGAAGTGAATTAAAACTCTCCCACTGTAAATATGTTTTCAAGATCATAATAATTTTTGCGTGGTTTGAATTTTATATATTTTAAGTTACAGAAATATAAAATATGATTTTAAATAAGCTAAAGTAAACTAAACATTTGTTGGCCTGCGGTTGAAGCTATACTACAAACTGAGACTTCCTCTGTATATATAGGATAATATAAATACAAATAAAAATTTAAAAGTAAATATATTAGCCTTTTTTAAACATGTTTATTTTTTTATTTGATTTTGATTCATAGGATAGACTATTCGAGAGTATACCATCGCTGCATATTCTAGAAATATCTTCACAAATGCACAAATTGTTGTCAGGTCTATCCAAAATCAGTTAAAAAAAAATAACGCATCAAATTGTTGGCTCTGTATATATAAAATTAGATAAAAACATTGATTTATTCTTTAAAACTGAATTTAACTTTTTTTTCAAATATTTGTAGGCTCCAAGATATGGCGAATATTGGAATTAAACTATTCAATAAAAAATAGTTTTAAATTATTTAAAAATTGTCAAATCAATCTTCAGGCCAATACACAAAAGTGGAAGGCTGAAGTGTTGGTAGTAAATAGACCAGATGCTTTTCAGATTTGCCTACCTTGTTCGTTTCGAATTCCTCCAAAGAGTTCGAGCACAGATTTCATGTCGAAAAGGCCGCCCGAATCGGATTTTCCGTCCGGGCTTCCGGAAAAATCGAAATTTTTCTGTGCTCAGGCTGGAATCCTCGCAATTATCCGTGTTACTATTTCGCCGTGACCGAGAGGGAAATATTCCTCTACAAATACAGCACCCTGCCCAAAACCATAGAGGAGCCGCATCCGAGCACAAGCCTGGACTCTTTCAAGGTTGCCTAAGTAACTTTTAGCATAGTCATTATATTCCTTTTGTTAACTGTCTCATTATTCGGGCCCTGTCGCAGTGAAGACGTTGCTCTTGAAAAGTTTTTTGTGATTGCCTGATTTTCCTTGATATGACTCTTAATTTGGTATTGGAACAACCCAGGCGACTTCCAGTTCTGGATTTTTGAGTTACAGATCCAGTTGTTTTGTATCATATAATATTATTTCGAACTGTACACCTCGATTTGTTACTCTCAGTGACTGGGGAAACATTTTAGAATTTTAACTGCAAGTTAATGATCACTTTTCTTATTTCTTTAGAAAAAGCTTCGCCGCGAGCCTTTTTTAATAGTTAACAACAATATCAATGCGCTGAAAGTTGATTTAAGTGTCAACCATTTGTTTTGCAAAACCTACCTTATTATGCCATACATCCATGATTTTGCGAAGAAGAGAATTTAGACAGCCCTTTAAAAATAGCTGCGGCACATTTAAAGAAACCAAAAATATTATATTTCAAATAAAATTTTAATTTGCCCTCGAATAAATTCATTTGTTACGGCGTAGGGGCACTTCATTGAGACAGGGCTCGTAGTGTAATGGTGTTATACGTGCTCCGTCCTAGTTTTATTGTGAGCCTCTGCTTTGATTCTTTCATTTCTCACTCAATTCAATTTTCCTGTCTAAGACCCTATGCTAGCGCGTTGCGCAAAAATCATACATTAAGACTTAAATTCAATTTGCAAAATTTTGGAAACCTATGATGAAATTTTCGATTTTAATTTTATGATAATTAATTTGAAAAGTTATAGAAATTAAAAAAAAAAGTTTCATCGGTACTTTTTAAATTAATTGTTTTTTGTTTGTCGGGTTTCAGTTTTGAATAGCCTATAATGTTAGGTTTTTAACGATGCTTTAGTAGCTTAAGATCAAAAAATGTTTCACGTAAACATTACAAAAAACTCTTTATGCCAGTATGAACTTTTTGTGTATAAGATAAGATAAAACTATATTACTAAGATAAAAACGATTGAAAATATGTCTGGACAGATAATCTGAAAGAGGACAACCCCATCGAACTTTGTTCAGCTTACTGGATAAAAATCTTTCGCAATCAGGTTTGCTTTAAAACTAAAAAATTCAGAAAAAAGTGAGGTAAAATTTGAAGTACTTTATTATTTTCTACACAAATATGAGTCCTTGTACGAGTACGAGCAAATTGACACACAATTTCTTCATAAATGCGTTAATAAAAATGGTCAGGATTTGTCTTATTATACATTATGTCATATAAATGCTGTTGGACTCTTTTGGGATTTTACAAGAAAGATAACTTTATTAACTGATAAGAACCCTCTTTTTGCAAAATCTTAAATTTTAGAAAATAGCCTTCTGATTGTCTTTACAAACCTCTATCGAGACCTCTGCTACTGAAAATGGATAACCCGATTAAAGAAATCTTAATTATCTTATAAGTGGTGGAGGGTGCTTAGAGAGAGTTTAAAAAAACTACGAATGCTATGAACGGGGTAACCCGTTTATTATAAAATAATTTTGAAAAAACTTTAAGAAAAAAGTTGTTTAGATTCTATTACAATTTTAAAATATTTCAAATTTCTTATTTTAAATAACTTTTGTCTATAAGTTTCTTTGATATTTAATATATTTGATAAACTGGCCACCCTGGACATATTCTGGATCCTTCAATGAAACTTACCCGATTAAAAAAACATCTCAAAATAAGTAAAACGTACATATTTTTCCAGGCATTTTCGAATGTGCTAGCAGACGACGAATGGCGCAACTTTGAAGTTTCTGTCGACGAAGGGGGCACAGTCAGTCTCGTAGATAAAAATCTTAACAGGGCTTTGATTAAGTACAACGATTCGGAACCTCTTCAGGCGATGTACTTTTTGATGCGAAGCCAGGAACCCAGTCTCTGGAAAATAAGCGAAAGTAAGACCGATTTTGTTGTTTTTGTTGTTTTTTTTTTAGGTTTAGGAATACTTTAAAAAGTCCTGACTCTTCCGTAAAATATTTAATAAAGTGTACAGGGTGTCGAGTTTTCGACAAGTTATCAGGTTGCGGAATCATAAGAATGTCCTACGAAGCCATTGATGCATTAGCATAACGTTCCTGTAGTTTACGTGTTTTTGTTACACAGGGCCAAATTGAACATTTGAATAAGATTCCTATCTCAGTTGCTCATTTAGTCAAGTAAGCGTATAATTTTATAAATGGAACACCGATTTCGGTCTAATTTCATTTTATGCACGCTTTTCATATGTAAACTATTAAAACGAGTCATAATGATATATTAGGTATGTGGGTCTTTTAGTTTGTATAAGGGCGCGTGAAAAAAGTGGTGCAAGTCAGATTTTAGATAGGTAGATTGATATTCATTCATTCATCTGATCGCAACCAATGTAACTTTGATGCAGCTCGCGCGGTTATGACATTTTCATACAGAAGGAAATGATTTTACGCACATGCCCCTAAACTTTATACACTAACCTTTACTTTGAGCGATTTTCTATCTAAACGTCGATCTCCCCGTCGTTCTGAACCCGTTTTTTTCCTGAAAATTTAATCTAGACTTGAAAGCCGCAAGTTCTTATTGGTTGAAAGCAAGATTTGACTGACTGACTTGAAAAGTGTCTGTATTATCAGTAAGCAATCTATGTATGTAGTGTTAAAGCACTTCACCGGTTTATGTGATATTTTGGTTCAATTTTTAAATCCAGATTCTTTAGTAAATAGCGCTTATACCATAAAAGTCCTGTTATAGATAGATAGATAATCGTCTATTTGTTCAAATTGTGACAATAAAAAAAAACAAAAAAAACATAGCCCGATTAAATGGAACATAATCTGTCTTGAAAGTCTTGAAAAAAGAAAAAAACACAGCAATTCAATTGATCGTTATTACAAAAAAAAATCAATGTATAGCAGGTCTTTTGCAAAATATAATTATTAATTGTTCTTTTTGCTTTTTTCTGAGGCATGTAAAAAATGATTTCCGAAAAACTAAATATAGGTGAAGTTAAATCTCTCGGGCGATTTATACCTACTTACTTAATCAAGCAACAATCTTTGTTTTTAAACACTAACAACAAGGAATCTAGTGCATACATGCCAACAAATTTTCCACAAAAACTATCGCGATAGCTCATTCCAAAAATACTACGCAAACACTTTTTTTTGTAGAAGCAAAATCCAGCCAAAATCGAAATGGTGACCCTAAAACAGAAGTTCATATCTAAATCGAGATTGTATAAAGCGATGGCAAGCCATCAGTGTAGCACTACTTTTCACATCCTTAGAAATTACTCTCATTGCACAGCAGAATTTTGCTAAGCTTATTACCACATTTTATATTTGGAAATGGTGCCTCCATTCAAACATTTGATCTACTTTAAGTTGAAAGAATAAATTTTGTTGTAATGAGGCATATTTAAAAGAAGATCACGCCATCAACCTTTATTACATGTGCCTGTATTTTATCATCCTCACTCAAAATAAGTTATATCATCTTTATACAATACAGTACCAGTTATGCTACACAGTTCATTTGTGTCAATACACAACAGTCAGTCAGTCAGTCAGAATAGTCAGTCTTTACCATCTTTAATTACAATAAATTGTAAAGAACTTCCTCACACACCCACCTTTTCTAACTTTAATGAAATCATCTTATGATTTACATTGTCGAAAGCTTTTGACAACCTCAAACAAGTGGCAAAAGTATACTTCTTTTTATTAGTATGCGGACACGTTATTCAATCAAAAATCAAAAAAGAACTGTTATTAGTACAATAGATAAAATAGGAAGTGTCGAAAAGGGCAAACTTGTTCAGAATTTAACACCCTATACATTTTTTCCTGATATACCGTAATAATTTAAAGATGAAAGCAATTTTCCCAGTGGCGTTCTCTGAACCGTTAACTCTTCCGGTTTAGACCAGTTTATGTATACAAAAACCGCCCAGATCTCTCGTATGGGTCCTCAACTTTTCACCACGTACAAAGATCTCTGCGTTTCTGTGTTGGTATCGACGTGTGACCGCTGTGCGCTGACTTTCTTTCGGCTGAACGGCACGAGTAAAAAGATCCTCAACAGAGTTGCTCCCACGGTAAATCTTCCATATTTTATTAACGTAATCAATATGCAGCTGGGTTGCAGGACGAGCGTTGGATCGAAATTAAGCTGAAGGAAGAAAAAATAGACACCGAAAAGATTAACATTTTTGTCCAGACCCATTTCGACGACGAAAAGTTGGAGCGGGCCGAGGGATTTTGGGCGATTGACAACGTGAGAGTATGCAACGAAAACGGTACGTTATTCACTAAAAGCGTTCATTGAAAGTTTCATTAATAAATAAATAAACATTTTTGGGTTAAATAGGCTCACACTGGTCATTTCTTTCGATTACAAAAAACGCTTTAATATGCAGGAAAAGAACAATTCATCTATCTTCAAAACGTTTTTATAATATTACTTAAGAAACAATTCTACTTATTTTAGTGCAATTTTCCAAATTAATTTTCTGCATTAAAAGGCATTTTCAGGAGCATAACGCGTTTTTTTTTTAAATTTTTACCAGTGCCTGCCCGCGATTTGTTTCGTATATTTTTGAAGAAAAAATTTGTCGATATTTTTTCTCAACAGTCACTGGCCATATTGGTTGTTGAGAAGACAAGATGCGCGTATTAATTTTTTTGTAGTCGCTAAAACAATTCCAATATTGTCAGCTTGTCCAGGGGATTATATATATCTAGCATCTATATGGGATAAACTGTATCTAAATAATTTCCAATAAATACACCAAAATCCTGCCCATACATTCAGAAAATAAAATAAAATCGCAATATTAAATTAACACACACACAAAAATTATTGGTCAGTACAGCGAAATGGGCGGCACTTTTAATTTAATGTCATTCTGTACTTGAAATACTTTTACATACAAGGAAGTATTTTTCTATCATATTTATAACAGGATTTATATCCCCTATCCTCACAAAAATTAACAAAATATATATATATGTATAAGATTTTTTTTTAGTTTTTCTTTTTGTTCTAATATATTTTTCTTTCTCTGTCTATATTATCTCATTGTATAGATGCAAATTGAAGTAGGTTTTGTCAAGTTTTTGATTAATCCGAGCAGTATGTAGCGGTCTATTTTGACCATTGTCACCTTAAAAAATTTAATTGAAACACTTTATGTTAATAAATAATAATGTTAATAAATAAAATAAAAAGTAATCATATTTTTAATTTTTCCATTTTTTTTTTACATTAAGAAAGTACATTATGATAAATTTTATTACTCCAGAATTCAGAAATTCTTGTAAATTGTAGGTTCAAATTTGCTACTCGATCAGATAAGAGCCCTTGCATTTCACAACTGGCAACTGATGCTTACGACAAATGTCTCAAAAATAAAGCGCAAAACATTTATAGTTTCGATAGAAACATAAGTCCGTTCCCTTTAAATCTGAGTAATAGAAAGTAGAGAAATTTAATCCGTATTACCTGCGATAATTTTGAAATAAATAAAAAAAATCCACTTGAGTGAAGCTTTGATTCAAGTTGTCGACTTTTAAAAAAACTCGCTAACCAAGGTAATAACTCGTATTTTTTTAGTTTTGTTTAAAATTTTTGTAATATGCAATGAAGTTCAGCCCACTAAACGCGAGATTTTTTAACGAAAATACTTATAGCCAAAACGCATTTAGATTCGAATGCTAATATGCTTCAGAAAAAATTTTGATTTTGAATTTTTTTTAGGAGAAAGTCTAAAAGTATACACTATCAGCTTCAACAATGACAGTTGACTTTGGAGTTTTGGCTTTAGTTTCTTTTTGTGTCAGTTATACACCTAACATTTGTCTTTTGATTGATCTTCGTGCTTTCGTAACTTTGTTATTTGTAATGTTTGAGATCTCACATTAAAGATAACAAACTTTGGTTTACAGGTATTGTGGATATTTTTCTAGAATGAATCTCAAATTGCCCAATCTTGGTCATGGTATTTTATTTGGCATGATGATTGTTGGTGGAGTTAAACAATTTATCCCAGATATATTTCTTGATCGACTTGTCCTATTTTTTCTGGCCCTATTCTGATCGTGATGTTGGTTGCGATTATAGCTTTGCTGTAGTTCATATTGGGACCTAGATTTTTAGTAAATTCTTTTAGCATTTCCGGCAGTTCTTTTCCATTAGTTATCAAGGCGATACCATCCGCCTATCTTAAGTTGTGCTGTCCACATCCTTTTCTTCCCACCATAGTTATTTAGAAACAGATTTTTGTTAAAAAAATTGGATTTGTTTGTGGTTGTTGGTTTGTAATTATAAAGGTTGTTGTTGCTTCTCTATATATGCTTAAGAGATCTGTGCATCACAGCCGCAAGTATATTTGTTAGCTCGTTCGATCAAAATGTTCGTGGTTAATACCTGGTCATTTACACTCTTAGCTAAGTAAATATAGGAAGAAAAAAGATATAAAATATAAAGATAAAATTGAACTAATATTATTAGTGTGGTGCCTAGGGTACGAACTAATATAAACTCTTAAAGAACGCTTTACCTGAAGAATCCTGTATTATTTATTACTAAATATTTCCGGGCTTTTGAGCCGTGGTCCCGAGAATAAACTCGACGTTTCGTCTACAACTGCGGTAGACATTTTCAAGAGCGGCGATGCGGTAACGGTCGAAGTGTTCTTCCGTACTGCTCTCCGATGACTGGTTGGTTGACTGGAAGATCTGCCGTATTTAAGCGCGCTGTAGTGGGATTAGCGAACCCAAGTACCTACGTAAAGAGATTAATCACTTGACCGATTCCCTGAAAAATAACGGATATACCACCTCTGAAATACAAAAAGCTATGAAAAATAGAAGATCTAAGACAAGAGATACGACAAAGGAACCTCAAGGGAATGTATCATTTCCTTTTATTAAGAACGTCACAGACAGGATCGGTAAACATTTAGAACGACACAACGTTCGGGTCATCTTTAAACCAACGACTACAATCAGACAAAGCCTCAGGTCTGCCAAGGATACAAGGGACGCCTTTTCTTCACCAGGGATATACCGCATTCCGTGTTCCTGTGGCTCGGTATATATAGGTACCACAAAGAGAAGCATTGAAACTAGGCTAAAGGAACATAAAAGGAACTGCCGGCTTGGACACACGGAAAAATCAGCAGTGGCAGAACATGCTTTTTACAAAGGTGACCATCTTATCATGTTCAAAGACACGCAGGTACTGGACAAAACACCACATTTTTATCCACGTCTTATCAGAGAAGCTATTGAAATTCAAAAACATCAGAATAATTTCAATAGAAAAGAAGAAGGTCTCAATATCAGTAAAACATGGACTCAGGTCATCAACAAAACAACGTGTTTACACAGACAAGCTCAACCCAAGCCCGCCACCGAGGTCACGCCCACTACAGCGCGCTTAAATACGGCAGATCTTCCAGTCAACCAACCAGTCATCGGAGAGCAGTACGGAAGAACACTTCGACCGTTACCGCATCGCCGCTCTTGAAAATGTCTACCGCAGTTGTAGACGAAACGTCGAGTTTAATCTCGGGACCACGGCTCAAAAGCTCGGAAATATTTAGTAATGTAGTTTCTGGCCGTGACAGCATAACATCCTGTATTATTTGTTCGCCAATATCTGCGAATTTATTGGGTCATTCCAGAGGTGAAGGTCTCATTTCTAAAAGTCAACCAGGACTTCGAAGAAGACGACTTGTCGGTGGATACCATTTCCTGCCAGATGGTGAGCAAACCCAATTGGAGACCGGTGAGGCTTGACTATGACGAAATAAAAGGTAGATTACAGGACGTTTCGCCCAGTACGATGATATTATACGTGGTTTTATTTAGAGTTTCCTCCTGTGAAGACCGTAAGTAACCAATCGACCATTACATTGTCCTGGCAGCAGGAAGACCCAGACAATCTTATCAGCTACTTTATATTTTATCAGGTAAGCGCGCAGCGATGTCGATCAAAGAGGTTTACAGGTTGGAATTTTTAGGGCAACGATATCTGCCGTTCATCGGAGACCACCAACTCCGAACGGGTGAAATCGAGTGGTTTTCTTGTGACGAAGAATAACCAATTTACCGTACGCGATCTCGTACCTTTTACTGCGTATAATATCACCATTTCATCGGTATTGCACGAAAATGACAGACAATTGGTGGTGTCGACTATACAGACAGGTAATAGAACAAATCGCCTATACTCGAAGAGACCTGATTTTGTAAAATTATAACGATTCAAACCCAAAGCCAAGGTCTCAAAATTTTTTTTGAGTCCTTGGTTTTGGTTTTCACTGAATCTTTACAGTTTTATGAAGTATTAGGTAAGTATGTTTTTATTCATGCCCGCAATTTAAGTTTTACATTGTTCGCGAGGCAGCCCAAGACGCATCAGACAATCTTCCGAAATGAAATTGACCGCTGAAGCGGAGTCAAGCAAAACACGAATTGAGACAAATTCTCAAAAATTCTTAATGTGAATCTGTAGAAAAAATTGACACGGCATCGGAAGATGAAAGTAACCATTGTTCGACTAATTTTGAACTTTATTTTGTGTGTCCGTTGGCGATGCAAGTTGTATACCCGAAGTACTATTACCTTTTGACAAGTGTAGCAGATCATTGTGGCGATAGCCGCACCAAAAAATCTGTGACACACTACAATCTTTAATGACATGTGCTCCAAAAGTAATCAGACAGAAATGTTTGCCTTTTATAAAATTAAATCTGGCATAATGAGTTTTCTCCAGAAATTTACTGCAAGATGCTAAAGAATGTTCTGCCCTATATAGCGAATAAACAGCCTGCCAGCTATGAAACCACCAGGTGTTGATTGTGATTTCTTAAACGATGTGCGCGCATCTTTATTTGGATATGAAGTTTTGAAATTATTCTTAAAAAACTTGCATAGCCCGAAGCTGCGCATCCACTACTACTATCGCTGGTTTTATTAGCAAGTTCAAATCTATCTATTGCACGTGTTGTTTGGAATTTTGTACAAAAGAAAATGAAAATTTACGAAATCCTATTGATCAACTGGGTATTTCTGAGTGCCTCCAAACTTTCGGAAAATGTATTCAAGAGTTTGCTCAACTCGTAAATATTATCACTTTTCAACGGAGGAAAAAATTAAATTTCATTCCAAAAATTTGTAGCAATTAGTCTGTGATTTTCATATTTCTTAACCAGTGCATTTTACGCAATAGAATAGTTATCGCCTCTAAGAGGAATAGAACGAACCAGAGCTAAAGGCTCACCTTCCAAATACCTAAATTTATTGATATCGGCTATCTCGATATCACGGTGAATACTAAACTCTTTATAGTTACCCGAAAAAACCTTTACTCGTAAAGGCTCCAGCTCGATAATACTAGTAGTACTATTAGTACCAACAAGGTCGAAATAAATCGCTTTGAATCCATGAAACATCTCTCCTAACTTCATCCTGTTGTAAAAATTCTTGTTCCCCCAAAGCGGAAATTAAAATTAAGATATTGTTATAAAGTTTTTGAAATTTTGTATATTCGTTCAGTATAACTTTATATCAACCTTTGAGTTCATAAATTTGTGTCAACAGATTTCACTTTTACAGCTAAAAAGTATGCCTCTTTAATACTAAACAAGTAGTTCTTTTAACGATATATCTATTGCATTTGTCAGCATTAAGCTGTAGACTCCGGATTTTTGAATGTTTTGTGACATAATTTAATCTTTTTTTTAAGATTTTCCTATGGTGCTTCCAGTTTTAAAATCTAAGGCCACACGGAAACTTCCTTGCTAAGTTCTCCTATGTAATTTATTATTTTAATAACTTTAGGATAAGTGTTCAATATGAAGTAAATATAGTTTAGAGTTATATGAACCTGTTTTTTTTATATAATCTTATTTATCAAGGAGAAGTCGTAACCACTGTTATTGTTACGATATTTAATTCATTTTCATACTTTCTGCAGAAAGTAGTGTGGATAAAATAATGAAAGGCAGATATTTTGTGTGTGTAAGGGTGATCTATCAGGGACGTTCATGTATAATATTTTCTAAATTATACACGCAAATTTTTACAAGTACTGGATGAAGTGAATTTCCCATAATTAATTCTTCTTTGTAAATATAAAATTTATCATTTAATTTAAAGTAATTTTGATCTAAACTATTTGTTAAATCTTGTTTTATGCTCCTCAACTGCGATTGCTTTATGAGATGAACCCCAATATAATTTCAATTTCGATCTAGACGAACCCACGTTCGAAGAGGTACCATTCAATATTAGAGTGCGGCCGCTGGACGCAGCTGTAAACGTCACTTGGGATAAGCCGGGCTGCGCGTCTACGTATGGACGATTGATTTACAATTTGGCCGTCGTAGATCGATCGAACCGTACGCAGAAATCGATCGAGATGCAGACGGACAACTCTTACCTTATTAGAGGCTTGGAAGCGTATACCCCGTACACTCTTACCGTGACGACAGCCAGGAATGCCAGGAATTTGGTCAAAGGCGTCCACTTGTACAACGTTTCGGTTAATTTCACGACACTTCCAGGTGGTAAGCTGCGCGTCACTTATGGTGGATTCATGCAAGCATCCATGTGAAAGTTAATCCATTTAAAACATTGATCAAAATCAAATATAAAGAGGTCGAAAATGGAATTATTCAAGCTATAGAAGAATTACTTGGCAAGTTTTAATTTTTAAATTATTAATGTTAAATTACTGCTACATTAATGTTAATGTATACTTGCGTGGATCTGCTATTAAGCGACATATCACCGCATAGTGCTAATTAAATTGATAATACATTAATATTTCGAACGATGAATAGATATTTACAGTACACAAAAATCCCGCAACAGCCAAATATTTCAATTTTATAATTACAATTTTTTCAAAAAATTTTGTACACCTGAGGTTTTAAGATCCAATAGGTCCAAGTTTATAGTCTTCCTCGTAGAAGTCGGAATTTTCTTATTTAAAATCAAAAGATTCATTTAATTTTTAAATTGCCTGTATCTTAAAAATGAAACAAAAACATATGCGTTTCATTTAAAATGGAATATTCGGATCTCTGAGACAAAAGCTATGAACTTGGCAACATCGTCTATATTATTTCAAAAGTTTTCCGCAACAATTTCTAGAATTGCATTAAAAGCTTTTATCTTGTAACAAAATATTATAAACAATGTTGTAACATGAATAATAAAAAGTAAAAAAATAATGGAATCGATGAAAGGAAACAAGTTATGAAGTAATAATTTGGTGAGAATCTGAGGCAGATGCATGTGATTCTGAATTGCTGATCATACCAATTATATAAGTTTACTGGTTCCTTGGAAAGATTTAGTAAATTTTGATTTTCTGTAAAAAGTTTTTCTTTTTTTTATGATAAAATTATTTAATGCGTTTCTATAAAAGAACAAGTCACATGAAAAATAAAAACAAATAAAAACAAGGAAAGCGAAAAAAATAAATTATTTGTAAAAATTTTATTCTATTTTGGCCAAAGAGGAAAAAACTAGGTGTTTACTGATTAATAAGTACCTTTTCGATTAGTGTGACTATTAGGGGAAACGGATGGTCCTACAAATTTGAAAAAAAAATGAAGTAAATCGATCATCAATAAATCAATGGCCATAAGGTAATTGTTATTTTGAATTTTAAAATTCAGTTTCTACAAAAGTTTGGTGATCGAGGGATGTTCGAATATTTAGTTAAATAGATGTCAATATCTACCAAAAGGCTTAACACATAAGGGATTCTCTTAGGCTTAAAAACAATTTTTCGGAAAAAGAAGAAATGTAAGAAAATTACTTGTTTATATCATTAAATAACCAAATAAGAGCCCAACAACCAAGTGAAAAACGCATCGCAATATATTTGTCCTAACCTAAAATATGAGTAAAAGAACTTAACGCTCAAACAAAAAGTTGTTTTTTGAGAAAAGCTGTTCACTTTACGAATGGGTGTTAATGTCTAATTTTTCGGAATATACTAAGTAAAACTTCAATTTGTAATTTATGATTCTAAATGATATTTAAAATGAAAAAAAGTGCTATTATTTATCTTATTACTTTTTTTACAATGTCTTCAAAGGGCACCAAATTACCTCATAGCTGAAATTACTATCTTTTGACATGCTTAGCCGTTGTTAGTATTACTACCTATTTCATTAAAATTTCTTTATTCAAAAATTAGTTTTAATCACTAACATATTACTTATAGTTTATTATTATTTTTTTTATATATTTTATTATTATTATTAGTAAGTTATTTAAGTAGAAAAGTGTGCAAAACCATTGAAAAAATTACTAAAACATCTACTTCAATAATTAAAAAATATATTCTTTCATGTCGTCATTTGATGCTTGTCAAAGTAATGCCAGTACTGGGTAATTTAAAAAAAAGAACAAAATTTTATTTTCATTTTAAATAATATTTACCATCCTAAATAGAAAATACCATTTTATTTAGTAAATTCTCAATAATTAGACATTAATTGTAAAAACAATCCTTAAAGTGGAAATTTTTCCCAAACTTTTTTAAGCGATAAGTTATTCAAATTTTCTGGTAGGATAAAGACATTAAGATGCGGTCATTGTTTTCTGGAGCCCTTATCTAACGCCAAAAAAAATCATATTCCTTTATTCTAATACCGTATCTCGTTGTCAATACTGGGCGACCCGGTATTTTGAAAATAATGTTTTAATATACATACCTGCAAGTTGTTCGTCCATCTTAAATCGACACCTAGTTTATGTGCAGAAGGACACAGTATCCAATTATGTATTTACAACTAAAAATTTAGAACCGATTTAAGATATGGACCAAGTCGTGTATTTTTGACATAACATAACAAGCAAATAATCCAGTTAAACAAAATTCTTAATAACGTAGAGTAAACAATTTTCTTTTTGAAAGAAACTTCCGCAGGCGACTGTAATACTATTTACAAATCTTCTGGATTCCTCCTGCGTCGGTTGTTGATAAGTCGAACTTGGTGACGTTTCGCCAATCGACCTATTGGCTTCTTCAGAGCTTAACCAAAAGTTGTTCAGTTGAGTTCGATTTATCAACAACCGACACAGAAGATTAGTAAATAATAAACAAATATTGCTTTGACTTGTTGTTTGTGAGTATTTGTATTTGTTTTTTTATTTTCGATAAGTTTTATGTTGTTAATATCGCAGTGTGGATGTATAGTTGCAGACGAAGTGGTCAATCTTGAGGTGTACGCTATCGGCACGAAGGTGGCTTATCTAAGGTACGACTTACCGGAAAGCGCGAGAGGGGTACCCGAAGAGGTTCAGGTGCGGCGTTGCAACGCTTTGTCTTTTGCAAAATGCCGCTCTTCTGTGTCGAAGATCGAGCGGTGTCGTTTATGGAGGAAAAAGTTTTGCGTCGACGTCAATTACCTGATGCCGCATCAGCAGTACGTGTTCAAAGTGAGCGTCAAAAACGTCGACACGAACGCCTTTGGCAAGGAGGCCGAAATTAATGGACACACAGTGGACAGGGGTGAGTTAATCTTTTTCGAACGTTGAGAAAGATCAGAAGGGACACTTTCAATTTTTGCCTTGTTCGAGATCAAGTAATCAACCCAATTTTGAAGTATTAATTTTTTAAATATAAACAACGTTAATAATATATTTTTAATGCACATTACTACATAATAGTATTAAATTTATTAAATTAAATTTTTAAACAAAGTAGAAAATGTAAAAAGAAATAAATATTTAAAAAGTTTTACTTCTGGGATATGTGAATTCATATTATGGTTACTTTTTCAAATTACGGGTTGTCTAAAACGTGTAAAAAGTGTTTTTTTTTTTAAGAATCTACGTTTATGTTTTTTAATCATATTTTAATACCTAAAGAATTTTCTAAATAATTTGAAGTTTGTCAAAGGGAAATCTAATATTAGTTTCTCAAATGCATAAGAAATATTTAAATAATATCACCAAAATTTCCAGTAAAATGTAACAGTATTTTATATCTCAATTATAATAAAACTTCCCATCTTCTAAGGGTAACCAAAAATGTATCCCAATCCAATACCAGTTTCAAGTTACTAGGAAATGTTTTTTTTAATGATCTAATAATTATCTAATAATAGCTAATTGTACGCTAATTGAAGGGATTTTTTTAAAGTTATTCGGACATTTATTGTATATTTCTACATTTTTACATTTTTATTTTCCATTAGTTTTCATTATCATTTCATTACTTCCATAAATTTTTTAACAATCTCATACGTTATAATTGTTATTATCCATGTTATTGTTTATAGTACCTCGCTGGTTGTAGCACCGGTTGGTACAAACCAACCGGTCCTACAACAAACAAAAACATGCCACAAGTTGTAATTTTTACTCTTAGTCTTAATAATATTTGCACCAATGTTAAGTCCTGAAAATGTTAGAGAAAGTGACCAATGTAGTCGTAAAATATCTAAATTCATATACCATCCAATAAACCGACTTTACAGCAAAACTAAACCCAATTGACTATCTGAATAACTTACGCTTCATTTATAAATATCAACTATAAAACATTCATTTAGATAATACCAAAAATACAAAAAAATATGGCGTTTATTAATCAAGTTATATATGGTCACTTATAGTTATAATTAGATTAGGGTACATATCACATACAGGGGGTTCCATTGAAAAATTACAACTTTGATACTTTTAACACTTTTGGGACAACCTGTATAATTTGAAAGTATTTAAGAAAAATTCTATAAAGGACTTTAAACATCCTAAAAATATATTTTTTTAAAGACCTTGTCTTTTTGTCATGGATTGAATTTGTTCACTGACAGCGGGTGGCTCTGTACACAAAGATATACTTATTATATGAGATTACCACATTCGAATGAAGGAATAATTTGGAGAATTCAGTTTTAGCGGTTTTCATGCCTAATGTTTAAGACTCGCAAATGCTTGCCTGGAGCTATTTGTGTTTCGCTCGGTATCTAGTTTTTATTAATTTTTTCATTTATCTTTAGACCTCTTTCGAGGACTTTCTGCCTGTTACTCATTACCGGTCTAGTATTCATCGTTATTAATCAGTTAATGTAATCATTTTTAGTCGACCAAAGATGCTATGTACAATTCTTTTAATTTGTAGTGCCGGGAGCACCCGAAAATATAACCTACCGAATCGTGGATTGCCACAGTACCACAGATTACTGTCACTTGAATATTAGCTGGTTCCACCCTTCCTACCCAAATGGTACTATAACTTCGTTCCAGATCGTCTTGAATGGCACAAACTATAACTATACGGATTCGGAGGAGGACGAAGCCATCCACGAAATTTACAAAATTGTCAACGAGACGTATTTGCCTCAGTATACGTATCAGGTGAGTATCTCTATAGACTATAGAGAATAAACAAATAATCATAATAAAGCCTTTTATTATAAAATGTATTTTTAAACTAATAATTGAAAAAAAAGCCGCAATAAACAACTAATCAAAAGAAAAACATTTAAAAAAGAAATAATAATGACCTAATGGCAAGTTCTAGTTCGCAGTCTAAGGGATTACAAATTATGAAAATGGAATCAAATAAAATAAACTACTTCCAAGATGTCACATTTAAAAAAAAATAAACCAAAGAAAAAACATGGAGAGCTTAACTATTTAAACCGAACTGGAAAATTGGAAAACAGACAAAGCAAAGAGACTAACAAACAACCCTCTCCAACCCCCTCCCTCGACATGGAGAATACGAAAAGCGTGCGCACATATTTAATTCGGAGATACATCTCTGAGAATTTAACAGGTGTGGCTGAATCTTATAAGGAATTGAATTTGTTTATGTTGTAAAATTTGAATTCTTAAGGAATGGAATTGTAAAGTTTAACCGCTCTATAAGTAAAACTTTTTAGAAACATAGTTGTTTTGGGATTAGCCAAAGTAAAATTGTTTTTATAACAAATATTTTTTGAATGTACATTGGAGCTCTGAATAAATTTATTTTTGAGAACAGATATATTCGCTAAAATTTATGATTTATGTACAAAATTATCTAAATGGAAATTACATAAATTATCTCACAGCTATATTTGCGTTAATGCCAGACCACCTACTGCAAAAATCGTACAAAATTATTTAAATGAGGTGAATATTGAGACTTTGGACTGGCCTTCGCGCAGTCCAGAGCTTAATGCAATAGAACATTTCTTGGTTCAGATGCGTAGGTAGCATAGAGATCATCAACTTCCACCGATGATGTAAAAACATTATCAGGGAAGTATGGATTAGTCTCAGTGAAGCACAATTGAAACATCCAGTTTTTTAACCAATATTCTTTGGTGTGAGTCGTCGATGCCAATCGATCGATATTGATTTTTTATCTGTTTAATGTTTATGATTTTGTTTTAATTTTTGTAATAAACTGTACTTGTTACGTTTGACATTAAATTTCGTATTTCATTTAAGAAGTAAGATAAAGACGTGAATAAAAATAGGGTGACTTAGAAAGACACCTAATTGTGTTGATGGGATCACCAGTCTAAAACCTAGATTGAAATAAAAATGTTTTTTGTACCATCGTTTTTGAAGATTTAAGCTTCAATTTAAAAAAATGTATCCTATCAGTAGTTCGCGTGAAAAATAATTTTGAAATTGACACAAATTTTAGAAAGACATTAATGATTGTTTCAAAACTTTTTTATTTTTTGAACTGATCCAAATTAAATATTCGATTATACCTTCGATAACATAGGTCTACATGATTTTAATTTTTGGGGGCCCCTTTTCCAAAAAAACGCATATTTTTTCTCTATCACGTCATTTTTTTTATAGCGCTCTATATCTTAAAAATGCCATTTTATTAATACACATACCCATGACATGAATATGTTTGTTCCATGTTGCATAATTTTTAAATGAATTGATTGTTATGAAATTAAATGTGATTTGGCAACACTGGATAATATTAGATTTCTGTGTACAGCAACAGAGTTGGCGCAGAAGCGTCAATACAGCGTTGTAACCTGCTTATGCGCAGTTTGGTTGTGTTGGTCGTCATGCGACTGTGTCCGTGGTTATTGTCTTCGTTGCAGCGTATTTCTAGTGTTCTAGAACGTATAAATATAGAAAGAAAGTGTAAACAATCCCAATACCTTTTTATATCTGTGCTAGTGTTGTCGTAGTAAAGCAAAGGCAAACTATAACTTCTTTTGTGAAAAGTGTGAATGTGTTCTGGGCTCCTTATACTGTTTGTTTCGTTTGCGTTGAACGATTAAGAAACTGACAAAAAAGTGTGTGTAAATGTTTAACCTTTGGTTTTCCTATGGTATGGCGAGAGCCTAGAAGTCACAGTGATGATTGTTATTTTTGTTCGTGTAATGTTCAAGCATTCAACAAAAAAAAACAAATTGGGTATTCCAATCTTGACTCTGCGCCCCAAAAGAACTAGAAAACGTTATAACGTCAGAATCAGATGAATCTAATTCCGACCCAGATGACTCAGATTTCACACCAGATTTCAGAAAGTCTGAAGTGTTCAACCAAAGCGAATTAAATGATTTAATTAGTGATTTGCACCTTCCAAAGGATGCATCCGAATTGTTAGCCTCCAGACTTTGTGACAAGCATTTACTGGCACTTCGCGTCACATGAAGCTTTTACTCGGATCGCGAAAAAGAGTTATGTCAATATTTTGGTCAGGAAGGACCGCTAGTGTATTTTTTTAACTGGGAATTTACGCGATATAAATAAATGTACAGAATTTTTGAAACCAGCCAACCAAAATAAGAACATCTTTTAAAAAGTTAAATTTTGCAGACCTGTGTAATTAAAACTAATTTTGTATTCGGTTTGAACTCGGTATATTTTTTAGTTAATCCATTTCAGATAAAATACGTGCCCTACAGTACCACCTACAACTTGTACATACGATCGAGCAACAACAAGTACCGGAGCGCGTATAGCACCGCGACTGTGAAGACGGCGGACATCGGCGATCACATCGACCAGAGTCCCAAACTTCTCGGTAAAAGCGACAAGGCTCTCGTATTCAAACTACCCCACTTGGACCGCAGATTGAATTCGTACACGGTTACGGTTGCCGTTCAAGACTATAATGTCAGCAAGGCCATAGACCTCGAAACGATCGCTAATTCGAAAGTGGCGGACAATTTGTGTCACAGTTTTGGTGACACGTGGATTGTTGGAAATTTGACGGTGAGCGTTTAACAAGTCAGTAGCTGTAGCGGTAGCATATGTACGTGTTTTGTTCAGATTGCCAACAACAACAACAAGACGTTAACAATTTCCGGTGTCGATGAAGATCACAAAATAAAACCTCACACCAAGTACTGCGTAATCTTCATTATTACCAACAATTATCGGGAGGAAGAACACGACGTGGTGTACTATGAGAAGCTCGAAACGCCGGAAGAGCCCGAACCCAAGGATGACGTGCTCCCCGCGTCAAGCTCTAGTCGTCTATACTGGCTACTTCTCTTACTGCTGTTGATACCTATTGGGTTTGTGATTTACAGGTAAGTGGACCAGATTCGAGCAAACTCCCACTCTAAGGTAACAGATGTTTATAAGCTTTTATAACAGTTTTTATAGTTTTATAAGGAAACCATTGGTGTTACAAGTTTTGTAAGATCCCCAATACATTTTTATAACAATACTAAGAATAATACACATAAAGTTTTATAACAATACATCAAAAACGTTTCCGTTACTGTATCTATTAAACTTGGTTTGTGGCTTCAGGTTTTTTAAATTTTTTATATATTTTTATACTTTATTACAACAATTTTACCTTTAGGGTTTTTAAGAAGCAAACCTGGTCGACATTGCTTCCTAATATGGTGGGCATTGTTATGTTTTTTCGAACTGATTAACCGATTCCAATACTTCGATTCGATTCCTGAAACTTGAAGACGTATTTCTTCCAAAAATATACTATTATAAAATGATTTGCGATTTAATCGCACATAATTCTTAGTTTCAATTTTTGGAAGGGTAAAATATAAAATTATTCGTGACAAATAAAGTCGCAAATCGTAGCAAATTTTATAGCAGAAACGAAAATATATTTCATGCTGTTGTAAAACTTAATTATAGTTCATTATAGTTACAAAGAAATGGAGCATAAAGGTTTCATATGAGAGTAAAAATTTTAACCGTTGCCTTTATAAGATTCTCCCGTTAGATTATAAATAAAGTAACGGAAACGAATCTAATACCATAAAACTTAACGTGTTTTGGCACTTATTGGACTGCTTATTGGGCAGCATTGGTTTTCATATAAAACAGTTTTTTCCGTGAACAGAAACGTCAATAAAAAAAAACAGTTCGTCAATTTTGCACTTTGTAAGGTTATTTTTAAAGAATTTTGAGACCTGTTAAATACGGGTTTGTCGGGGTAATAAGACATCAATCTTCTGACCTTAAAACTACTCTCAACACTTCTACCACAGCTTCCTCGTTTTTACGATACACAGTGTTAAATGTGATGGCCCACGATATAATTAAAGTTTTGCTTTTTTTTGTTGATTTTTAATAATTTTGGTGACAGATGACCCTGTTCTTCAGAACTGGCTAGTAGGTTACTATACTGTCCCAAAACCAGCTCTGCCATGATATGATAAAATTTTACCGTTCGCATAGGTTAGGTTATTATTACAAGACTTATTTAGGTGGTAAGTAAGACTCTGGTTATTTGGTGGACGCCTGGTGGTCAACATTAAACTCGCGAAAATAATGATATTGAGCGAAAGTGTAAAGTTTCTCATTAGTGAGATGCGAGGATTGTTTAAAATTAGTTCTTGAAATTATTGTTTCTTTATGGCCCGAGCAGTATTATCGACGTGAAAACTTAAATGGGGGGGTTTTTGGAGGTGGTAAATACTGTTACATTGTATTCTTTTATCTAATGTGTTTACCCTTTATAATCTTGCTATTTCATGTCACAACTTTTTTGTTAATACCGTTTGATTACTTTTTTTTTCAACTGAAAAGTGAAGATTTAAAAAAAATACTATATTACATTTATTTTTATGACACACACTGTTTTCGTACACAATTTCTAGTGATGATATAAGGTATACTATTTTATACTACACCATTTTTGACATATTTGCATTATAGTATTTTATTCAAATCACTTTCCCAAAAGTAGTTCATTATGGATTGCTATAGATTGCCATTGGTTAAAAATGAACACATTCGTATTGACATTAGCTTTGATTAATCTAAATGAAAGATCTTTTAACGTTATTTTCGAACAGAATAAAAAATACTGGTTAATATACCTAACCATTAAAATAACGGAAATATGGGTGGTAAAATGTCGCTCATTAAGATACAGAATTATTCAATGTTGTACCCAGTATATTCTCAAATCAAATTTCGAGTAAAAGTTTGTGACATAATATCGTTGCTGAAAAATTTAATCAAAAAAAGATCATGAAAGTCAAACAAATGGTCATCTAGGAAACCAATTTTTTGGTGAAGATGGATTATATATGCAATTATCTCGAAAAAGGTCCGTTTTATGGAAAGAAAATCAGTAGTCACTTTTTACTTAGAAATCACCACTCTGCTATAATCTTCAAGAAAAGCTGAATATGTGAAAATGTGAAATATATTATAAGAAAAAATAGTTTTCGCCAAATTTTCATGTCGACATTTCATAAACTGCTAGGGACATAGAGAAATATCAATCAATATCACTAATAAGCCATATCTTACTAGGGCCGATTTTGTCGGCTTAACCTTATTTTCACGAGTTTAATCCAGGATTGCTTTTTAGTGCTTTCATTACGGCCCACCCTGTACAAGGTCGTAAATAATTGTAGCTAATACTCGTTTTTATACGTAGATACGTACGCCGGAGAAGAATTACGGCGAGGAAACGGGACGCACTCGAAAACGTTTACGAGTCTTTACCGTTTGAAGAAAATTTCACCAACAGAACATACGATCAGTTAATTCACAAGTGACCGGTTCGTTCACTACCGTATCTGTGATAGAGAATCTTAATTTTCTTTGGCAAGCTAATACTTATGGAACTGAAAAATATATTGTTTTTTGGAAACCCAGCAAATGTCTATATTAGTGCATTTTTTATAATTTTTGTTTAATAATTGTTTTATGATAATAAAAGGTAATACAACTCGTATTGTTATCATTTCTTACATTTAATTGCATCGATACTTGTGTAAACAGTAAATGATAGTTAATAAATACAGGTAATGTAAGACCATATAGTTATTAGATAATATAGTGCTCCTATTACCGCAGGCGGCATTGACATTTCGTATGCGCATGCCACTACATTTCACCCACTTTGCGCTATTTTTTTTTGTAAAGAGCGATTTCCATACACTTAACTTGTTTTCCACAAACATTTGTCTAATAACAATACGTATGATGGTTGTCGCGTCACGCTTCCCAAAAAAACTACCGTGCCTTATCCGCGAAACTAGGTTAGGATAATAATACAATTTAGCTTTCGGTAATGACCATATTAGTAAAAACGCACAAAATGCACGACTACTTGTAAAACATCGAAAACGCCGCCAAAGTTCCCTGCGAACAAATCGGCAGCAAAACACAAAACCCTTATTAAAAATTAAAAATAGCACCAACTTTCGCATTTCGAACGTCGAATTTCTTTTCCTGCGTCTCCAACATCCTCCTACGTCGAGAAGCGATAATCATTAAATTAGCGTGACTCCAAAACAAAAATAGGGAGAAACTAACGCAAAGACTCGCCCCAAAATTAAACATAAAACCTATTTATAGGCACTCCCGCACTTTCACTCCAATTGAGGGGAAGAAAGTCTTCTTTAGCTTCGAGTGAATTTTCTGAGCCTTCTTCTGGCACCGCTGAATTAACAGTTCACCCCTAGAGATGACCAAACGGACCTGCTTGTCAATACCCGGAATTAGTTCGATGATGCGCCTAAACGGCCAGCCAATGCGTTTATCTTCGTTCGCGACTAAGACTAGGTCACTCAGTTTTAATGATCCACGTGATTTTCCCCTACAAAAGATGCGCAGATAGCTTCTGAAGTAGTAATTTTGGCACCAAGGTCGTAGAACTGGTGAAGCCGATCACATCACATAAATTATTCTTCAAGTATCTGTCGCTAATTTTAATAACATCTTTGGCCAAATGCCAATTAAATCCTAGCAATGGCACAACAGCTGTCTGGTTGCAATCTTCATCGCTATATTCCCACCATCTCAGGCCGAAGCTTGCCTCTTTCATTATTTCAGTAGCCCCGTGTATGAAGCGCAATAGAACGTTTTAATCGGGAACACTCACAACGCAGTTGCCAACAAAAAATCCTCGTCGCAACCTCTCAATTGTATCTTAAACAATCTGTAAGATGATGTTCAATGGTTGCCCCCAATAAAAAGGGACTACTTTCTACTACGAAGACGACTCGTCTGTAGCGATACACAATAAAATTCTAGTCAGAGTCGATCCACAGAGACCTTAAAAAATCACGGTCTTTTTCATGAATGCCTGTCTGGAGAAACGCTTTCCTAATATCCGACACAACTCCGATATGGTAAAAAAATGAATGAATGAATTTCCCTCTGTAATAACTGGCCTGCGTGCTCTCTCTGAGAACAAATTCATTATTCACTAGTTCGATGATACCTTGCGACAACCAATCCTGGATTCCACAAGCTTATCTTTGTTTAATTTCCTCAATCTTGATTGTAACCTCTTTTTGGCAATCTTTAAATTTGGAGACAAAGTCCATGGAAGACGCACCTCGTATAGACCTTCGACATCTCGTGTTATCGTTTCTTCAAAGAATTCTATAGCTGCGGCAGCCTTCCCTGTCTAGATGTCCTTTCTGATGGCTCAGTAATACCTAGTGTATCAATTTACCATAAGTTGGTCATAAAGGTAACATTCAACAACATTGACAAGGTAGTTACTGCAGAACTGACGTCTTTATCGCACCGACATTGGAAAATTTTCCCATAAATGTCCACCCAAATAGTGTTTCAGCGGCAACTAAACCACATTTTAAACTACCCGTAAGTTTTCCCACTACATCATATACCTGTATTTTTAGCTCATTTAATTCAGTTGTCCAAGGTCAACAACCTACAGCTGGAACAATGGTACAAATAACCTGTTGATCTAGCACCTCAAATTTGCATGCATAATTCTTGTGCCAAAGTTGGATCATAATATTTGTGCCACACCTGAGTAACAACGCCTCATTTTTTTTCTCATAGCTGCTTCATAAGTTCATGTATTACCGATATAGGCAAGGCCTCAATATCTCTAGTAGTTGTATGTGTAAAACTTGGTGTTAAGGGTGTAGAAAAATAGCTATTAAAAAAAGTTTAAATTTTTTTTTTGAAAAGTTCAGACAGCATTGCGTAAAGAATCAATCAATCAAATAGGTAATTTTTTGTCTAGTGTATTGTGTTTAACAGCATAAAAGCTGTTTATTATTTTACTAATATTATAATTCAGCAAGATAGCCTTCTTAGAATAGTTCATTATGGGATTTGTTGTTGATCGGACTCCCTCCTGGATGGACGAACTTTGCAGAAAGTTATCCAGCAAATTGTTGTTGTTAAGACGACTTATTCATTCCGTGACTTGAGAACGACATACTTAGGTCTATTACATAGTGGTGATATTCTACAGTATTGTGCTTTGGAGTGGTGTGGGGTTATAGGAAAAAACCTTTCGAATTCACAAGAATGGTCAGATTCGAACTAGGTTTCGGAATATGACGGAAATGCTGCACGACTATAAACCTAATGATCACTTTTTTAATGTCCAAATAATATACAATATTTGCCACACGGTAAGTTTAAAATGATAATGAAGCAATTTCTATTAGAGGATCCATTGTACAGAGCTGGCAAATAATTAGAGATACTTAAGCTGGTAACAACTGTATTATAAATTTGAGTTTATTTATGTGTCAAATTCAATAATATTGTGTTATTATCTACTGACTTACCATTTGTTGTTTTGTAAAACTTACATGGATGGTTAATAAAGTTTTTTCTTTCTTTCTTATTGCTATTTTTGTTATCATTATAATCGAATCAACGATATTAAGAAGGGTAACTCTTGTTGATGCATCAAGTCGATAGTCAGAGATTAGAATAGAATTTCATTTCAAAATTCATGCTACTGTTGCACTGAGACTAAAGTCAATTAAACTCGTATTTTCCTGTCTTCACTATCACAATACTCCCTAGACCATGTATGTTTGCTTTTATACAAGGTGTTACTTGATGGTGTGTCAATACCGGATAATTCTTTAGCTCATTTTAAGAAACAAAAAACTTCATATGATCAAATTTTCTAAACGGTTGAACTCTTGAGAGTACAGGGTGGTAAAGTTTTTAGATTTTTTTTTAAATCATCTAAGAAACTGGAAATTTGGAAGTGGGGTCCGCCCCGATTTGTACCGCTTAGTTAATTTCAGTAGAAACTGAAAAATCTTGTTATAAATAATTAAATTACACTGACTAATAATCTTAAAGAGTGCTTGCAATAAATGACAGTTTTTAAAAGTCATAAACGTCGTAAATTTAAAAATGAAATACTCCCTATTCTAAAAGACCATTTATTCAAGTATGTTTAAAGTGTCTTCATCTTCGTTAACTACGGTCACGAGCCATCTTCTTGGAATGCTATTTAGTAATCAGTTTTGATACATCATTTAAGGAATACCCCGTATAGATGACGCCGCGAAAAGGAGCATGTTGCAAATCTAAAGGAATTTTCTATTTTTCGTACAAAAAGGTACTCTTGTTAAGGCCGTCTAGCTCTTTTGGTTTCTGACTTATTTTCATTTAAAAAGTTGAAGGTATTTTATCTGATTTGTTTTATAAATAGTTAAACGGAGAGTAGTACGGGGAGCAAGGCTTAAACTTTGTAGAAATCTTTACAACTAAAAGAGTAAAAATCCATTTGCGGTGACGTCGTCTATTGACAGAATTTTAAGAAAACTCTATCCACATCATTATGTTGCGAATCAGTAGCGCAAAACCCAAATTTCCTTAATAAGATTCTTTTTATCGACTAGACTACATTCCCATGACGAGGAACGTTTAATTTGTAAAATAGTCATTTGTGAGATTCTGAGAATCCACGTGCTGTAAAAGCATGACTTTAAGGTGAACATTTAGTGTGGTGTAATTTCTGAATTTTTACTTTTGCATTGTTTGCCAGTCTAACTGGATCACGTTATTTAAACTTTCCTCAGCACCATTTAAACTTAATAGCAGAAGATGTACCTCTCGCCTTAAGAGAAAATGTGGCGTTTATGCATGATGGGTCCCACCATATTTTGCCTTGTCAGTACGCCAATATTTACACGAGCAACTTTCCTCGTCGGTAGATCATTGGTCAAGGAAATGAATTTGTTTCGCAAGCAGTTCAAAGTTAAAGCTTATGGACTTCTCAAAACTTACCTTTTTAAATGCAAAGAAGTCAAAACCCGACAGATTTAGGCGATCGAAACAAGAGTACCTTTTCTATGAAAAATTCAACATTATTTCAGATTTTCATCATGTTTCAGCTATATTGATATTCCTAATTGTCTTGTCAAAAAAATCTCTGTCAATTTTTATTGTTATACCACATAAACTTTTCTGAATTAATGAGAAAATTCAGAATAAATTTTAAACTTTGAACGCCCTGAATCTCTGTAACCGACGATATTTGTACCAAGCATGTCGAGCTCAGTCATATCACTAGTACCTCCAGTTTAGGGATTACCCATTTTTTATGAATCGCCCAGTATTTTATAACATTTAGCGTGAATAACCAGAGTTCAAAATTAATGCTTACTGCTTATTTTCCAAAACTTCAGTGGTAGGTATTTAATGCGCAGTTAAAGTTTAGTTTCCGTAACGGTATATTTCCCGCAGCATTTTTCATTTAACCGCCCGCTCCCTCTCCATGCGGAAAATCAATACCGACGGAATATTCCTAACACTGGTTTTCCGCTCTACGTCGACGATGCCGTCGTTTTCAGTGCCTAAATAAAGACGTCCGAGACTATTGAAAAACTAAATGCCTAAACGTATAGGTTTGACTGTTATCCACGTCTCCAGTGAGCTTTGGTAGACATTTTTCAACTCGTCTTATTTCTAGCTACTTGAATTCCGTAGGTGAGGACTCCAAATACAGGGCGTTGGAATTAAACGCACATGGACCGGCAGTTAAGGGATGGCAATCGGCCAGAAATTGCGAATATCCCCAGGAAATTGTAGTACGGCTGGAAAAGAGGTCCATGCTAAGCAAAATACAGATACTCGCTCATCAGTATCTCATACGTAAGTTATAATCGCATTCTCACTACTACTGTATACTAAATTTTTGAAACTAGTCTAACCACCCTAATTTTCCCTTCCGCGCCTGTATTTATTTAGTTTTCGGTTATACCAACATCTTTGCCAAGTTTGAATCCTGATACCTCGTTGTGAAACGGCATTTTCTTCGGTCGTTGTTTAAGTAGAGTAGAGTCGGATCGTGGTCATAATACCATCTAGATAGTTCGGAATACAGGTCGTAATAATATAAATTCCTGTTTAAAATTAATGCATCCTTATAATTTTTTTTAATTATGTCATTAAGTATAACAATTTTATATTCAGCTTTACAAAGAGGATTTCCAGTTACAAAAAAAACAAATGAACTTTAATAAAGCGTGGTACTTCGTCGCGATCCTAGAATTGCCTATATTCGTCGAAGGAAGTTTGATATTAAGTTTTGGATAGTTGATTCAGGAATGTTTTGCTCATTCCAAGAGAACACTCTCTAACTCTTTCAGGCTAATTCTCGCAGGCACATGACGCTGAAGTAATCTTTTTTAGAAAAAGCCTGGGCTGCGTAGTGGCCACTCCACTGGATGTTGATTGAGTAATCCAAAATAGTCATTGCATGTCAGTCTGATATTAACTTGAATGAAAATGAAGGTGTTTCTTTTAAATAGTTCAAATGGTATTGCGTGATCTCGAATAATGTGTTCGAGATCGAATTCTGCCTTCATAGACCTCCGACGAATAAGAACCAGCTCTTTCTTAGCGTCTGCACCATAACCAGTATTTATGACTCAAGACCATCTGGAGATTATAGGCTCACTCTCGTTTCATTTGTGATCACAACTCTTTTCCAGTCACAGGGTGCATGATCTCTAGCGAATCTTAATGCGACTTCTTTTAATGTTCTTCTGACGATTAAAGCAGAACTTCCGACATTGCCAACCAAAACTTAAACTCTAATATTTGGTACTTCACTATTACATGTTGCGGATAATTATTGTTTCCTATTTTACAAAGTTGATGGGTTTACCCTTTCATCATTGCTTAAATGAGGCACTAGATAACATAGCACATAACAAACTAATTAACACAAAAGAATAACCAACATTCAAACAGTAATTTCAAATCATACACTTATCAAACTAGAAAAAACTAAATAAATGGTAATATCTAGAGGATATGGTTAGTATTACGAAATACCTAAATCAATAGAAGATGTCCATTAGCTTTTTGAACATAGCAATAATAAAAAATGTGATTCTAAATATGCCTTCTATATTTCCCATTTTAAGCATCGAAAATAGAGCTATATAGCAGCAACGAGGACACCAATATAGTAAAGAGCGTGGCCAACATCAACTGGGATTATATCGGATACATTACGCTGTCCAATAATGAAACCACCGAGTTCAAGAGTAGGGAACTCAAATCGGCCAACGTACCCAAAATTGTAGCCACATTCATGAAGCTCAACCTGCACGACAATCATTCCAATCCCTTCAATATCCACGAACAGGTAGTATTATATATAACACGTTGTTTCCTTTAACAGTTTTGAATTATCCAGGTGAGTCTGATTGCTATTAACGTGCTCGGTACTGATATCGAGGGGAAGCGGACATGCGACGATGAAAAAGACGTTTCCAAATTGGAAGAAATTACAAACAACCCAGACTATACCTCTCCTTACGACGATTTAGCCTTCGAGATGTACGTGGCTACAGACGTTGCCAAAATCATTAGAGATATGGAGATTAAGAAGTATTTAGCTGTGACTAGTGAGTATCAAGATTCAATGCAGATCATAGATGCTGAAAAGACAAATTTTTAGAGGAACGCTTCGAATACGCCAGGAAATTGAAACACGCTATGCTCAAGCTGAAGTCAGCCGGAGAAAAGCTAGGAAAATATGAGCTTGAAAAACGGCATGCCATCGAACTGGAAGACTACGATAGAGCTAGACACAAAAAAGATCAAATAGAGGACTTTAGGAATGAGGTTTTTCAAGAACTGCGAGTGGAGGAGCTACTTGAAACCAATGGAGTAGGTAAAACATCACCAGATGACCTTGACATTAGCTTCATTTTGTGACAGCCCTGTCCAAAGAACGACGAATGTGCCGAAGTTACCGACAATAGGCATCTTCTGTCACCAACAGCAGTCAAATCGGAGAGAAGGACAAGTTCGCCCAGCCAAGTGTCGCCCCTGCATGCGCCCAGACACCAGAGTCCCAAAATGGGCTCCCCTAGCACTGGAAGTCCCACAAGTATGCAGAATAGGGGGTCGTTTAGAAGGAGAAACAAATCCGCAGGGGCGATTACCAAGTCGACATATGAAATGTACGAAGAAAAACCCCTGCCGGCCTTGAGACAGTAAGCCTCGTTATTGGAAGAACTACAATTTCAATAGTACTTTGTATTCAATACAGTTCTCAAACAAACGAATTCCTGAGGGAATGCCAATTGGATCAGGAACACAAATCCTCGTCCAAACTGACTGAGCGCGAGAAAAAACAGGCGAGCTTGCCTATTCTAGTGTTCGGCAATGAATTGGTGGAAAGGTTCTACTCCAAACACTATGCCGACAAGGAGGAAGGTCTCAATCGACTCAAAGAGGAGCTGCTTTGTTACGACAGTGCCAGGATGCACACGGCCAACAAAACCGCCCGTGCTGCTATCTTTCTGTTACATAGATCCTTGAGAGACAAGGTATTTACGGTTTACAGTCTGGCGAATGAGGTTATCCGAATCTTTTTCGTCCAATTCGTTCCAGGCAGGTAAGGTTCTATTTTGTCAACTATGTTGATTTTCAACCGTACCAGTTGACCATTCGTGTTCGTTTATAGATAGAAATACGAGTCACATTTGATATGCGACCCGTTGCCATCCAGTGACTCACGAACATTAGCAGGTGTCTCACGGTTCGTCGAACATTAGAGATATTTTTGGAAAACGGGGTTAGGAATTTTCAGAAAATTTGTTCACTTATGTTTTTGACTCTAATTTCTCTATTTAAAATATTGTATTGCGGATTTTCTCAAAAAGGCTCGACAACTTTGATTAGCGGTTAAATCAATTAATATTATATTTTCTGGTTGAAACAGGCCAAAATTTAAATTCTTATTGCTGGCGTATTGGATCATTTAGCAAACTGAAATTGCGATGTGCAAAATGTTTAAAAATCATGATTTTGCCGCTTTATACATGATATACATGACAATAATATTTCTCTATTTGGTAAATAGGTTGGACAGAAACCACTATTCTACAGAAAACTAGTGCCTAGGATGTTGACAAGCTACAACCTTAATCGCCGCTTTCTAAATAGTCAAGTGGAACAACACGGTGTCCTACGATGAGCATAGTCAAAAACATAACTGATCAAATTTCTACCCACAATGTTGCCCGTTTTCGAACACCTATTTAAAGTGTACATAATAGGTTATTTTACAAGTTTTATAAATATTTTTGTTCGTCATTTGAACAGAGCGAACATAAAACTATATCTCCTAAATTCCTGCATTTCCGAAAAACAAGGTAGAAGAAAAGTTAAGATCGAAAATAAAGAGAAACCAAAAAGTTTTTTTTTATAATTTTTATTATTAGTATTATTATTTTAATTATAATTATCTTTCAACCGATTTCGAAGAAAATTGGAAAATTTGTATCATATTATCTGCTACTGTATCATATTATTTCATGAGATTTAAGCTATCGCATGTAAATGTAAATTAAACCTGAATTTTAAATGGATCTCTCTGTACCTTCTTATGGCAATAAAAAGAACTACTCTATATACCCTACCTATTTTGAATCGTTTTGGAGTTAAAAACAAAAAACCTGAATAATACAATTTAAGCAAATAAGACTGTTTGTTTTAGTACTAAACAAAAATTATTGAATAAATTTGGTGTTATTTTGACGAACTTAAATTACAACAATTTATTATAATAAGCAAAATGGAGGTTTCTGTAACCCAAAAATGTGAGTTTCTTCTGTTCAACATTTCTTTCTTTTTTTTTAATTTTCACTTATCCAGTCCAAATAATTCTAGTTTGGACCTTATTGATATTTTATCAAAATTTAGGGAAAGTCATTTATTTGTTTGTCTTTAATATTCGTTTTATTGATGCGTTCATTTTTATTCATCGCGTACAAACCTGAATGGAACCCATTGAATTTACTGCACGTTCTTGCTGCAATCTTATTGCACTGACCGTGAATCTAAAACAAATTTAACAAATCGGTATGCTGTTGCTTATACTTATGATGCTATTGGCAACAAAATTTCCGGTTTACCTAAAATTGTTGAAAAAATGTTATATTAATGAAAAAATGAGGTTGGAGTCTAAATGCCTTTTTTTAAAGATTATTCATATGCTTCCAATAGACCATCGACTTTTGTAGCAGATCATGAATTTATAACTGTAACTGTATTGTAAATGAGTGAAAATTTTTTGCATGGCATTACGATTTTCGCAGAGTGGCTCCCGCAGAAGTTTCGCGAAGCGTCGACAAGGTGTTGCCGGAACTTTTGACAAAATCGGGCGACACGAGCGCTAGGATACACCATATGGCCGTCCATACCATCCTGACGATGGCCGATGTTAAGTGCGTAAGGTATGCTTTAAACTCCTAAACGGTTCGTTGTAGACGACGTTAGCGTTGGATTAGGGAACGTTAGATGACATTACTGATGAGGAAAATCATTTTGTTATTATAGAGAGCTTCATATAATTCCCGTTCATTTGAGTAGGCCCGTTAGTAGCAGCACTCATCCTAGATTAGCGCTAAGTAGAGCCGAAATGGTCGAGCAGCTCATCATCAACCACGGAATATCTACCGACAAGCAGAGGTAAAAATTCATGGGTCGTTTTTAGACGCTGGTTATTAATTGTGTAGTGCGCCTCTTAAATGTGTCTAGTTAGCTAATAATCCAAACAAATTAATATTGCACTTGCAATTGCCACCTCGTATCAGGTTCAACATTGGGTTTAGGCACAGTGGTAGAAATGTTTGTATGTTTGAATGAAGATTTAAAAAAGTTACAGTTGCAACACAATAGGGTTATTAGAATTATACTGAACTGTGATATATACACTCATATAAAGAGTATGTCCGACCAGCTAAATTGGCTAAACGTCGGGCAGTTCATTAAAAGAGGAAGTTTAATGTTGGTTGATGGAATTGCACACGATCACCAACCAGGCTATCTCAAATGATTGTTGGAAAAAAGGTCAAATTTTTGTTTATACGTTCCAATCAGCAATTCAATGGTTCTATGGTAAGAACTACAAATCTACAGAAAATTGTATCCTAGGATGGCGTTCGTAATTTTAATGAACTGGCCGCTAGTATAAAAAATGCGTATTGCCTAATAGTATTCAAGGAGAGGCTTACGTTTAGTTTGTTTAAATTTTAATAGCCAAGTATTAAATAAATTTATTATTATTATTATTATTATTATTACTAATTGAATTGGTATCCAAGGTTTTATTTTCAAAGCTTTTCAACCATTAGTTTATTACCAGTTAAAAGAAACTGAGGCAATATTTTTTTCGAAAAAAAGTTTCGTACAAAAACTTATAAGCTTGAAAATACTTACAAAATGAGCTGCGGCTTGAGTGAATCAGTTAATAGACAAAAAGGTCATGCCAAAAACTGTTTCAAATATCTGTTGTTTTACTCGGTTATAAAAAATAACAAAAGTTTCATACCACAACCTCGTCGGTCATAAAAGCAGCCTGGTAGAAATATTTTATATTTTTCACACAATTAATTTGTTAATCCACTTTAGGCATTTTTAATTGTTTATTTGAAACGATTGGGAAGTTCTACCATGATGGGCGTGTGCGCAAACCAAAGTTCAAGGCATATTCTAACAATAACCAAAAAAAAAACATGAATCAGCGAATTAGAAAAAAACTTGGTACGGTTAGTGTTTATAGCTATATACAGCTATATAAAGCTACGCTTCGCTTATGATGCCGATGCCCAATCATAACCCGGCAACGGCCTTTCCGATCGGGAAGAAATTTGCAGAAATTTGCGAATGAGCTATATACACAAAAACACCGCTTAAGCGTAGGTTTTTAGTAATGATGAGTATTTGTGGCCAACTCCCTACAGTTGGTCACAAATATCAAACATAGTTTATAATTAGTGTATTTTAATTGAATCGACCCTATAATAATTAAAAATAATAAACGATTGGTGACCGTAACAACCTCGAGAAACCCCCGACTCCCCCTTTGTAATTTCGTGAAGTGAGAACTATGCCGGTAAAGTGTACCCCTACCAGTTTTGCCAGTAGCCAATAAAGGCTGTGTGACAATTGCATATAAATTTAATACTTCCAAAGGTTGATCTTTCTTGTAACTGAATTGAAAATAAATGACATTTTGTAACAAATATTCTTGAATTTCAGTTCGAGTTCTGCACTTGTATCTTCATGATAGCCGACGCTAGATTCCTTAATATTCTTCGCAGGCAACAGCAAGTTGGAATGCATCCTTCTACTGATCCAGCTTGAATTATGGTGATAAGTTTTCCTTTATTTGAAGGTGCTTTTTGGATACTGTATCGTTTGTATTGAACCAAGTTTCATCTATGTAAATTCTTTATCTGTTTTCAGGGATCTGTATTTTTTAATTACCTGAATCTATGCTATTCCATTACCATGTTTTTGTCTATTTGTCGGTATTTAAATGCCATTTTTAAATAACTCTATGGGGGCGGCAGGGTTATGATTATATCTAATTTGATCTTCTTATAACTTCTAGCTAGCGAATTTGTTTTGTTTATCAACTCTTCATCCTATTGGCTACCCACTACCCAGACGATAAGATTGAATATCCACTATATTTTTTCCTGTCATTCAATTATTTACTGATAACAATATCCTTTATCCAATATCCTCGTTTAACGAGTTTGCTACTTATCAACCTGACTCGCCTCTGTTTTGTCGTTAAGTTCATTTTGTAGATATGTTCAAGGGGCATAACTTTTATTTGACACTTTTTTCGAAACAAGGTAGCTTCAGCTACTGGTCATAAAACTGTTTTTTCACACCTTAATCGTTAATAAACAAATAGTCGCGCACTTTAAAAATGAAACATTGGATACCAATTTATTCAAATCATGGCCTCAAACCTACTTTTAAGTCTGACACCAGGTGGCAGTTTCTATGAAAATCACATGGCGTGGACTAAAATAAGGGATTAACGTTATCGTTGTGAGAGAAATTCTGATTCCAAAAAATTTGAAAGCTACGTGGAAACTTTGGGCCGAATCGCCCTGTAAATAGATAGGAAAACTGTTGGCAAAGGGATGTTTCAGTGGGTTAACGTGTAGAACGTTATCGGAGTTTGGCGCGAGCGGTCTGCACCATCCTGCCGAAGCCGTGAGAAAAGTGTCGGAGAGAATATTGGTACTGGTCTATAAGGTGAATCCGAGGATGGTTAGGAAACAACTTCCACCCGACGATGATATCACGCGACGAAACCTGCTCTATCGTCAGTTATTTCACGAGTTTGATAATATCGATTTACGGGTGAGTGCTCACATTTTTCAATGAGTATTTTGCAGTGAACTAAAAATATTTGTTTTTTTTCTTAATCAGAATATATCAGTATATATGAATATTATATCAAAATAGATGTAACTCATATTTTCTTAAACAAGTAGGTTTAACCGATATTTTTATTTCTGAATTTTCATTTTAAAATATTGAGATAAATAATAAAATAAATATAAATTAAAACTTATATTATCTTACATTATCCCTTGCCTTACTAAATTATTTACCTACCAAAATCCAATGTGTTTGTGATACATAAGAAAATAAAATGTTTCAAAGAATGCAGAAATATACCTACCCAGTGGCATCAGAGGTGTAAATTTGTGTAATATGTATTACTGGTTTGAGGAAAACCCACATTGGAAAATCATAGAACAACTTTTTTTATAAAACCCTTAATGGAGAAAGATTTTTCGACTATGATTTTACCACCACTTTTAGAAGACATGTTTTGGGGCACCTAAGTACAATAAAACTTTTACAGCGGAATTACAACACTGCTATTGCAATTACAACGCTTAGACAAACACATGAAATATTGCATATATTCTGATACTTTTTTAATAATTGCCAACTGAATTTTTTAATTGTCAAAACATTGACATAACTAATTTGTTTATATATGACTCGCAATACATCTTTGGATGCTTTTCTTTACCACAGTATTTTTTAAAATTTTTGTCATGATTGTTTGATTTTAGGATGAAAATTTTAAAATTGAATACATAAATTAAAGAAACTTTCAAACATGATGCCATATGATGTATTATACTATATATATTATTATTAAAAAAATATTGATGATAAAAACCGAAACCACCTTACACGAACGCTGTAGCTGTTGGTAGCACAAGTAACGCGCCTTATACCAAGTATTTCTTCGCAGAGAAAACAGGAAGCGCTGGAACGCAACAGGATTATCCAGCAATGCTCTGTTACTTCCAAAATGGACTGTTTCAGCCCCGAACCCGATGAAAACAAAAGTGATATTAATAGGTGCATCAGCACTGACAATATGCATCCTGCAGCTGATACCTCCAACCAAGAAACGTCGAAGAGTAACAGTTATGTTTTGGCCAAGAGTCTGAGTGGTGGAAATTTGGCTCAGACTAATGGAGTTCATAAAGCTGGCGACAAACAGAGTTCTAGCTCAACTAGCGCCGTTTCTAGTCCCAGCGGTCATTCGCAGAAGGGAGACGAAGACAAGTAAGTATCCACGAAATCGTTCAAAGAAAGTTTACCTTTCCTGGTTTTAATCCGCCATCCTATACAAATCAGAAGTTTCTCTTGTAATCTCTAAAAAGATTTTGTGAAGCATTATTTTTACTTTTGCGGTTGCTATGGCAATTATCGCGAAGTTACCAAATAAAACTTTGGAATTTATGAAAAAATTACCCGGTAACTGACATTATTAAACACTTAATTTGGATTTTAAGTATCATTTGGCACAAAAGAACTACGGACTAAGCCATCTATCCTATCTCTGATGGGGAAGCCTCCCCCCCCCTATGGTGTTAGAACATTTTGAGATAACTCCAAAAGGTCCTAATGCATTTTAATAAACTTGCGAGTTGTGTTGAAAATTTCAGAAAGGACATCCCAACCTAGCTAATTCGTTTCATAATAATATGCATTAATAAATGATATTTTCAATACACCAGAGGCAATACAACCCGAATACCCTTAAGAATTACTTTGAGAAGACAAATAATGAAATCTATTTATTTTTTGTGAAACTGTTCTGTTGTTCTGAATGAAGACAAGAATGTCCAGTTCTTTTAAGTGTTGCTGAGTAACTCTTGCGGCGTTTATGGCATTATCATGTATCAGAATAAAATTTTCTGATAGAATACCCTAGACTTACGATACTTTTCGTAAAACGTTCTTGTGGTTTTCGTCAAACCCTCTCATAAACACCTGGAGATTACAGGCCAAATCTCGACTCGTCAGAAAACAAAATGCGCCTCTAGTCATTTTGATCAGTGTTCATGATTTCTGTCAAACTGGAGTCGCGTAACCCGATGACTTCTAAGAAGCTCTGTCGCGGGTTTTGACCAGCCAAGTCTTTGTCTTTTCACTTATGTTGGTATTTCGGGATTGATAAAGTCGATTTGTGATTCCTAGAGTCGTAAAATAACAATCTCGCAGACTTTATAAGAGGAAAAGGCGATAATTATGAACATTAGTTTTTCGTTGGGTTTCACTTCCAGGTCGTATAGTATAACCTTCAGTTTCCAAAATGCGTGTATAAATGCGTTGAAAAGAGATGATCAAATTGGGCAACATATCGTTAGTTTTCCATTTTCTATGGCTAACAGCAAAATTTTTTGGCGACAACGAAATTGCAATCACACAACGGTACCAACTACACGACGACTGAGACGCAAAAACTCAAAGGCCAGCGCGATTTACAAATTAAAAAATAGTTACCATAAAAAAAAATATCCGGACGGGAAGTTTTACATTAAAGGTTCGCTATAAATAAATTTTTTATTATTTCGTTACACTACACTAAAAAATCCCCAAAGAGAAAGAAGAGACAACATATTTTTTTTGCTTATGTAATATAACAGAAAAAAATAACATGACACAAGTGTGAACAGGCCAAATTTTATTTAATCCATTTTTGTAGGCACTGTATCTTCTGCGGGCAAACCGAATCCGAGATCCTCTCGATTAGTAATTCGATGAATTCGCACTATTGGCGGTCCTGTTTAATGTTGGTACGCTGCAGTGCGTGTAATCAGGTGGTAGAGGTGGCAGCGTTGACCGATCACTTGGTCACCGAGTGTGAACAGCACCTATCCTACACGCAATGTTCAGGTTGTACCGAAGCTGTAAAGATTGAGAAATACCAGGAACACCGATGCAAAGGTATCGTGCTTTAACTACAACTTTCAACATTCAATAACACTCAACTTGAATTTTCGCCTTATTACTCTTATTGCCACAAATAGTTGATTTGAAGAGTTAAATTTGTCAATAAGTACAAAACCACACTGTCTAGTGTTCTGGGATTTTTGTGTTTAATCTCCCTTTTGACGGTCAGATTTTTCCGGAGTCTTGGAAAAACATGTTTATTACACCAATTCTTAAATTTGATGATCGTCCTATTATTTATAATTACTGATGTATCTCCATACAATCAGACATATCCAAATTTCTCGTCTCATTAGTTATATCCGTTATATCATGAAAGTGAATGCTGTGATGACGAACACTTCTAAGTCTTGTAACTTAAAAAAAAATTGTATATATACGGATATTACACACACACATTTGAGAGTTCACCATAAGTTATCAATATCTAAATTAAATAGGTTTTGCTACAAAATTGCTTAATTTTTCAAAGAAACTTCCACAGGCTACTGTAATACTTTTTACAAAACTTCTGGATTCCTCCTGCGTCGGTTTTTGCTGAATCGAAATTGCTGACGTTTCGCAGGAGGAATCCAGAAGTTTTGTAAAAAATATTTCTAAACTGCTTGTCTAGTTCGTTTCCGCAGCGAAGAGTGAGAATCAACGGTGTGTCATCACGGGACATTAACGTTCTCTCAGGTGTACCTCAGGGTTCAAATATTGGCCCTGTTCTCTTCAATTTACTTATTTATAAGATTGACAAATTTGTTAGGCTTGGAATTTGCCAATGATCTCAAAGCTTTCAAAGCGGTTTGTCTAACTCTCCACTCTGATATAAATTACAATTTACCGCTGGTTGACATAGTTTGAATCTATTTATAAAAAATGCTTTTGTTTAAGTTAAAAGTTGTGAATGAAATTAAATATCATCTAGCTTGACTGGCTTAATATATGAGCTTACGTTTTATAAGTAGGTTTAACGTTGATCACTTTAAGATTTTGTATTGCGCCTCAGTCTGTTCAGTGTTGAATTGATTATGCTTAGGTTTGATCTCATTTTTATAAAATTCATATTGACAAGCTGTAAAATGTAAAAAAAATGCATATTGCAACAAGTAGATTTAAAGTACCCAAAGTTAATAATCGTACAGATTACGATGCTGTTATTAATTTGATCTGATCTATGTTTCATTTTCATTTTTGCTGTCGAATGATATCGATTGCTGTTTTGTTCTTTCAAAATTGAATTTTAAAATTAATCGTAGAACCGGGTCTAAGAACTCATTTTATGTCTCATTTATGATATTAATTATGGCTTGAAGAAGTTTCTATTAAAGTAAGAAATTTTAAAAATAGTATATAAAATAGTATAATCGATAATAATAAATAATAGAAAATAAAAAATTGCTTTGGCACATTTCAGAATTAACCGAAGGATGCACGAGGTGTCCGCTTTGCCACGAAGACCTAGACACCGACGAGTTGTGCTGGAAGAACCACTTTACGGGCCAAAGCCCGTGTACCAAAAACACCAGAATTAAAAGCGTCCACTCGAAGCAAGTCAAGATACAAGTGTAATTGTCACCAATCCGTTGCCTAAATTTTTAATGTTATAATGGCGATTTGCGTCGCGATCGAATGTGATTGTTCAGCATTTAGAAAATCGAATTTAGGATTTAGGAAACAAATTAAAATTTTTGTTCGGCCAAATCAAAATCGCACTGCTTTCCAACTGCTCCCAATTAACATTTTCTTGTTTTATAATGATATCGGTTATGTTTCGATTACCTAGTTTATAAAACCTGAGAACCTGTCCATTGTTCTTGAAACGTAATCGCTGCTTTCATAAAACCAAATTTAAATCCCATATAAAACTTTTACTCGTCATTTATTTGTAACTAAGATGTTTCCCTTACCTTTATATACCATAAATAAGTTTTATGAGGGCATGAAATACATTTTCATTATCACTATAAAGCCTATCTATAGTGTTTTTAAACATCCAACAAAAAACTGCTTCATTTCCCTTCACCTTTTTCTATATTACTTCTTTAAAATATAATTTATTTCGTGTCCTCGTCATTGTATTTTGAATTTACCCTAAGATTGACACCAAAGGATTTTTCCTCTGCCATTATGTAAAAATATCTCATATAATCGCATATTTTAAATAATATTGCTTAAAAGACAATGGAAGAGCAACGTGAAAACCAATTGAAAACTATTAAGACACACACAGAACGTGTTACGACGCGTCGATCGGCGTTCCTGTTTCTGTTCCTGCATACTGCACTCAGTGGAACCTCTCAGAATCGGACTTCAACTTTTCGGCTTATGCAAAATTACGGAACTACCGCTCACTACCGGAGTTCTTGGTGACCCTTTTTCAAAACCATGGGGGAAAAACTGAAAAGCTCATCGCATAGATGAGGATGTGCGATTATCTATTTGATGCCTCTCACCAGTGGTACACAAATGTATCGAAGAAGGCGGATGCTTGGAGTGAAAAAAGTGAGAATCACAGGTGAGAACGAATATCTACCCATAGGTATACCTTAAACACACGGCTAATCTTCCCCGAGTTGCAACTTGTCTCTTCCAGTTTATTGTAATCAAAATTAGACTGCATTAGATCGTGAGTTCTTCAAAATTGTGTTTTGACACTTCACTTCATGAAAGCGCATAGTTCTTCCCACATTTGATTTACTGGGTGAAGCCATTACCGGCTCCTCCAATATAACTCTTAATTAAAGCAAGAAGAAGTAAAGCTTGCTGTACAAACTCAACTAGAATACTGGAGCGCCCGCCCAGATCACACTGGTTGTGTTAAGTCAATATCGCCGAACGCCGCGTTGAGGGGCGTTCCATAAACGCTACGTTATAACGCTTTCTGTGTGTTTGAGCCTTTAGCGCGTACATTTCAAATGCAAATGATGCAATTTTAACCTTACTTTTCAGTTGTTGTTTATTTATTCTGTTTAAGTTTCTATAAATAACTTGATAAAGTCTAGATAGAATGAACGCAATTCCGGAATGGGACACTACCCACTAGCCACTTGAGCTAGCGTCACTGACGGTGCATAATGCATATTTAAAGAAGCATTTTCCATTTTATACCCATTTTTGCTGGACTCATATTTGTACAAATTGCCTGGAGATACAAGAATAATCAAGTGAAAAATATTGAAAAGAACACAAGACGCAGACATTTAATGGTTGCCTAGGCAACTGCGTTGGCCGACCGCATCTGAACAATAGCAATCACCACGTGCTGTCCCATTCTCAAATTACGATCACTATATAAATGAAATATGCTCTTCAGATTGTGCAAACAAAGGAAGGAAAAACAGCACCGTCATTGAAAGTCGATGAAAATTTATGAGTGATAAAATATCAAGAGTAAAGATATTTTTAAGAAAGCCATAAGACCTTTTTAAAATACCTGGAGACGTTTTGAATGCAATATTATAAAACTTAAAGTCTTTTGGATTGGTATTACAAAAGTTTTACCACCAATGGTTTTCTTATGAAACTATAAACACTCTTATGAAAGCTGGAGTTTCCTAACAACAACTTTAAGCTGCGAGAATTGTTAGTTGGGCTGCAGTTTTTTTGAAATTTGATTTTTTTAATATAATTGCGGTTTCGGAAAGATCGACCTTTTCGCATCAAGTTAAAAAATCAACCAGCAACAACATTTCGCGGGATATCCTCACTTCCCAGGTTACTAAAATTATCATAAGACATGCGAATTTAAATTAAGGAAGTATTTTCTAATAGAACTTTTTCGCATTTCCGCCTGTCCTGTATTTACTTATTAAATTTTTGGCGCACCTTGTTTCACGTTTGTCGTATGCTAGAGTCGAACCAAAACAAACAATAAATCAATTAAAACACGTGCACGTGTCAAAGCATTTATTAATTACCGATGTGAGAACCTAGAAGCCCTTAAATACGGTTTCCCCATATTCCAACACGGCGACAACCACAAACCCACCTAGAATACTCGCTGACCGGGGTAACACATACACCCTTCTTTCCTTTTCCCGATTTAACACCTCGAAAAAAGTGACGTACAAAATAGTGCCCGTCGAGAAACCTTCCAAAAGCGTGGTCACTATAGATCTAGTCATAGTTTTTGCCGGCGTTTCTATAGTCACTAGCAACCCCAACAGGATACCTAGCGGGTTAATGGTGGCCAACAAAGCCATCTGAAGTACTACAAAAGGCACTTTGGTTTCCGCCAGCAGCAATTCCAGACCTAGGCAGAAAGAGAAAGACGCTAAATGACACGAGACGGCGATGAAGAGATACCAAATCTCAGCCAGGTTCTTTTGAAGTCCTATGGAGAGCCCCTCGAGCAATGAGTGTGAAGATATGGCGGTGACAGTCAACATCCATCGCATTAGGCGTTGTCTCTTCTTGATCTTGGCCGCGTTCTTTTTCGGTCGTTCTTCCAGAGGATAAACGTCGGAGTTTTCTTCTTCGGAAGCCTTTTCTATAGCCCAGTGGGCCCACTCTTCCAGAAAATAAACCGAGAAGAAACCGATACCCAAAGCCAGCTGGGCCCAGGGGTATTGGGATTTGATACCACTATACCTTTTGAGATCTTCCACGCAAAAGAAGAGTCGCTTCATGATGTGCAGGAAGCAGGTGGCAAACAGAATGCCTCCGCCGATTGATTGGCACAAGACGGTGGTGTAATCGAGACCATCATTTTGGACGCGCTTGAAATATTTTTGCAACTTGGTCGGCAACACCCCAAAAACGAATCGAGTAAGGGCGAACAGTACGGCTACCATTATTTTAGTGGTTATCAAATCCATCCGGAATGTCGCGCGACTAAGGGTCAGATCGGTAATGCGAGTGATTGGAAAACTGCATCCCGACTCGCCCACAATTCATTTGTTAAAAGGAAAAATTGTGTCATATAGAGTTATGGATGAGCCTCGATCGGGTTAATTGTTTTGGCGCATTGACTCGGCGATTCGTAATAAACCTAGAGGGTAAACGGTAGCATTAAAAACAATTTCCGTAATTGCTGGTAACGTTTCGAAGCTTTGGTTTGGTTTGGTGTTTCTTTTAAATTTAGAAGTAGCACCAGATGAAAGTAAAGAAAAAGGATAAAATTATCCATTTTGGGATATTGGGGATTGGTTAGAAAGACGTCCAGAAACAATTGAATTTGAAAAACTGTCGAAAATCATTTTTTTCTTATTTTTATAATTCTGTTTTATTTAGAATTAGAAATTAGGACTAATTTGTATTAAGTTGTATAAGCGAAAAAATTTTTGACATAATTGAAGTGCAAGCGAAAAAACTTTTTAAGATAATTGAACTGCATTTATACATTAAATTTCCAGGATTCTTAATCATTTCGTTCACTGAATGTATGTTGATTTGAATCGCCCCAGTATTGGGAATTATGTCGAATAAAAACACAAATTTGGTTGTTCAAGTTATTTTCAACAAAAAGAATTATTTCCCGGTGTTCAAGTTATAATAAATTCACAGAATGCGACTCTTCTAGGAAAATCCGTTCCTGAATAGAGAACTGTGGAAAATGGGTATGGATAAAATTTATGTTTGCGCAAGATTTTCTGAATTGATGACTTTGCTATGGCCTGCTCCAATGCAGCTTGTCTTATCGACATTGTTGAATATGTGGTTAAAAAACACAAAACAGTTATTTATTTCAATATTTTCATTATTAACAAGAAATTTATTTAGCTGTACCTTTGCTTTGAACCATCCAAAGTTTTTGATATAATTTAAAGAAAATATATTTTTTATTTAAGAAAATTAAATTAAGGAATAGGACATACAAAAAATATGTAGACTGTTCTCCAACCAATATCAGTTTAATTTCAAATTTTACAAATAAATAATTACTCATCGATTTACTATTTAAATAAAATATGTTTGATTATATAAGGTGATATTTAATAAGTGTCCAAAATTTAGCGCACTTTTATCTTCTTAAGTGTGTACTAACTTTCTGAAATTTGATTTTTATATCATAATCCATCAACCAAAACAATTATATAATTGTTATTGGTTAAAGCCTTTAAAACATTGAACACATTGAACTATAAAAATTGCGAAACGTGATCAAAACCTGTGCTAAAAATAATCGTAAAATTAAGAAATATACGTGCCAATATTTTTATATTGGAAAATTTCTATTTAATGAAATAACATTACGCGTTTTCGACTTAAATATACTTATTTAATGAGATAAACGTGTTTTGAAGCTGAAAATAATCGTCTTGTGACTAAGAAACGAAATGTTTTCTAACTTTTGATCTAAATTTTGATGCATTAGGGTCAGTTATCCCAAACAAATCTGCGAGTCATGAACCCCGTAAGTAAAAATCTATGAAACGTATAAAATAAATACGACAAGTACTTTCATAGTTGTTAGCTTTTATTTTAACAGTTTTCTTTTTCGTTTCAGTTTTAAATTTGTCACAACTCTGTTTAGTAAAAAGCAGATGAAAAATCTGATATACAAATGTATGTATACACTGTAATTTGAAGACCTCCAGCAAATTTTGAGCGCATTTCAAGATTTCATTGAAATTTTATTATAGCTGGGCGTCACCAGCCACTCACTTCATCACTCATGTTCCTGACCTGTTCCGATTTTGTTGACATTTTTTTTAAATGCGGCAAGTACCCTCTAAAACGCCCGACTTTAACAATTTATTACTTGTTTTTTGTACTTTTTATTTATCTCTTTTTAGATTATTAAGCGTTTTAAACTTTTTGATTTTCTTCTAAATATCCATAAAAATACATTGATCAATATCCATATCAGCTGTCCTCTACATTAAACGGGATGGTTACAAGAGCCCACTGTAATATAAATAAATAATAAATACCTATATCTTAATATTTTAACGTATTTTTTTTGTATTAGTATATATTTGAAAATAAATACCCTACTTCTAAAAGTTTTGTTTTAATTTTTGTTTTGTCCTATCTTTCAAAGCGCAGCAGCAGCAAAGAGCGATAATGCTAAGTTCTACCGAACACTAGTTTGCGATTTCAAAAAATATAGACGAAATGATACAGATGTTCCTACAACTTCCGAAAGCAAATCTGTTATGTCATTAATAGCTAACCAATTAGGTAAATAATTTTTTAAGGTGCGACAATTGTTTTATTCTCTTTCACATCGACGATCGTGAGCAAAACCCTCTGCCTTATCTCAGCTATAGTCTCTACGTATTGTAAAAGCGCCATCGCTACAAAGCCCCCGATAATGCACAACGCTCTCTTTAGCCTATGAACTCTTCTCTCCTTTTCCCTATTCAAGATCTCGAAGAATGTTATGTATAGTATGGCACCCGAAGACAAACTCTCAGATACGACCGATATGACCGCCATTTCAAACGTCTCTCCTAGGGACTCTATAGTGGCGATTATACCGACGAGAATTCCGAGCGGTGTCGCCATCGCTAGCAGGGCTATTTGGAGGACGATATACCACATCCTCGTCTTGGCCAGTAGCATTTCCAAACCGATGCAAAACAAAATCGATATGGAATGCGTCGTAGCTGCAACGAACAGGTACCAAATTTCTATGCGTCTCATCCTCAACCCCAGCGAAGCTCCTTCTATAATCCAGTGAATCGTCAATGCTATAATCGCGACAACGTATCGAGCCAGTTGCTCTCTATACTTAAAATATGTATGGTCCACCTTATGGTCGCTAAACTCGCTAACGATGCTGTTAAGTCTCTCCCGCTTTGTCATTTTTAACATTTCTGCAGCGTTTTGGCTACGCACGCTATCCGTTTCCAGGCCGGAGTCTGTCGATGGGTCCTTGCATCGTCTGCTCCTCGAAGGTTTAGGGGAAACTCCTTCGTCTAGGAGGGCCTCTTCAGCGATCGGTCTGAAACTTGAAACGTACTCCAGGTTGGTTTTCGTGGCCCTAGGTCGTCTACTAAGTATCCAATGGATCCATTCTTCGGTGAAGTAGACGAGAAAGAAACCAACACCAAGTCCTACCTGGGACCATGGGTATTCCGTAATGTAGTTGTACCTGTTAGGAGAAATACTTCAGTAACTAGAAAATTGGAACGGACATTATTAATATCAATCAAGGGTTTACGCAAAATAGTAAAATTCACGAAAGCTGCATTAAAACGTTTAAATATTTAAATTACATTACTTATAAAAAAAAGCAATCAAAAAAGCGAAACAACAATTTCCGCACAAGAATCTCCAAAGAAAAACAAATGGAGTAATGCGTAACTGCATAAATGTGCACTATATGAAAGTTTAATGAGTTGATGGATTATGTAGGTTTCATAATATGCCAGTTAAAATAGTTACCACGGAAATTAGCGATTGAATGTTGATCTTTTTCAATTTTTTGTCAGTTTCATTTTGCATGGTAATTTCCGATATATTGCTATTAGATAACGTGTGCAAATAATAAATGCAAATAAATAGTGTTGTGGCTATTTTTTTATCATTGAATCAATCAATCATTATTAATAATAATATATATAATATATATATATATATATATATATATATATATATATATATATATATATATATATATATATATATATATATATATATATATATATATATATATATATATATATATATATATATATATAACCCTCTTCAAGGAATACCCGAATACGATACTTAGCGATTCGCAAATCCGAATACAAATATCGACTCCATTTATTTCATTTAGTTATTTCATCATTTCATTGTATTTTTAAAATTATTTGGGTCACTTGACACAATTCACCGGTCATTTCCACAACCCTACAAAATAAATAAATATTATTATTATTACGAAGTATTAAACGAAAAAAATATTTTTTAAACCTTTATTTACTTTCAAAAACCGCTACTTTAAGAAATTGTGTCTGACTTTCAGAGTGCAAACCATTGTAAGCTGGTCTAAATTTTGAAAAAGTTTCATATTTCACCTTATAAAATAAATATGTGTTAAAAATATCGTTTTAAGAATCATTTAATCTGGACTCGAATATTCTCTTGGAGGCCATTTCTTGAATGTTAAATATACCTTCTTATCTCCAGACATCGCACCATTTTCTCAAAGTGAAAGTCTGCTTGATGCTCAGTGCTAGTTGTAAAGTTTATTTTACTCTTAAATTTATTTTACTGCATTTTGTTAAAAAATGAGAGTAAAAATTTCAGGTGATGGTGACCTAAACTATGGTACCGCTAACTAGATATAAATTATTATGTCCAGCGGAGTATTTTTGTCTAAGTTAGGCAGAGAGAGATTTGCTTAATATTTTGATTTGCTATAATTAGTATTTTGGGCAGTTTAACCAAAATTGACCAACAGCAAAATAATCGTATATTATGCAACAAGTACAGTAAACGGCATTTGACTCACGAGTTTATTTGACACGAGCGGAGCGAGTTTTTAACAAACGAGTGAGTTAAAAAGTTCACCGAACGTGTTGCGTACTATACTTTTTCTACTACCGTGCGGTAAAATCTCGCAAATGTCCGAAATGGCTCGGATTCGTGGGAAACGAAGTTGGCGTGGTAAAGTGACACTTCTCACACGCTAGATCGGTTGGTAATTAGGAGTTTTTGAGACGGGAGTAGAAAAAAATTATTAACGTGACAATTCTAGCGGTAACCCTCAAATTCCTTTTAGGTAACTTTAAGAGAAAGAAATACCCTGAGGATTGTGAAAGAATGTTTTAATAATAGTGTGTCAAGGGTCGTGTTCAATTTTGAATATACCAGCTTAATGGAAAGCACTATGGAAAAAGCAAAAACTGTGAATCCCACATATTATTTTTTTTTTATAAACTTCAATCCGTACAACAACGCTGTTGATATAAACATTAAATTAGGTTTCTACAATACCTACGGCGTCAAGAAATAGTTTTGCAAAACTTGTTGCATACTAGTTCTAGCATGGGACCCAAAATATTTACCAGTTTCGAAACTTAGGCCACGCCGCCTACGCTGCAATCTTTATTCGACATAGGTAGCGTTGAACTTTAACAGGTAACATGGGAAAACAACAACGTTAAAATAAAACAAGAACGTCAAAATAAAAGGTGCAAAAAGTGCCTATTAGAGATGAAATAAGGCTCTCGTTAATAAAGTTTAAAGCCTAGGCTGTGTCGTCAGTGGTAATACGATAACTTTTCAAAACAGGGAATATTGTGGATTATGAAATAAAAAATAAAGATTTGATTTTTTTAATTTTACTTGAACTGTCACGTTTTAAATATTTTCATTTGACTCGTTTCTTTCTTGCTTATTCTAATAAACATCTAATGCATGGACGACATCTAATTTCGTCATACCAAAGAAGTAGTTTCTATAGGCGCGAAATATTTTAGTTAATGGATAAAAGGTAAATTTTTGTAGCAAACATTTTCATAGTTTCCTTTTCGACTTTTCGAAAATGCAAAATATTGGAAAGCGAATTATCTCACTGAATACTACAACTATAATTGGCAACACTTACCACATCTTTAGTTCTTCATAGGTAATAAATAGCTTCTTAACGAAGTACAGGAAACAGGTTGCAAACATGACGCCTCCTCCAAAACTCTGGCACATCACCACTCCGCAACTGACCCTCTCGTGCCTCTTCTGATTGACGAACGTATTGAAATCTTCGTTGGAATCCCTCCATTTTCGAAGGGACTTATACAACCGCAGGGGCAACACGCCGAAGAAAAATCGCGTGACCCCGAATAGCACCATTACCACGATTTTGGTGGTTAGGACGTCCATCGCGCGAGACTGTTTTTCGATTAATTTCCAATCTAGGTCGACGAAACACTGTGCCATCGTTAGAGGTTTTCTTGAGGCTTCTTCGAAACCGAGAGCATAATATTTATTTTGGCATCTACCCGCGAGCGTTTCGTCCCTGGATTCTTCCTGAATGATTTATTGGCCAACGAATGGTGATGACCAGTTGGGCAATCGGACGATAGATATCCGATTATGCACTTGTTAATCTGAGTCTCGAACAACTTAATAATTTTAGAAAGGTTTTGAGCTTTATATTTTTTGTTAAAAATCGCTTACCATATTTTGTTTAACTCGATTACTATTTCGCTGATGTACCGTGTGTCCCATTTTAACTATACTTCCTAATTAATAAAGTTGGCGTGTTGCGACTTTACTGACCTATGGCTACTTTTTCATGAAATTAAAGGCGACAAACAGAAATGTCATAGCCATATCGGATTTTTAGATACTGGATGGTTTTGAAAATGATGCTTTTTTAGGCTCCCTTCGTAAATCAGTTATGCGTTAACTTTTCGAAAAAGTGGTCTGGATTTTATATAGGTTTCAGTGGTGTAATCAATTTTCTTCATATGCTCACAAAGTAAACTGTTTTTTTTTTAATGGAATTAAGCTTTTCAAAGATATGTAAAACATAATAAATATTTCGAAGCATATATCTTTCATTACAAATTTTTTTGTTTAGTAGGCCATGAAAAATGCCTGTACTAGATAATATTGTGGCTCTACTACGGTAAAAATGAATGCGCCACAGGCAGCATTGACTGACTTTCCGCGCTTGCCTCTAAATTTCACCCACTAACCTAAACTTTGCGTCACTTTCTTTCAAAACAGCGTTTTCCCATAAAATTTAACGCAGATTTTGACCAAATAATGTCGCAAAAATGCCGCATCCAAATTCATTGACGATCTGTCAACCGCCATATTGATCGTTGAATGCCGCACGGTCATGGGTTAAAAACCTCTTTTTTTTTTGTATTTATTTATTTATTAACATTTCTTAGGCAGACTTGAGAGAAAGTTTTGAAATTTTAGCGTTTTAGTAATTTTCTGATATGATTCGAAAATTATAAATGTCAAATTTTTCGTTGAGAAACTTTTGAGGGGTACAGATTAAATAGATACAATGCGCACGATTATTTAAATTCCTTACTTAAATTTCTTACTTGGAGATGTTCTTTCAGCTCACTTTGGGCATGGTGTAAGAAACTGGTTAAATGAAAATTTTGCAAGCAAGTGGATTGGTCGAGGTGGCCGAGTAAATTAAGTCACAAAAGTAGATAGCCCAGAAGAGTTACTAAGGTGAATTGATGATGCTAAAAATCAAATTAGAATTAATCGCTGCGAGATTTTTCCTGCTTCTCCAAATATTATAATTAGATCACGACTGTGTATTCAAAATAATGGAAAAATGATTGAAATTTAAAGTAAATTATTTATTTTACATTGTTACTCATTCAATACGGAATTATGAATTAAACTTACTGGTTAATGTTATTTAATTTTTCATTAAAATAGTCTGCAAGCGAGCCGCAGACAAAAATTAAAAAATAATAAGCCTTTCAATCCCGTTTCAAGGCATACCTCTCAATTTTTGATGCATAAATATGATGGGCACGCTAAACAGTGTATTTTTCAATACTATTTGTCATTTATAATTTTAGAGTCCGATTCAGAATGCCAAAATTACTAAACCGCTACAAAATGGGTCACTAACTTTGAGGTTACGAATAGCCTGTCTCTTTTTAAATTTGGTTACCAAAGCTCTACTTGCGTTAAAGTTGTTATCACCATAACATTTTGCATAGAGTTGTATCGCATTTTCTCTTAAAATATAACATGTTATGGTTGCAGGTTTTTCCCGCTGCTTAATAAACCACCCGTATAACTCCGTTTCCATTTGAGGATATTCTCCTTTTCGCAGAGTTTTCTTACGGCCCGGAGCAGAAAAACAATTTTCGATGTAGCTGAAACAAGGCGATAACATTGGTATAGAAGAATTCACTAACCTGAGAGTTTACAGTTTGTACCAAAAATGTCAAAAAATAAAACAAAAAGATATTTATTTTCTGATTTTCAGTCATTTCAAAACTCTCAAAACAAAATTTCATGCTAGCTCTACAACATACACACCTCTTTATTTGACCATGCTTCTTAACCTCTAAGAAAATCTTGACTCGCCCTTTATGGCTTTTTAATAATTAGGGGATTCACCTAGACAACACCATAAAAGTTACATGAAATTATCGAAGAACACATGATCCTGACTATGGAAAACATAAGAAATCCGGATTATAGAATACATAAGGTAAATAAGTAATATTTAAATTTTGTCCGCATTACTGGAGAATCCGGATTAGTGGAGTTCGGATTAGCAAAGCTGTACTGTATCCTAATTTGTTAGTTTCAGAAAAAGCTGACTACCAAACTGGATTCTTCAAAAAAAAAACTTATCCAAGAACTTATAAAGCAACTACAAAAAAAATTTTGAGGTTTCAGCATGCGCATGAACGACATTTAACCGTTTTTTAACCAATGACCTCAGGCAGGCGCACTCAATAACCAACATGGCCGTCAATAAGTTTAGACGCTACAAATCCAAAATAGTTATAACATTTCTATTATATCACCTTTCATTTCATAAAAAACAAGCTTAAGCCATAAAAACACAACATGCTAGCTTTGTTAATAAGGGAGATGCGGCCTTAAACTTTTATTTATGTCGTATTTGGTTAAAAATAAAAAGTTATTAGCAATCTTCGAAATGGCCGAACATGGAAAAACCTTCGATACTTCGATACTTCGATTAATGATAAAGATATAGCCATGCAATTTTTATAATTAAATATCTCTAAAAAGTTATTTAAGCCCATATTGGCAGTTACCACCAAAAAGAAGCATATTATAGTATGAAGTAGATTCGAAAGTCACCAAATCTTCAAATCCACAAATCAATTTTTCTAAGCTGCAACAATATGTACATGTTGTATTATATTATAACCTATGCTAAAAAACACATGTGTTTTAAAAGCCTACGCCTGATTCGAAAATATTCAATAATTACCACACATTAATTTTCTGTTAAGTTTAAAATAACTCGCTAAAAGTCCCAAATCGAAAATAATTGGTAGATTCTTAAGCGGCTCAATAATTGACTACTACAAAATGTGAAAAAATACTCTTTATTTTACCACTATTAAAAAGTCCGAATTTAAAATAAGATCCATTAAATGGAACCTTATATAAAATATAGCATAATTTTTCCATTCAAATCAAAATGGCTCATTTAGATCTAAGACGTTTCGCCAAAATCTCACGTGGATCTCACCCGAAGAAATATATTAATCTAAACGACACTTTTGATATAAAATTCTAAATTTGTCTCAAACGCTACAGAGACATTGTTTTATATAAAATGTGTCTAGAAAATTCCGAGAAATTAAAAAATGCCCTAATATACAAGACTCTTGTTTCAAAGTTTTTTTTATTTTTTTGTTACAGATTCTGAGAAGAGGTATCGACCACTGTGCGGAAAATTTGCAACTCGGTTAAGAAACCTGCAAATGTCTAGGTCACTTCAATTATCTCCTCGTTGGATCCGAAGGGATAGTTGACATCGATTCAAAAGTATTAAGTAATTAGAAAAGGCAAGCAATTAAAACAAATTTTCCATTAGTTGCGTAAACGCAAACCCACGCCAACCGACATATGCGTGCCATAAAAAGCACATGTTTTCGCGATTAATTGGATTAGGGATGTATCGGGTGTGTCGTACCGAAACTTGTCGAAATTAAATATAACAAAACTTGCGTTATATTTCATGTGACTTTTTTATTATTATTCTGTTTCTGTTTCGTAACATTAAACTTTGCGCAACTGCGTGCCATTTGTGCCTCGTTGAAAATAGTAAAAAGTCCATCGTTCCAGCGATTTTACAGCTTCCAATAATTTTATATTAATAATTTGTATATCACTTTGGCTTTTAGCCTGCAGACGGCGATAATGGATAGGGTTTTTGCGTAGGAGTCAATGACAGAAGTCAGTTTTCCTAGGAAACTCACAAATTTTTATCCAGGGTTTTTCAAAACAAATGCGAAATACTTAAAGGAATGATTCCTTATTTAAAGTAAAGGTTAGTTTCTTTTATTGAATCAAGAGTCAATCATTAGGCAGATATCACACTAGTATTTTTGATCTGAAAAACGAAAATAGATAGAACAAATTACCATTATAAAAACACATTTTCTGCATATTTTTTTCTTTTCTTTAATGAGTGAAGGGGATGAAATAAGATATATGTATTTCCGTTGCAGAGTTATGGGGTGTTCTTTTAGTTATTTAAAGTTTTGTATTTCTATGAAAACATTTATTTATTTGCAGAGGATTTATACTTTGGACAAGTCCGTTGTCGGCAGTCGAAATGTGCATATCGCTGTGACTTTGAGCAATTTTATGTGAGTGGTGTTAAGTCAAGGAGAATGGCACGACGAATGAGCACAATCCACCATTACCCCTCTCCACAAGAAGGGGAGCATAGAAGTGCAGCAACTGTAGTACAATTTCCCTCATCTCCCATGTCAGTAAAGTAATGTTGCAAATTATAAACGAAAGAAGCAGAACAAGTGAACATCTTCTGAATATGCGCCAAATCATAAAGAAAACAAGGGAATTCAACATCTCTCTTTATATTTGTTTGGTAGACTATAAAAAAGCTTTCGATAAAGTTAGACGACATCTGGCAAGTGAGAAATCGTAAAGCAAGTGAGGGTACCGCAACACCTTATTTCACTTATCATCCAGTGATATCAGCACACTACGGAATCAGTTAGAATACTGGATTTAGCTTTAAAGGAATTTTCTGTTGAACCAGGAGTCAGACAGGGGTGTATAATGCCTCCTCTACTATTTAACGGACGGTGAATACATCATGGTCGCTAGAAATATGGGAAGGAGGCATTTCAATAAATGATCAAAAAATAAATAACCTACACTTTGCAGATGATACAGCATTACTCGCTTGCAGTCAAGAAGAGTTTAGTAAACAGGGTAGAAAACGAAAACAATCGGCTCGGTCGGAACTAAATTCATAAAAAACTAAAAACATGATAGTTAATAGGGAACTTAACAACCATCCAAATATAACTCACAAAATTAATTATATATAAAAACATTATATTCAACAGTTTAGTCATGAGTAGAGCGCAGCGGAGCGAGTGTCTAAAAAAACATACCAAACATCTTACGAATAAGAAATCTTTTTACTTACATTTTTAATACATACCAAACATCTTAGGAATAAGGAAATCTTTTTACTTACATTTTTAATACAAAATAATTTTTGCCACATTTCATTTTATTTATTTTTTTTTAATATATTTAAATATAAATTAATAATATATAATAATAATAAACTCAAAAATATGTACTTAAAACTTCATTAGTCCCAAAAAATTTTTATTTCAATTTTAATTTTCTTTTACCAAAACAAATTATTATATTCAACATAAAAATATTATATTCAACAATTTAGTCACGAGCGGAGCGCAGCGGAGCGAGTGTCTAAAAAAACGTATGGTTAAAATATATTTAATTTATGGATATTTCCATTTACATCTCATTTTCAGTTTTATTTAATTTCATTAAATATAAATTAATTAAATATAAAAATATTATTTCAAACAGTTTAATCACGACCGGAGCGCAGTAGAGCGAGTATCTAAAAAAAAATGATAAATTGATTGTTTATATAAAAATATAATTTCTTTGTAAAAACAATCTATTTATGAATGTGTTCTCTATATGAAGACGGTCCATATACAAAGACGGCCCGTATACGAAGGCGGTCCGTATACAGAGGCGATCTGTATATCGAGGCGGTATGTATATGGAGGCGGTCTGTATATGGAGGCGGTCTGTATATGGAGGCGGTCTGTATATGGAAGCGGTCTGTATATGGAGGCAGTCTGTACGCTGGCCGAATTTTCAGAGAGCCCGAAGGGAAAAGAACGTTTTAATTTTTGACCTCCCTGAATCTGCTAACGACAATAATAATATGAATAATCTTCATGAAGAGAATCTCACGAATGATAGACCTTTCAAGGCCACAATCTGCACTGCGTATTGAGAAAACTCTGCGAGACCGCGCCCTCCCAAACTTACTTTTCATCCTCGCGCGTTCTGTTTAGTTCCATCGAGTCTCGATTTAGTCGGATCAAACCCCAAAGCAATTAAAGACAGTATTAAAGTAACCTTCGTGGAGAGCTTCCTAGGCGACATAACAATGGCGAGGAAAATCTAACAATTAAATACAAAAACAATCAACCAGGGATCGTGGGTGTTTCTTCTAAGGACGCTCCGAAACGCCTTCACGAAAATCTAACCAATCGAAATACCAATCATTTGACAATCATTATACAGAAAAGACAGTTCTGTTGTGAACTTGTAGTCAATGGAAGGAACTCTGGTGGTACTTTTAGTGAGTTTACTTTTTCTAACAGTAATAGCAGCAGCGTGGTGCATCTTTGTTTTGCAAATCTATTTTTATATTTACTAAAGAACTTTTCTATTGTGTTTGCTTCAACTATGTCTCATCATTTTCCCATTCATTTAAAACCTAATGTCTCTATGCGTAAAAGTGAGTCATATACCACGACTTCTGAACTATGTCTTCGCTGGGACAAGCAATGTCATTTTCAGCAAGAACAACATTCATACAAAATGTAGAACTAAGTATTGAAAACCTTACTATAGCGATCATGGAATCCGCTCGAAACTTAGGTCTTGTCTCTACCTTTTCATTAAAGGAAAACACATTCACAACTATCCAAACCCTAGTTTGATAGTGAATGTCTCAAGTCAAAGAAGCGATTGAATTTCAATTAAAAAAATGCATGAAATCAAACTTTAATTCTATTGACAAAAACCTTACATGAAATTTCTGTTATCTCTATTCTATCGCATACAAAAAATCAACACCAAATCTGGCGATGCTTCATTTTAATGATCATAATAAAAAAAAAACAATTTAACCGTTTACGAGTGTGACTTTTCTCTGCTCGGCCTATTCGTCTCGTGTAATAGATTACACACATTTATTCGACGCTTCAAATTTTACTTGATTCTGGTATAACTGTCGACAACATCAAAACAATGTAAGCCCAATAAGACCCTTGGTATAGATCTAACACAGTACGAATTTTTTAAAAAATCTACCAGATAACTGGTTATTATGTCTGTATTTACTATGCAATAACATATTTCAGGGGTCAAGTGCTGTTCTCCATGATCCACAAAAAAGCCAGCTTTGATGATTTTGTCAAAAAAGTTCTTAGACTGGGCAGAAAGAATACATGTAATTCCCGAATATCAGTCTGGTTTTATGATCTGGACGCGGCTCTATCGACAACGTTTATGTTTTACCCTCGGTGATTCAACTCCAACTTAGACTGATAAAAACAAAGGTTTTTGTAGCTTTTGTTGATTTTAAACGCGCTTTTATTTCGATCCCTCATATTTTGCTTTGGAACCAGTGGCGACAGTGAGCCCTTTACTTTTTTCCATTTTCTTGCGTATACTGACGCCTACATTTCATCAAGGGATTTTCAAGGCCTCTCTGTCGGTGCGTTTCATAGCCTCACCTTAGTGGCCTACGCAGACGATGTCATTTTATTAACTGAATCAGAGAGTCAATTACAAGAACATGTTGTTTGGCCAGGTACGCAAGCGAAAAATTCCCTTACAATCAATGCTCAAAAAAACTAAAGTTGTGTTTCGGCAGCCCAGCCAAATCTCTTCTTGTGTGATTCAAGGCTGGATGTGGTTAAAAGGTTTAATTACTTTGGTGTGACATTCTCTTCTTCCTCTTTGCTTAGATAAATGGCAGACACATCAATTTCGAAAGCGAGTCATTCAGCGCCTCGTCGATGGTGAGAAAGAGTAAACTTTTCTCTTAATACTGTTAAATATACTGAATATTTTTTCCGAATGTCTTCCAGTTTGGGGCATACGTTCTTGAGCAAGTACCGACCTACTTTTTAAAAAGATTATTGTTACTTCCTAAATCAACTTCAAGTGCTTTACTTCGCCTTGAAACAGGTTCCACGCACTTAATTTACCAAACCTTTAAATCTTGCCTCACTTTTCTAATGTAAGTGTTAAGAATGGACGAGAGTCGTCTCCCGAGACGGTGTTTTGATCGCCAGCCATCTCTGATCAATAACACAAGGCACACCAAATTCAACTGGGCATGTCAGATTAGAGAGCGTGGGTGGGTTATGGTGAGTGGTACAGAAATCCATCATATATCATTCCAGGACGCAAAGGAATAACATCTTACAATGTTTTAAAACAAAACTTTTTGAAGTAGATATCAACATTGCAGCCGGTTCACACTACACGAATTTTTACTCAGGGGTTGCACCCTTTGATCTACCACCTATATTTAAGTTGCCAATTTTAAGAATTATCACACAATTAAGATTAATTTAATTCTCCAATAAAGGCTGAAACAATGTACTACCTTCTATTCACTTGCCCCATCTCTAATGCTTTCCATACCGTGGAATTTTGCAATAACAATGCTTTTCTTATTAAAAATACCCGTGCCTTTCTAAAAAACGATTAAAAATAAAACTGCAATGTGTATTTGCGAATTTGAAATCAAATGTTGATATTTTGTTTTTTTTTTTAGGCTTGTGTAATGTTTGGTGCGGATTTCTTGGTGAAGAAATATAGTTTCTGGTAAACAATAAATAATAAAACAATATAAATACGTTCAACATGCAGGCTTTGGACAGTATCGTAATACAGAACACAAATGCGTGGCCAAATTCTAATTTTCGTTGTAAAGACAGTTTCAGTTTAACCTTTCAAATAAATTTTAAAGAATCAACGCCAATCACCATCACGCAATCTTATCAGTTTTCATAAAATAAACTATAAATATCCGATCTATTTGCCAACTAACCTTACAAGTACGCAGTGTAGAGCAAAATATAAGTATTGTCTTTTGATTTTTCGAAAGGTAGTTTCCGATAATTTCCAATAATATATAGGATGTCTCTTATAAAAATCAATTTGTCGTTTGATAATTCTGTCTAAAAAGTTGCTTTAGAAATGTTTTCACCGAAACACAAAATTTTTTAGAATGCACATTTTCCAAAAACACCACATAATTCTGAAACAGTACTACATACCCATCTGCGGTTTTTAGTGATATTAGTTTTCGTCTATCTCTTATAGAAAAAGTGTCCAAATTGGTCCTCTCTGTACACTGATTAAATCTGTATATTATCGCTGCTCGTGCCTACAGAGAAACCGTTTTATCGCGTTTGTCTTGCGTTAAAAAACAAGTAATGTTATTATCCACAAGAGTGACTTTAGCAGAAGACCCGGAATCCTAAAAATTAAAACCAATTTCAACGACTAATAACGTATAATATTCAAACATTTCCTTTGGAAATCACAGATATATGTGTGCACAACAAATTAATGAGTCGCAAAAAATCGACCCGCTCCTTTAAATAATTAACGACCTCTAATGTTCATTGCATTTAATATCGACTTTTATGGCTTAAGTCCTGGTGCGGTTTCGCTCCAAAACGACCACTTGCGTAACGGCGTACATCGTTTCGATCTGTTGCAGCAACCCCATCATCGCGAACCCGCCGACGATGCACAACCCCCTCAGCATCCGATGCACCCGCCTCTCCTTTTCCCTGTTGAGTATCTCGAAAAACGTGATGTACAAAATGGCACCCGCCGACAATCCCTCCAACAATATGGTAACAATAGACTTGGCAGTGGTTTCTCCGGGTGTCTCTATTGTCACGATAAGCCCTAAAAGCATTCCGAAAGGCGTGGCGAGCGCCAGCACCCCCATTTGTATCACGATGAACCGTATCCTGGTACGTGCAAGCAACAATTCCAAACCCAGACAGAAAAGTATGGTAGCCGAGTGGATGCTGACAGCCGTGAAGAGGTACCAGATTTCTACGGCCCGTCGCTGCAGCCCAATGGAGAGGCCTTCGATGATCGAATGCAACGACAACGCCGCTATGGTGAGGACGCAACGCATTATTTTCTCGCGGTTCGTTACTTTCTCCGCGTCTTCTTTCTCCGATACGACAGAACGGGCGGATTTCGTACTGCCAACTCTGGTACTCCTGGATGTAGCCGAATTTAGGCCAGAGTCGATCAGAGAAACTCCGGAGTTTTTCCTGGTCTCGCTCGCAGGTCGCTTCGTGTCCTCTACCGGAGCAATTTTCACGCAACCCTCTAAAGGCTTCGAGAGATTGCTGGCTATCTTGTCGATGGCCTTTTTTGTGCACTCGCTATTCACTTTTCTCTCGATGAGCCAGTGCGACCATTCCTCGAGGAAGTAGATGCAGAAAAAACCGACCGAGATGGCCAACTGGGAAAGCGGGTATTCAGTCTGAACATTTCGTATCACCTTAAATTCCTCCACGGAGAGAAAAAGCTGCTTCATCATGTGCAAGAAGCAGGTGGCGAAGAGGACGCCGCCCCCGAAGCTCTGGCAAAGCATCACCCAGCAGTTGAGTTGATCGTGGCGACGTTTGTTGACGAACGTGTTGGAGTCTAAGGTAGCGTCCTCCCATCGTCGCAACACTCGGTAGAGTTTGACGGGCAGGATGCCGAAGAAGAAGCGGATGAATCCGAGGAGAAGAGCGACCACCACTTTCGTGTTTATGAGGTTCATGGCGACTTCTAGGACGACACGACGGCGACGTCGCGCGGATGGACGTAAGGTGGCGTGTGTCCGAAGTTCGAATTGCGACGACTAACGCGGTAATTCGGAACGGGACGTCGGTAACTCGATACGATGTTCGGCAACTTCCGTTTTCAACGGTATTGGCAATTAACGTAATTGGTGTGTCAACACGTGATCGATATATTACTTGAATCGGTGTTGAAATGACATCAGAAGAATAGCTAAAATATGTTGATATGGTATGTTCCAGAATATATGGTCTTGGATTTTAACGGCAATTATCGAAATTACTTGCCGACACCTGACCGGTCGTTATTGCGGAACAGAGCATCAGGGACCGACTTCGAACGTGTTTTAAAAATATAAACATTAAATATTATATTATGTAAAAGTTCTGCATATGAATTTTACACTTTCAAAAATTGCACCTTCTTTTAATTTAAGTCTGTTTACTTGATGAATTTGGTGCATTTTGAAGGTAGTTGGCGGCTGTGATAACTTGCGTTATCCCGTACGACACTGTTATCCTGAATATTTTTTTAAAGATAATTTTGAAACCAGTTTTCAAAAATATTTTGCACTTTTATCTTCTTGATATCCCAAATTAGAGTCCCCAATTTTGTTCGCAGACAACAGCAAACAGTTTGGGATAAATTCTTCTTCTAATCCAGTGCGAATTATGGTTATGCGTTTTCCTTTATTTTACTGGAATGAACCCATCTTTTAGATAGTGTGTGCATCAAATTATGTATCTGTTTTTGGATCTATGCGTTTTAATTCCCCGAATCTAAAAATACTCAATCTGTGCGATTAGTATTTAAATCCCATTCTCCCAATAATTCTGTGGAGAACGACACGGCTAATAATTATATTGTTTTCATCTTCTTCTAGGCTTTTTGCACTCTGAATTTCATTTTTCTTCTTATGATATCTTATTCACTATTATCCGGACTGTGAGATCATTCATTCACTGTTATCAATATCCTTTGTCGGAGATATTGGAATTTTTGTAAGAAGACAGTTTTGTTAAGCTTCTTGTTTAATAGATGCTCTACTTATAAAACATTTATACACATTTCACAATTTGTTTTCGGTAGTCAAAATATCATGTGAGTTCGACGCAACATGACGGAAAAATTAGGGATATACTCGTAAGAAGCATTTTTGAAACGCAGGATAACACGCTGTCACTGATTATCAGCCGACACCTGGTCGACATCTACCTGACTCGCCCCTGTGTTATCTCTTAATTATGAATAAATTAACGGTTGTTGGGTTTACCCAGTAACAATAGGTATGAAAGTCGTAATTACTTCAGTGGTGAAAGTCTCTCAAAAGCCAAGACGATATACTTTGAGACACACTATACAGGTTGTCCACTTCATTGCTACACTTTTCGTAATTATTTACTTTAGACAAAATTCTATTGTAGCAACAAGTATTGCTCTGCTACTCCCACTTTAAGACCTCAGATTCGTTCTTTATGATAGCAGCCACTTCGGACATTTCCGTTATTTTAGTCAGGGGATTGCGAGCCATGGGGTATTTTCGGCAGATTTTAGGAATAGGGGTATTTTGATGTTTGTCAATTCTGAGGTTCACGTATTCATGCCCATTCGCAAAATGTGCTCTAAAACTAATAGTCGTAGAAAGAGTATGGTATATGCAATATTTTGATAAACTTCTTCAGTGCTGTTTATCTAACTTGTAACATATAATTGCTTAATATGCTAATTTGATATCCCAAACACAGCTTGAAAGATCCTTCTCTTTAAATTTGCACTAATTTTTTTTGTTCAGCTTTGATATATTATTGTTTAACAAAAAACATTGTGGAAAAAATAATACGTAATATACTTGTCTCCTCTGTAAGTGTTTGAAATACATCCACCATAAGGCTACAAAAATAACTGTTTTGTAGAATCGGCATGCATCTGCAGCACAATCCGTGAACCACCTATATATCTATTACGCTTTGCATAGGAATCCAATAGTTGTCGCAATATTCGTAAACCTGAGGAAGGCTTTTGACGTGGTTAGTTTTGACATATTGCTGCACAAGCTGCAGCTTATGGGGATTCAAAGGTAATATGGCTTAATTTATCCAAGCTTTATGGACGGCAACCGGATATCCGTATAACAAATACATATGGACTACTACTTGGGACGCTGCTTTACTCTCTGTATATTCTACACTTGAAAAATGCAGAACTTAAAACTCACTACTTTACATATGCTGATGATACACACCGTTCTGGTGTATATTGGCGCAGACGAGCAAGTGCCAACCCAAGAAATCAATGCCAACTTTTAATGTAAAATGGTTACTATCTAATAATATTGTTTAAATAAAAGATTATGAACTATTCATTAGTTCAGTCATTATTCAAGATGTAATACAGGAGTGAATAATCCGATTGCAAATACATCAAAGACGTATAATAAACGATAAATGGATACAAAAATATGAGGAGGTATACCGTATTCGTTAAACACGTAAAAATATAATTGTACTCGCTATGGTGAATTTCAAAAAATGGTTGTTAGTTCTTGTTCTGTTGTTAAGGTATTAATAGTTGTGGTTAAATTTTCGCATTGTATTTATTTTTGTTAGTTTCGCGACTAGAGCTACTAAGCACTGATTTGAGACTTTGTTCTATAATAATACATCTCGGCATAAAACGTTGGCACATCCTCTATAAAATGAGTTTTTTAATAATGCTAACCTCTATCTATCCTTCCAGCTATCAAATCAGATTTTTTTTTAAGATTTTGAATATAGAATATTGAATATTAGCCGTTCTGATTTTTTTGAATTATATTTTGGAAAATCATTGTTAAAATGCAATTAAATTAAATTACTTTTCCGAACTGCAACGACAAAAGTTTTTTGGGTTGAAGGATAGTGGGAACGGCGGATTAATTGTTTGAATCGCCGATCTACCGACTCTATTTACCGGTCTCTAGGAAACAGTTACGCACACCCCCTTCTGTTATATTTCATTATTTAGTGAGTGAAAATATGTTCGGTGCTCCTTTCAATTCTCAAGATCATCCCCAATCGACGATCAACGAGATTTGCACCACCGAACCGCCCAAGAAGGTAAATTTTAATATAGCGTTACAATTTTGCTATAGTTTCCGCCATTCTTTTGCATCGTAGAATAAAGATGACCTCCGCGTTGATCGCAGGCCTATCAATGAGGTTTTCTTCAACGGCAAATACGACGAACATGAGAGGGGAAAACAATTCAAGAAGGAAATTCGAGACCGAGTTCTGGAAAAGTTAAAAGCTTACGACGACTCGGTTGAAGAAAGAAGAAAAAAGTAAGACTTGCGCCGGGTGATCAAATCAGTCCCTAAAATGAAATCTACAGTATTTTAAAATAGAAATTATGAAGATATACGCATAGATTAAATTTTTTTAAATGTAAACATGGATTTTTTTTTAATTCTTCTTTTAAATCTAAATCGCCGCTCTTTAATTGGTCCAAAAATTGAAAAGTGTGGCTAACTTTTAGGCTCCGGGAGTTGCTTTGCATAGAAGAACGACAATTCTACTATGAAACCATAAATAACATACAAAAAAAACAAGATCTGAAGATGGCGGAGATGAAACAGCGTGCAGAACTGTTGAAGGCCCAACGGGAGGCCGAACGTTTGGAGCTCGTACGTCAAAAGCGAATCACACAATACCGGTAAAGTGTGTCTCAAAGTATATCGTCCTGGCTTTTGACGGACCATTCCCCAAAAACTAATTACGTACCTTCATACTGGGTTAACCCACCAACCAATAATTTATTCACGGGGCCGACTCAGGTAGATACCGAACACCATCCTTGATGCTCTGTCCTACAATACCGAATTGTAAGGTTATTTTGATAATTGCCGTCAAAAGCCAAGACGACACTTTGAGACCAAGTATACCTACGTTAACGCCGGCATCGGGATTGGTACGAATCATTTGTGTTGTGCAGGAACAAGTGCCCCGAATCAACGCCGAAACTGATCCAAAAGAACTTGATTGAATCCAAACAAATACAGCTTCAGCAGATTAAAGAAAACGAAGCTAGAAGGCAAGCGGATAGGGAGCTGGAGAGGATGTGGCACGAGTTATGCGCCAAAGAATTAGAAGTTAAGGTACTTCATGCAGAGACTTTAACCTAGTAGGCTTCGTTTAAATCTACATAATATGATGTGTAGTCCTAAATTTCAGAAACGCCCTCTGATTGGTTGTGACGTCAATTGTTAGAGGTTCAGTGGTCAACTGGCTGCATGAGGCAGTTTTGTCTAAAAAAAAACACGTTTTTCTTTAATATTTTCTATTTTTTCGTAATCGTAATATGCAAAATATATTTTTATGAAATAGCCTGTATAATTGAAAATGTTTTTGAAATGCTTAAAAATAATTTGATTTTGCACAACACTTATTACAAAAAAAATTAACAGAATTCACAATAGTGACAAATAAGGGAGATACACTATTGCGCCACCATGTATATATGAATGTGTCCTATTATCAATCGATTTTAGAGGAAACGGGAAGCTCAGGATTTGGAAGAAAGGAAAAACAGGCAAAAAGAAATTGCCGATACGTGGAAAAAGCAAATGGAATGCAAGAAGTTGTTGAAAGACGAGTACGAACAAGGCACCCACGAAGAAACAATGGAAATGAAAAAACTGGCGGAGGAGTTAAAGATTGAAGAGATAAAAGGTATTCCTTTCAAAATAGCGGTTATTAATTCGATAAATTGTCGAGTTTTTCTTCGCGTCACTCTGGACCAACACTCAAACAAATAGACGGTCTATTTGTTTGAGTGTTGGGTATTTAACCAAAGTAAAGTGACTCGGTTTGCGTTCGGTTATGCGGAGTGGAATGAATAGAGTCAACTCTAAAAGTTTCACATTTTAAAGCAAAAATTAAAAATTTGGGAGCAAGCATGCACTAAGTATAGCAAACGTAAAATTTCCGGTCGGTTTCAATTTTAAGTCATTAAGTTTATAAATTTATTTATTTATATATTATTCTGGAATTTTCGTAGTCACGGATGAAATGAACAAATTTATTTAATGGCTTTTAGAATTTATATATATTTTTTGAATATAAAAATTTAAAAAAACGCATTTGAGACAATTAATGTTTAAAATTACATGAAAGAGCTTGGGCTGCAAAGTTTTAAAATATTATTCATTGAGTTCTTCATTATATTCATCACCCAGATACATTTCTTGCATAAGACTAAGTAGAAGCACATATTTTATTAAGTTATTTATCATTATAACAATTGATGATTAAAATAAAAACACAAGAAACTAGTTCTTCGAGAAGTAGAAAACAAGAACAATTCAAAACAGCTGTCTGATATTTATCTTCCATATTCTATAAGTTAGATGACAACCACACAAAAATGTCAGATGGCGCTTTCCCAGACAACACACTTAACCTAAAAAGGATAATTTTGAGCATCGGAAAATAGGCATTTGAGCATAGCAATGCATTCCAGTCGTACCAAAAATATCATTTTATTTTTATTTTCATGCTTGAAAGCGACGGGTTCAGTTCAAGAGACCTAATTTTTAAAATATTTATAGATATTTTTTTTAAATCTATTCCAGATGTGTCTTTATTAGCGGAACCCTTCCTTATGATGGAAGAGGAACTAGAACTTGTAGTCGAGATTATTGGAGAGCTCTTTACCGCCCTTTAGCGCCTTCTCAGTTCAGGCGTGGAACATTCGAGTTATTTTCAGACCGCCAACTCTGTAATCATGCGCTCCTTCCCGCATTCCCGTTTTTTTGGTCGCATACAGGGTCGGACCCAGCCCAGTCGGGTCACTCGTTGCATGCTAAAAGTTTTTTCTTATTTAAAATTATTATACCACAATTAGGCACTATATTAATATTGTGAGTCAAGTGCCGAGAGATGTACACCACGCCTTTTTTGCAATTTTTGACATTTGCTTTATTGATGAATGCGTTTTCCACAGCCTTAAGAGCGAAACAAAAAAAGCGCGACGAAACAGCGAAACAGCTCCTTGAACAAATAGCTCATCAGGACAGGCTGCAGGCTGAACGACGCGAGCAGGAGAACGCTTTAGACAAAGCGCTGATCAATTTAACACAGGCAAGTGTCGATAGACGGATGATATATAATAATTTTGATGTATTGTACATTTTGTAGGTGGAGCTAGAGCGGGAAAAGGCTTCTTGGAAAGAGCAGAGCGAGCGAGCTAGAAGAGAAACAGAGCTCTACCGAAAACACTTGAGGGACTTGGAAAAGCAGAGGAAACTGGAGGAGGAAAAGCTCGATGAGTTGCTCGAAATACATCGAAAATCAATTGAAGCGAAACATAACGAAGCCCGGTGCAAGTTGATTGAAGCCAAACGCAAACTACAACAGGTTCTCAGCTAGGCTGACTTGACGTATAGTTAAGGATAGTTAAGGCGCTACAAAATTATGATGAGACTATATCAAGTTGCAAGCTCTGAAAATATTTAGTGTGCTTTACATTAGTAATTTTCACCAAGTTCGCTTTTTGCAGGATGTATTGGCCGAACGTGCGCAGCAGATCAAGTACAAGAGACAGGAGGCTGAGGAACGGCTGAAACTGAAGCAAGCAGAGAATGAACTGCTGCTCATCGCTTTTGAAACAAACGAGAGGTTGCAGGCAGAGAGCAATCGTCTAGAGCTGCAGGCTGCTTTGCAATATCGTGACGATCTGAAGAGGCAAATTGAGTACAACAACATTTCCAGGGTACGTGTCCGCAATTTACTGTTGGAATAACAACAGATATACATTTTATAGCAAAAAGAAAAAGAAGAACTGGAGAAGCAACTCCAGGAAGGCGCCAAGGAAGAGGAAGAATACAAAAACATGGTAGAGCAAATAATCAAAGAAGAATTAAACCAAAAAGGAAACCATCCATTCCGAAGAGCTCTGGAACAATGTAGCTGTCGTTCCGCACCATAGACCTCGAACATGAAAAAAAAAGCAGATTCTTAAAAAATGTCTGGTGTATTAAAAACATTTGCGAATAATACAAAAGGTTTTTACTCCGAAGCAATTACTTTTGCCTCTTCGTCGTATTTACTAGTCGTGTCGTCACTACCGACACTCTTCAAACCCTCGTCATCAGCTTTTTTGAACTTGTTCACGTCTAAAATAAAACCAATCGTTTTAAAATGCACGGGTCCGGAACGAAGACAATAGTCTCGATTTACCGTATTTGGAGATGTCACCGCCCAGCAATCTGAGTAAATGTACGGTACTGTGCTGGGTCATATAACAGCGCAAAGAAGTCGTACCACGCCAACCGCTTACATGAATAATTAGTGGGATGTTGCTATCTTTCATATTTTCCTTGTAAATTAAAATACAACTTCCGGGGCCTAAGTGGAAATAAAAATAAATATAAGGATAAAATGTAAACATACGTTTTTCCACTTCGCTTCATTACAAAATACCTTGGCATTTGTCAGACGCCTGAAAAAAAGTCATATTTCGCTCACTTATTATTAAAAATAGCTATTTCCCGGAAGTAATTCAAATTGAGCATCACCTTAAAAGTTCTGGACATTTCTGGGCAAATCTTTCACGAAATTCTAAATGGCTAGATCAATAAAGTTTTTATTCTTGATACGCAATGCGCGTAGCGCGACAAGTCCAAGAAATATATTATGGCCAAAACTCTGTTTTTTGACACAATAACAACCTGTATTTTATTATAAGTTCAAACGAAGTAATAACTTGTATACCATATTTCACCATTTTTGAATATAAGCGAAACAGTTATATGAAATTAACAATTTTGCCTACTTAGTTAAGGAATTTGTTGCATATTATAGGTACAATAACAAAAATATATATTTTAAAGGGGTTTGGTTAGTTTCTTTTGTAATATATATATATATATATATATATATATATATATATATATATATATATATATATATATATATATATATATATATATATATATATATATATATATATATATATATATATATATATATATATATATATATATATATATATATATATATATATATATATATATATATATATATATACATGTCCAAATTAACTAAATTCGTCTGTAGTTTTGTATAAACAATATTTTAATTAAAACTGTGTACCAAAATATCCTAATTACTAATTTGTACAATTAAGTAGTATGTTTAAATGAAATAGTTACAGTAAATTCCAAAAATTTTTTGTTCAAATAGTGCCACAATTTGGATTTACTGTTTCTATTGTTTCATTAAGAATCTGAATGAATGAATCACAAGTTCTCTTTACAAAATACCCCATTTAGTGGACACTTACTCAAATCTCGCACCTGGTCTTGGACGGTCCTTGACAGGCTAGTTATGGGCGGAGACTTCTGCGGCTTGTCATTCATCAACAAAGTTATCAAGTCGTCCCTCGGTATATCAACTTTGCGACTTTTTCCAACGTACGGATAGATGCTTTCCAGGCCATCATTAGCGATTCTAAAAAAAAAACAATTATTTATGTAGTTCGTCAATTTTTTTGCAGGAAAAGTAACCTTTTAAAAAGCATATTTTAGAGTAGAGTTTTATTGTCATTATTTATATAAAATTGTTCTCATTTCTAAAACAAAATTTGGGGTATAAGAATATACTAAAATTTGAAAATGTTTTCAATTATTTATCAGAATATATGACAAACTACACCACTGAAAAAAGTTGACTTTTCACAAATTTTGTATGAGGCGTATTTTTCCTATAACGCACCAAACATAAGCACCGTTTTCATGACTGAAATGACTAAATGATTATTTTTTGTTACAGTAACGTCCATTACTAAAAAAAAGCCATTCTGATTATTTTTAAAAGTAAATTTTATACAAAAAAAGAGCTGCTAAAAACTTTTTGATATCTCACTTCCTTTGTTTTATCATTTCTTAAAATTCAAAACACCTCGAAACTGAAAATTTAGGATATTATGTTTACATCGATTTTTTCACGAAAAATCGTCTCCCAACGACTGTACGAATTTGTACGAATTTTTTGCGCGCTGTATAATTATAACTGTATATAATACGTAAATTAATTAAACTGGAAATTTAACGGACAAGTCGAGTTCATCAATCCTACCTGAATGGACACTTCATGTTTTTATTGTCGCACCTGACGAATGCCTTCACGCCCGTATTAATAAACTTCAATCGACCCTGGTTTGCAACGACCAGATCCCTTACTCCCTCAGACGTCAAATATATGTTCTTTTTTTTACCCACGGGGCATCTGGTCAGCAAACACTTCGATTCGAATTGGTCCGATATTTCGTAGAATTTCTTGATATCTGTCCATACCGGCTCGTCGTCGTCGAAAAACACGAACGGACGGGTCCTCCCGGTATCCGTCCCTGCGTCTACGCTTCCTCTGGTTCTGTGGCAGGCGAGAGTCTTCGTTTTCTCGTTTTTTGGTTTCCTCCGCCTCTTCGTCTTTGATTGCTTTTTCATTAGATGTGAAAGGTTTTACTTTCCTCAAAACTGCTACGAAAAACGCACCGGTGTTTTGCTGATGTGGCAAAATGCGCAGACTGCAAAGTAATTCATTTCAATAATTACACTTATATATAAGCAAGATATCTGAGCACGTATCTGACAAGCTTTGACTCGTTCAAATAAATACACTATTTTTTTTTCTTTTTGGGTATACATTATAGGGTTAGAGTTAGTGATTATTTAATTATCGAATACATTTATTGGCTGGGATATTAACTGATACACATGTGTCACGTGGAATGGAATTAATCTGGATCTCTCAATTTTGAACCTGGAAGTTTTCACCATGGCTGATTTGTGGTTGAGTGAGAATAGCCACTGCAACCTAGACTTCGCTACTAAGTCTTACGCATTTTCTTCTCAAAACGCTTAGTTTTCTATATTTTATTAAATGTATTATTCACAATTAAAAATTAAAATTTATACCACCATTGATATTGAAGATTGCAAGATTGCTAGAGGCTGTAAGTGTGAAAGTCCAAAATTAAATATCAGGGTATTTTCTGAGATTAGAATTAAAATTGGAAAAAACATATCAAATATGCAACAAATAAAATTAGAGAATCATCTATAAATTCCATGCACTGAGAAATTTATTGCAGAAAAATAATTTGACAATGATATCTTCCTCCTTGGTGCTGCCCTAGCTGCTTCGGGAAGTTCCAAAAGGATCAGCTTGAACATTCCATTATAATAATAATATATAATCAAAATAATTTATTTCACTTTATTTAAAGACAGCGACCTGGGATCTGGGACTGGGACTCTGGGAACAATTGTACATAAAAACAATAATTAGCATTATGTCAAAATCATCACACTTTGCAGTGAATGTGAGTCATGGTTTACAATACTAGACATGTGTGCTGTCAAAGTGTTCATTGCCGCAGGTTATGTTGTGTACTACGCAAAGGCATATAAAAGATAAGTAAAAAGTGCTGGAACGCTTAAACATCTCCAAAACTGCTCAAGCAGGAATGATAAAATTCAGTACCTGGGAGGTTTAGAACATGCAGAACATGCCACTTTCACGTTACACGACAAGTCTGGTTATTTTAAATGGAATGCAATATTTACTTCTGTTGCACTTAACTGCGCATATTGAATTTAGTATAGTAAGGTCTCATAATTTAAAAATTTTGTTTCCATTAGTTACTGAGCTACAGCAACACTGCTTTTTCAGTAAAAAGCATCCGAACGGTTTAATATGCCCAAAACTACTCAAGCTGAAACGAAGAAATTCAACGCATAGAGGTTTTCTAAATTGCAGAATTAAAAAATGCTAACGGCAAAGTATCTTTTTTTTTTCTTTACGCTTAATTGGGCTCATCTCAAATTCGGAGATGCACCCATTTTCCGGCATCCGCATAACAATTTTTCTCGCACACAACACCCAAGGCTGCCGGTGGGAATCGAACCCACAACCTCCGGCAAGTTCGAGTTGGCAGATCAACGCCTTACCAGCCAAGTCATCCTCGGTCCCTGGCAAAGTATCTGACAAGTTTGCCAGTTTTACATAACACGTCATAATTTTGTTATTTTAAATAAAATGCCCTATTTATTTTTATGGCACGCATCCCCAATTTCGTAAAGTCTAATCATATCAAAATTTTATTTCTGTTAATTACTGAACTACGGCTACACCGCTTTTTTAGTAAATAATAATCTCCAAAGCTGCCAGAGTTGGAAGAATAAAATTCAATACCTGGGAGTTTTAAACATGCAGAGATCAAAAATGCTAACAGCAGTGTTGTCAGATAATATATATATTTTTTTAAGAATTATAAATATCAACATTGGCGTCAGCATTTTGTAATTCTGCATGTTTAAAAACCCCTAGTTATAGAATCTTGTTCCAGCTCTGATAGTTCTGAAGATGTTTAAGTGTTCTGGTACTATTTACTGAAACAGCGGTGTTGCCGTAGCTCAGTAACTAATAGCAAAAAATATTTGAAATTATGAAACCTTACTTGATGCAATATGCGCAATTCATTGCAACAAAAACAAATAGGGCATTTCTAATTCTGCATATTCAAAAACCCGTCGGTGTTAAATTTCAATGTTCCAGCTTTGGCAGTTTTCAAGATATTTAAGAGTTCCGCTACTTTTTGCTAACAGTGTATATTGTTTGGGTCGTGAAGCACAGAAACTCACTGCCCTTAGACTTTAACTTACTTCAATAAAATTTCTAGTCTAAATAACTTCTGAGTTAGTCTGGAGTTAGTGATGTGTAAATGGTATTAGAACATAACAGGGTTATTGGCAGTGGGAATATTTACAATCTTTACCTAAACTTATTATTAATATGATTGGGAATACACACACAGATTTAAATCTATTGTGCAGTTGAGTTAATAGTAGCTAAAAATAAGGAAGACTATGTTTATATTGTAAATTTATTGTTGTTGCTATTCAATAGATTCAAAAATCAAATCAATCATGGGTGGCATTCACGGTCGAGTCGAAAGGCAAAACCTTCCAAGAAAACATATCTCTTACCATCTATTTAAATGATACTTCTCCCTGTTTGTGACCGCGGGCGGAAACATTTGAGGTCTGATTGTAGTCCTCCATTTTTCGTCCACTTCATCGAACGATTTGTAAAACTCCAAGTTTCTACTGGAAACCAACCAGTCTTCCATGCCTATGATGATTACGGAGCTTCACCTAATGCGATTAGAAAACCGACTCGAAAATATTACCAGGGGTATACTTCAGGCCCGGCAGAGCGTTACAGACGTCCACAAGTTCCAACGAACCGTTAGCCTCTACTAGAATCCTATGAATGACTGACTCATTCTCTATAGGATTTAACGAACAAGTCGAATACACAATTCTGCCACCCACGCTTAGCAATTCAGCACCTCTTCGCAGTATTCTATATTGAATTCTATAAAGTTGAAGATCTGTTTAACTGTTATACTAAAGTATCCTTGTTTTGAGGACAATTATTTAACTGACCCATGAAGATTAAGGGCATTTGCGGGAGTCCATTTCATCCAAATGTCCGGATTTTTTCTCATGGTCCCATCGCCAGAACAAGGCACGTCGCATAAAATCCTATCAAACTGTATCTATATGATAAATAAAAATGAACATTATTGATATAATTTATGATTTGTCAACTTTAAGGAACTAAAAGACTATGCCCGCCACCGCAACATTAAGGAAATATGTCTGCCACATGCTACAGCTATAATACATAGAAATCTACATCCCGAAGATGTTTGTCGGATATATTTGTCGAGCGATATTTTACCATCTCACCGACACGCCAAACTGTACCCAAATAGCTTCTAGATGTCTAGAAACTTATGCTCATAAAAAAGCAAACATCAAAAAATGTTAGGAAAGGGCAGTCAATGTGCGCAAACCCGGGTCATTTGAAAAGTTTTATTTAACGGCTCACATTTGGGAACAAAGGCTGTTATGCGGAAAATATTAGGTAGCTTACAGAACAATTTAACTATTTAAATTAAATTATTAAGATACCAAACACATTGAATAAAACGTTGGAGAAAAAAACTCCCTGCAAAAGTTATGTTTAATTTTTTAAATAAGTTCATGTAATTTTGATTCTGTTTTCTTCAGAACAATAGATTTTAAATTTTAAATTAATTTTGAATACATACAGAAAAGAAACGAAAATATCAGAACTTTTAATACACAACACAACTGTTAATCACTTTATCAAATACTTTTACCACAAAACTAGTTCAAAATGTTCTAATCATTAACTGTTTGACATTAAAAAATTGACATTTGAATTCCCTATGTGCAGTAACAGAAATGATTTCTTAAAAATTGGCAAATCTTGGGGCCTGAATCTATATTAGTCAATTAGATAGTTTATTTGTCGCTCTATGAAACAGATTTCTGGTTGTAGTTAATTGTAGAACTAAACAAAAATCTAAGGTCAGATTTAACACAACACAAATAAAATTCTCCGCCTAAGTAATATTTAATTATAAGACACTTTTATAAATATTCTGAAAATTTCTTTGAAAAATTTCATAGATACAGAAAAAATTTCTAAAATTTTATTAATCGACTATATAACAATAATTTGAGCATGAACAAAACAATTTTAGTTGAAAAAACTATTATTTTCAAAGGAATAGTTTTTTTACTCATAATATATGCTTGATATACCATCAACACACCAAATGTGCAACTTGATATTTTTTCCACTTTTGTCGAAATATGCATTCAACAGTCATTATGGCCGCAAAGAGTTGCTATATGCTATATAAAAATGCCATAGCCACCTGAGGCCCCTCAATTTTTACCTTCCTTATGGTCACTGTATTATCTAATAGGTATACTTTAAAAACTTTAGAATCCTCATTATGCATTTTTCAAATAATTAATGATGTCATATGGTAAAGTTTTCCTTTCCAGCAAGCCTTAAGTAGCACCTTAATAAATCAAGGAATAAAAACCGAATTGTGCATGCACTAAGGAATAACCCAAATTTAACAAAACCTAGGTACAGTTACTATAATCATCATTGTTCAACAATGTACTTATTTTATGTAATTAAATAATACCTGTCGGGATGAACCATCTGGTAATGTTTCGAACATATTCGGCAATGACGCACTATCGTGGTTAATAATAGCTACACAGGGTGAATTGAGTCTTTTTGCTTGATGCACTAACATGTAACATCTCTTATTGTCGACATCATTTGCAATTACAAACCCTGGGGGTATGGGATCATCATTCTGATGAAGCATTTCAAGAAGTTGGGCAGTTTTGGAGCCAGGGGCGGCACACATATCCAACACCTTATGCTCAGGCTGGACATCAAGCAGCAAAGGAGGTATCATACTAACAGTTTCTTGCCGAGATATTGTTCCATGCTCAGTTTCCGAGATTAAAAAATTGTGTAATTTATAGTAAGCTTCAAGTCTTCTGATGTCTTTCCTTGTCAGTTCCAGTTGCCAGGCCAGTTTGTTGGGATACCTTTAGGCAATGTTTCTATACCCTAAGAATACCATTAAATAGAATATCTTACCAACTTAGAGGATATATGTTCGGCGACCTGTCTGCTTCTTCTTGGCTAATACAATCCTTGATTAGTTTCTCCTCAACTAGTTCAAGCATTTTTCGAGCCACTTCTTTTGAGCCAGTTATTCGGAAAGTAGATGGAAGGTCAGTTTTCATGTGATTAATAAAGTCATCAAACTCGTCTTTTTTACATACATTTTGAGTCTGCAAAACAAAGGAATGAAACTGTAGACATGAATTTTTTTTGGGGGAAAATACCTTATAATATGTTATGAATTTCTCGTTTTCTCTTATAATAGCATTGTAGGGTTTTCTAGTTTCTTTTGTTTCCCGTGTCACCGGTGCCTGAAATGCAAAAAGATTCTAAAGTTGTAGCGATGTTGTGTCTCATGCTTAAAATTAAAATAATAGCACGTTTCTGATCTTACTTGATTTCTCTGATGTTTGAAAAAATGGTTTTTCCTAAATCCAGCCTTACGCCGACCCATCGCGATGTAGGATATTTTTAGTTATTTTAACTTAAATATTTTTCAAAGTAGATTAATAGTTTAAAAATAAAACATAACCTCAATTTAACGAGGTTAGGTAATCATTTGACATCCCAATTTTGACAGCTATTTCTGGAAGTCATGAAGTTAATGAATTGAAAACGCAACTGACCTTAAATTAGCAATGGTTAGTTCACTGACCATTTACTTGAACCTGGTGTAATAAGTCGTCACGTGAATGTAAAGGTGGGAGAAATCACATAAAATCGACCCATTTTTGAGGTCTGTGATGTATACAACTTGCGAACGTCATAATGGCAGCAAGTGACAGCAAAGCTCCGTTGAGGACGGTCAAACGAGTGCAATTCGGCATACTTAGCCCCGATGAAATCGTAAGTAGTGCGTGGCTAAAGCCTTGTAGGTGTGCGCCATTGCATTTTTGACTCCATGATAGGATCTCGCTCGACAATCGAGCGAATTCAAACTGCCCCCCCGCCCCCTAACCTACCCCAATGCTCGGTCGTTTGTGCCAAAGAGATGTTCAGCCAAAAGAGCAGTGCTGGCCCCGTTTTTCGCTGTTTTAGGTGCTCGATAGGCGAAATTGAATGTATCGATTGCGTTGTAGATTTTTGCAATGTGTTAACTGCTAAAAGCAATCAATTTCGTTTTGAATTGCTTATTAACAATAATTCGTAATTTGCATATTTGGATGATGATTTAAGTTCTTCGTTAGATTTATGTTCTAAAATATTAGTTGATGTTTAAGCATGGCTTGAAGTTAAAATTTTTGCAAATAACATGTTGCATCAACAGCACCCAAGGCGCAAATCAGAATTTGTTAAAATAAAAGCCTTAATGGTGTCATCCAATTAAAATCAGCGAGAACGGATTTCTTTGGCGCCATCTAAGAGACGGGAGACTAAGTTTCCGTTCTTGACTGTACTACCTAGTTTTAAGTAATAGATAATTCATGACAACGCCATTTGAGGTTTTGGTAACCGAATTAAGAATTTTAATAAAGCATAGAACTACTTTTTAATCACCCAAACTTACTCTTTTTAATGGAATATTAATACTAGCGATCTTGTAGTAGATGGCAGCACTATGTGTGGATTTTCGAAATTCAATTCAATATGAATAATGATATTTAATAAAAAAAAAGATATCCAATAGAAAAATATATCTAAAAAAAGTAAAATGGGAGCAACTAAGTCGCCGATTTACTAATTAAATTAACATAAATAGTTATTACTTATTACAGAATATCTATTGTATCATTTTATTGCAGTTTCCTTGTAAGAATGCTACAAAAAACATCTTTCTTCTGTTCCCAGCATTAATAATTTTAGCATTGTATTATAGTATCATAGGACATTAGGAGTCCTCTATTTGTCAAGTTAAGAGTTGATTAAAAAAAATTCTTAATTGCTTAGATAAAAAGGTTTATTATTTCTAATCAATAACGGATAAAAAAAATTGTTATACAGTGTAACCACTAAAGTTATGAAAGCCGAAATTTTTTTATTAATAAATTTTTACAAATTTTGATTTTCTTTTTCAGTTTTCTACAAATGCACTATTTTTTTTTTAAATCAGACTTAATTGTTTTTACGTTGGTGACCGGTGGCCTGCCGAGAAATTTTACTAGTTCGCGGACAATTTTTCTATACTCGAAATAAATTTACTTATAAAAAATATATACATTTTTTGAAAATCTCGAAAATTGTGATTTATAAACCACTGTGATATGATATCAAGTAATTAGGCTGAGGTTTCATAAATTGGTCTTTCCTGGCTTTGAACATTACAGACATATGGGAAAGCTGATAACTCTTCTTTTATAAATAACTTTATGCGCAGAATTTACTACGCATTGTGAGTTCAGAAAGAAGTGACGGTATAATTTGAACCAAACTATAATAAATTTGACCTTGATCAATAGTTTCCCCTTTCTCTTTAGAGACGTATGTCCGTTACCGAGGGCGGTATCCGCTTCCCAGAGACTATGGAGGCGGGTCGACCCAAACTCGGCGGCCTCATGGATCCTCGCCAGGGGGTCATCGACCGTCATTCCAGGTGCCAGACTTGCGCCGGCAACATGACGGAGTGCCCTGGTCATTTCGGTCATATTGACCTCGCCAAACCGGTGTTCCATGTCGGCTTCATCACCAAAACTATCAAAATATTGCGCTGCGTCTGCTTCTATTGCAGTAAAATGCTAGTCAATCCCACTAACCCGAAAATCAGGGAAGTCGTGATCAAAACCAAAGGGCAGCCTCGACGGCGTCTGGCCCATGTCTACGACCTGTGCAAAGGGAAGAATATATGCGAAGGCGGTGACGAGATGGACGTGGCCAAAGAGGGCGAGGAGCAGAATCCCAATAAGAAGCAAGGTCACGGGGGTTGTGGTCGGTACCAGCCGAATATTAGGAGAACGGGGTTGGACCTTTCGGCGGAATGGAAACACGTCAACGAGGATTCGCAGGAGAAGAAGATTTTGTTGACCGCAGAACGGGTGTGGGAGATTTTAAAACATATTACCGACGAGGAGTGCTTTATTTTGGGTAAGTATGTCGAGTCATTGGCAATAGATTACTTTGGCGTCATCTAAGAGACGGGAGACTAAGTTTCTGCTCTTGACTGTACTATCTAGTTTTAAGTAATAGATAATTCATGACAACGCTATTTAAGGTTATGGTAACCGAATTAAGAATTTTAATAAAGCATAGAACTACTTTTTAATTGCGCAAACTTACTCTTTTTAATGGAATATTACAGCTAATACTAGCGATCTTGTAGTAGATGGCAGCACTATGTGTGGATTTTCGGATTTCAATTTAATATGAATAGGTAATAATATTTTTACAAAATTAAAATATAATATATTAAAGCATAAAATAATTATAGGAATTGTTTGCATCTCTGATAAAATGTCACTCTTGTGTCACTTTATTGATTATTAATTAGATAATTTTTCTGACATTGTTTGGATTCAACACTTTTATTTTGTGCATGTTCGTTGTTACATTAAAAGGTTAGATTAAGTTTGAGTTTCTTTCGTAACTTTATAGCAATGAAAAATGCGTTTAAGTAAATTTTAAGATGCAGAACCTTACAAGGAATATTATTATTTTGCGCGATATTTTTGATGATCAACCTCATAATGAGGTTCCATTTAGAAATAATATTAGGGACCTAACATTAGTAATTAAAAAATGATTGAGCTCTCCCTCAGTAGCACTAGGTCGTCATTAGCGCCAAACTGCATTCACTTTCCAACGTTTTGCATTTTCGTAATATCTAAAAGCAAACTGTAAATGTCTCTACTAAAAAAATATGTAAGGACCATGAAATCGACTTCTTTGGTGTGACGAAATTAGATGTCGATGCAAATCTTTATTTTTTTTTATTCATATTTGCTATTTTCGAAACGTATCGTATTCCTTTCCTGATAACACCGCCTACGCTTCAATTTATAATAACGCGGGTCTGATTCCGCCGTAGATAGCAATTAACTCTATCAGTTAACAAGGGAACACGTTTCCCACATAAGGGATAAAGTGTAACAACTCCAAAATGTGAGGTGCATATTTGCCGTCATTAAAAGGAGCTTGGTGTTGTGTAGGCATGGATCCCAAATTCGCCCGACCTGACTGGATGATCGTAACAGTTCTTCCGGTTCCTCCCCTTCCGGTTCGACCGGCCGTAGTCATGTACGGTTCGGCCCGCAACCAGGACGACTTGACGCACAAACTGGCCGACATCATCAAGGCAAACAACGAGCTCCAAAAGAATGAGTCCGCGGGCTCGGCCGCACATATCATCACCGAGAACACGAAAATGTTGCAGTTTCACGTGGCCACCCTCGTCGATAACGATATGCCGGGGATGCCGCGAGCAATGCAGAAATCGGGCAAGCCGTTAAAAGCGATCAAGGCCCGTTTGAAAGGTAAAGAAGGTCGGATACGAGGCAATTTGATGGGCAAGCGGGTGGATTTCTCGGCGAGGACGGTTATTACGCCCGATCCAAACCTGCGCATCGATCAGGTGGGCGTGCCGCGCAGCATCGCACAAAACATGACGTTCCCCGAGATCGTAACGCCATTCAATTTCGACAAGATGCTAGAGCTGGTTAGTACTGTATGCGAGGTCGTTTTAACCAATTTTCGTGTAGCAGACCTATTCAAGGTACGGACCACCCACAATGATTCAGAGCCAAATATCTTATTGTAAAATGTCGTTCATTAGGGTGTTAAAGTTATGAAATTGTTATTTTTCCATAGAGATTACTATTACTATTTTTTCACATAATATGTTTAATTCGCTAGTTACACCATTTAGTCTCGCAATTTCATGCCATAATTTTCCTGCTGGTACGATTCCATTTATTTTTTTTTAAACTATGATATAGCGGTGATTTTTAAGTAAAAAATATTTACTACATATATTTTCATAAAACACTCCGTTTTCGAGATATATGTGAATAGTGAGGTTAAATGGTGTAACTACAAATTATGTGCAAAAATAGAATAGAAAACCCCACGAATCCAAGTTTTTATTTCGATATTTAAAAAATTGATAGAGCTATAGAGAAACAAAAATTTGAAATTTGTATATCTGTAGCGACATTTTACTAAGACGTATTCTTGGTTTTTGGCGCATTCCTTATTGGCCACCCGGGATAATGGAAAAACGTGGCAAAAAGAAGTTGGCTTCAGCAGAGCGTTACTGGTAACGCTTATAGTTACCACATTGTCATAAGTGCAAAGAATAGTTCTGATGTTTTTAATTAATGATAATTTTAATTAATTTTTTTTTTCAGAAATATTTTTTTTTACGCTACACTGCATAATCATATCATATCATTAATGACCATTATACTCGCAAATGTAATGGCTAATATAAAAAATGCATTTTTTTGCATATTGTGCATATTTTAGGCATTTTTTAGATTATTTTGCATATTTCACAGTGGCCCGCATATTTAGATATATTTTTCAAATTTGATGGCATGTTTGAATCAGATTCAACACTCAATTACCAATCAGTAGTTGGAATTTTCGGAGCTCCCTAAAACTCATTAGTCTCATTACCTGCTGGTCGTTTCTTAAGCAGGATGTGACCTGTTATGTTTAGCTATTTTCTAATCGAGAGAGGGAGGGTTTTGCAAAACGGTCTTTCACAATAATAGGTATTTTACATACATATCTAAAAGTGTTGGAGTTTGAAATGTGTTCAAAAATATTGAAGTCGATTCGACCCCATCCGGAGTTTTTCTTGGATGGTGAATCTGTTTTTTTTCTAACCCTGTGGTCAAGCGGTAAGCATTTTTTAATAAATAAAAAATTTATCCATTTTTAAAATTTTCATAAAATCGCAATTTTATTGTTGTAGGTCCCAGTAACTACAATACATTCAATTTTGGTATAGGTTTCAAATTCAAAAAAGTACAAAGTACAAAACTCAATTCGCAAAATTTGATGCAGACATTTATTCGGGAGACTTTGTCAGCGAATTCTGCACAAAATGAAGAAGAAACTCTTACATAAGTGTTAAAGTTAAAGTAAGTTAAAACTGACTGAAGAAGTTTATCAACGCGTTGAATACTAAAATGTTCCTATGGCCATAGTGTTTAGGTACAGCTAGTTTCCTAAAAAAATTGATTGTTTTAGCCAAAGGCATAACAGAGCATATTGCTATTGCATTACCATTACGCTATCCACTTCATAACTACAAGAAAAGTGTATCCACCTGTTACAATAAAATGTATTATTAAAACTTTTTTACCATTGCATTAATCAGTCTTTACTGTTTGTTTAAACATGAAATTATTGCAAGCAATAACAGACATCTTCTTTGGTAAATTTGCGTAGATATCTTGCAATATATATATATATATATATATATATATATATATATATATATATATATATATATATATATATATATATATATATATATATATATATATATATATATATATATATGTATATATATATATGTATATATATATATATATATATATATATATATATATATATATATATATATATATATATATATATATATATATATATATATATATATATATATATATATATATATATATATATGCTTATGTTATATAGATATTCAGTATCTTGTTCAATTTTATTGTTTATCATTGATTGCTTTGATAAGTGTTATCATTAAAAGACGTCTAAACTAAACAGACGCAACTTTTATTTATTTTAAAAATAAAAAGAAAATTTTTAACTATTAAATAAGCAACTTAAAAATAATTAGAGGATGGTGGATCCTTATCAGCAGGGGCCCAACATTTTAACATTAGCAGGACAAGAAGAAACACTTGGAAGGAATTTAATATTTTGTGCAAACTCCATCCGCATCACAGCTTGTAGTCTTCGGCTCATGGTCATGAAAGGAGTTCTGACGTTTTCTTCAAGCGACAATTCTTCCCATACTTCCAGAATAAATTCCCATTGCTCCTCATTGTTATGAGGCATAATTTTTTTTCGATACAGCCGTTTCCCCATTGTCCCTCATATGTTTTCAATTGGGTTGATGTCAGTCAGATACTACTTGGACATGGCAAGGTTTCAATGTTGTCATTTTGGAGCAATTGTAGTGTGGACAATGTTTGTAGTGTGGACAGGATAGTTGTCTGGCTGTTCCATAATGGGCACCATAACGTTATACAATAGTTCAGCATAAGTTTGACCAACAAATCTTTCCTCAGTCCGCGATTCTACTTCCATTCGTCTGGATGAAATCCATTCCCATTCATTTACATTGAATGGTCTGCAGCTCTTTACCTGTTGACAAATCGAGGGTTGGAACGCTGGTTGTCTGGTCTGCACACTTTGATTTTACACCTTTTGGAAGACTGAAAGATTCTGTCTTCGGAAAATATGAATTTATCCCAAAACTGTTGTTCTTGCGCTTGTGGTTTTCCTTTCAGACATTTCTTCTTGTCTCCACCATTATAAAAAAAACGTTTGTTCTGCTGAAATTGAAATTGAAATTCATGAGGTCGGTAGGGTTTGAACCTATCAACTTCATAGAAACGACTATGTAGTATCTAAATATTCGTATTGCGCAGGTTCAGCGAGGTAACTCGCAATACCCTGGTGCCAAATACATCATCAGGGACAACGGCGAACGGATCGACCTAAGGTTCCACCCGAAATCATCTGACCTGCACCTGCAATGTGGCTACAAGGTGGAGCGACACATCCGCGACGGCGACCTCGTGATCTTCAACCGGCAACCCACGTTGCACAAAATGAGCATGATGGGTCACCGCGTCAAAGTATTGCCGTGGTCGACTTTCAGAATGAACTTGTCCTGCACGTCTCCGTATAACGCGGACTTTGACGGCGACGAGATGAATCTCCACGTGCCACAGAGTATGGAGACGAGGGCGGAAGTGGAAAATCTTCATATAACGCCGAGGCAAATAATCACGCCTCAGGCAAACAAGCCGGTCATGGGTATCGTACAGGATACATTGACGGCCATCAGGAAGATGACCAAAAGGGACGTGTTCATCGATAAGGAGCAGATGATGAACCTGCTGATGTTTCTACCTATATGGGACGGTTAGTTCGATCTCGGGTCAACTAAAAATCTATTCAAATTTGTGACAGCTGACGGGAAAAATGAAAAATAAAGACGGCTCCGATTTTCCTTAAAACTGATACGTTTCGTGGATTAATTAACCCTTTTGCCCTTTTCCTTTTTTATTGCCTCTCTTTCGGATAGGCAAACAACAAATGACCGAAAAACCAAATTTTATGTAAAATTATAATTTATTTTTTATTATTTTTATGGATAGGCCATAATTTGTTGTCAAAATATACTTTCGTATGTGCCATATTTAATGCGCAATAATTACGTCATGACTGACAACTAAAATATATTATATTTATATTTGAACTACTTCTTATGTGATATATATTTTTCAAAAGCTCATTACAAGTCTTCCATTAAATTGAAACACAAATTTAGTTTATGTAGCGAAATTTGTGAGTTTCAGAAGAAAATCGATTGCCCTACTAGATTCAACGTAAATAAACCTATCTAGACCAGTTTGTCACGTTTTTAATAAGTTAACTCAACCGAACTACAAAAATGCTACATTTTCAAAATCACCCTATATCTAAAAATCCATGACACGTTAGCTTTAGTTTGAATCCAAAAAATTTCTTTAAATTATGTATAAATTGTAAAATAATAAAAATCATTAATCATTAATTATAAATTTAAATTATTAAAACTATATGTGTTCATTTGGATAGTGGCAGGTCAGTCGTCAGCTATGTAGCCCTGCTACTAGAAATTCAGATGTAAGAAGTGACCGTAGCAACTTGCCTTTTTTATATTCCTATAACATTTTAAACTAAATTTAATGTTTATTTGTCACAAAAACTGATAAAACGACTAAACAAACTGTTAATCAAAACATCAGAAAAAATGGATTAGAACTTCCACCGATAAACAAGAAAATAGGCATGGGAAATTAACATCACTCTTTTTAAAACTCTTGATAGGAGTAACCAAATAACGCAATTTTTACTACTATGTACTATTTACACATCGTCAAATTATTTAATATTATACTGAAAATTTCTATTCCTCATTTTCAATCAGCGTTTAATTCAATAGTCCACCACGTTTTGAATCCCGAAAAAAGCTAGTCTAAAAGCAGCATCTCCCTGTCCAGAGAACTTCAGTCAAACAATTTTTTGTTCGATAATTAATTTTTCTCTTTTTTGGTTTACTCCTTTCCTGTTCTAATCAAAACGTGTTTCCCTGTTTTGCTATCTAAAACCAAACCTCACCTAGTATGATATGAATTAACGTGTTTGAACTTGCCTAGGCAAGATGCCGCGTCCGGCCATACTGAAACCGAAAGCCCTCTGGACCGGCAAACAAGTCTTCTCCCTAATCATTCCCGGCAATGTTAACATGATGCGCACCCACTCGACCCATCCCGATGATGAAGACGACGGTCCGTATAAGTGGATATCGCCGGGCGACACCAAAGTTATGGTGGAACACGGCGAGCTTATAATGGGCATCCTGTGCAAAAAAACCCTCGGCACTTCCGCCGGATCCCTCCTCCACATCTGCATGCTGGAGCTCGGTCACGAGGTGTGCGGTCGCTTCTACGGCAACATCCAAACGGTGGTCAATAACTGGCTCCTACTTGAGGGTCACAGCATCGGTATCGGGGACACCATAGCCGATCCTCAGACATATCTAGAGATTCAGAAAGCAATCAAAAAGGCGAAAGAGGACGTCATCGAGGTGATACAAAAGGCACACAATATGGAGCTGGAGCCGACGCCCGGAAACACCCTAAGGCAGACATTTGAGAACCAGGTGAACAGGATTTTGAACGATGCCAGAGACAAAACCGGCGGCTCCGCCAAGAAATCGCTGACCGAGTACAACAACCTAAAGGCTATGGTGGTGAGCGGGTCCAAAGGCTCTAACATTAACATATCCCAGGTGATTGCGTGCGTGGGGCAACAGAACGTAGAAGGCAAACGTATCCCTTTCGGTTTCCGCAAACGCACCCTTCCTCACTTTATCAAGGACGATTACGGTCCGGAATCGAGGGGTTTCGTTGAGAATTCATATCTGGCAGGCCTCACTCCCTCCGAGTTTTATTTTCACGCAATGGGCGGTCGCGAGGGTCTCATCGATACCGCGGTGAAGACCGCCGAAACCGGTTATATTCAGAGGCGGCTCATTAAAGCCATGGAGTCGGTGATGGTCAACTACGACGGCACAGTGCGCAATTCCGTCGGTCAGCTCATCCAGCTGCGCTACGGTGAAGACGGTCTCTGCGGCGAAATGGTCGAGTTCCAGTACTTGCCCACCATCAAGCTTAGCAACAAAACGTTCGAGAAAAAATTTCGTTTCGACCCCAGCAACGAACGGTATCTGCGTCGAGTGTTCAACGAGGACGTCATCAAGCAGCTAATGGGCTCCGGGGAGGTAATTTCCGAGCTGGAGCGGGAGTGGGAACAGCTGCAACGGGACCGGGAAGCTTTGAGACAGATATTTCCCAGCGGGGACGCGAAAGTCGTGCTGCCCTGCAACCTGCAGCGGATGATTTGGAACGTGCAGAAGATATTCCACATCAACAAGAGGGCACCAACAGATTTATCGCCTCTGCGGGTAAGGCAATTTGTTCTTTGTCGGCGGTGCATGGTATTGGTTAGTTTATTCCTCAATTATATCGCCTTAATCTTAACTAGGTTATACATAAATTTTCAGGTTGTTTTATTAATTACTATTTGACAGCCCTTTGATCAAAATATTCAAATTTTTACAAAAATGGAAGATTATGAAAAACTTGTATTTAAATGGTTTAACGCCTTCTCAAATAAAAGAGCAGATTAAAAGATGGGTTTCTCAATTTAAAAAAAGACTGCACCAGCACTAGCTTCGATTGCAACTTGGAAGTGACAATAACTGAATTAATAGAATAATTCCACAAAATAGTGCTGGAAGAGCGCAGATTAAAACTATCCGGAATAGCGGATGGATATATTTAATGCTCTGCGCAAGATGATTGCCGCGTTTGCTAATTTAGCAAAAGTTAAAAAAAAACTGTTTTAAGTGAGAATTTGGCACTCTATAAACGAAATTGTAATGAATTTTTGCGTCGATTTATGACTATGCATGAGACATGGATCTAGGTTATTTTGAAAGATAAATAAAAAATACAAGAAAATAATTAATGTAACTATAAATATTTTAATATAATTTTTCAACGCGATGGTTGTATTTCAGGTGATCAGAGGCGTGCGAGATCTCCTATCGAAGTGTGTGATAGTGGCGGGTGAAGACAGACTATCCAAGCAGGCAAACGAGAACGCTACGCTTCTGTTTCAATGTCTGGTCAAGTCAACCTTGTGTACCAAAGCTGTCTCGGAGGAGTTCCGACTGAGCACCGAAGCGTTCGAGTGGCTGATCGGTGAAATCGAGACCAGATTTCAGCAAGCTCAGGTGAATCCAGGTCAGTGGCATTTCTAAAACTGAAATTTTCTCTGCTTTGAGCGGGGGAGTTTCGTTGATTTGATGTCAATTCGATTCGATATGGATGGTGACCACTGAAACTCTGTTTTGGTTAGGTGAAATGGTTGGAGCATTAGCAGCTCAGTCGCTGGGTGAGCCGGCCACTCAGATGACCTTGAATACGTTCCATTTCGCCGGAGTATCTTCGAAAAACGTAACACTGGGGGTACCGCGCCTGAAAGAGATCATCAATATATCCAAACGGCCCAAAGCACCCTCACTGACAGTGTTTCTTACGGGTGCTGCAGCTAGGGATGCCGAAAAAGCCAAGGTATAATTTGTATAGGTCCGCCGACTCTGATTAGAACCGTTTTACTTTTAGGGTTTTCAAAATCTTTTTTTTTTCATACAGCAGTGAAATGCGCTTTCGTGTGAAAATTATTAATTTTAAATTTTCATTTTTTATTGTAATCTTTCTTTATTCCATTCTTATCTATTTTTATTTCCCAATCATCGGCAGAACTAAAACGCGATGTAAATTGAGTTCGGAATAGGGTGACCTAGGAACTATTCTTCAAGCATTAATCTCAGATTCCAAACTGGCATTAATCTGTAAGATTTAGATTAAGATTGCGGAGAGTTAACAATTGACCTGTCCGTTACTGCGATCCAAAAGATTTATTCGTTCCATAGCCATATTCGTATATTCGTATATCTGTGTCTGACAGACAGCTTCGATAGTAGCTCATTGGTTACGCTCAGCAGATGGAAACGCACGATAGGCCTTGACATTGACATAGTACGTGTGTGCCTTTGGCTTCTTGACAGAATCAGCATTCAGTGTTTTTTTCCAATCCCATTAGGCTTAGATACCTCTTCAGGGATTTAAGGAATTCTCTTTCCATCAATTCATGTGCCTTGACGATATTTCGCTGGCTACTTCATTACCTTTGCGGCCTTCATGTTCTGCTACCCATGACAGTGTCCCACTATTCTGACGTGCTGTCGTGTTTAATGGCTTATGACAATCAGAAAGTAACTTAAATGTCATTTTCGATCTTTTCGTCTTTTTATCTCTTGCACAATGTTCTAGTGCGGTATCCCTTCTGGAAACATTGTTGATGGCAAACCCCAATTGAAACTTTTATTTTTGTCCAGCTCCTATTGCTTGAATGTTTAAGCCGTCTGTATACCAGCGTACCTACCCTTATTTTTCCAGTCTTCTCTGATTCTTCTTGGTTTCGTCTTATGTTTAACAAAGCAATATTTGCTGTAGAGCTTGTGTTTGTTATGTCCAAAAATTATTGCTTTTATTTTTGTCTTTTATATAGATCTGTGTTGGTGAAATATTCAGTAGGACCTCCAGCGCTGCAGTAAGCGTTGTGCTCAAGTCTTTAGTAAAGCACCGCTTGCTTTTGCACGCTACTTAGCTGCCTCCACCTGCATGGTTCTTGTTCACCAGTCACCCTGTACTACCAAAATGTCATTTTTGAGTTTACTAGTACTAGTACAATGGTTTCCCTAAATGTAATCTTTGAATGTGCCGAGCAAGCTTTTGGTCAAATATAATTAGTTACCTTTTAGTCCTTTAGTTGCTCATTTTGGCATCAGTGTTGCATGACAGTGTGCTAGTAAGTTTACCTAGTACCACAATTATTAAATGGTCTGGATATCCTAGACAGTACCCCTCAGCAAACAGTTTTTGCAGTAGACCATCAACCAGTATGGTCTATACCAAAGGATAAAGAACTTGTCCTTGTGGAAATCCCGTCCCCATAGAAGCCTTTATGGTGGTAAAACTGTAGAATACACGCTCTTCCCTTTATCCTATTTGTCGAATTAATAACCATCTTCCGTCAAATTTGCACGATGTATTTTCTTCCAGAACGTCCTCTGCCGCTTGGAGCACACCACATTGCGCAAAGTGACCGCCAACACAGCAATATATTATGATCCCGATCCCCAAAATACTGTCATCCCTGAGGACCAGGAGTTTGTCAATGTTTACTATGAGATGCCGGACTTCGACCCCACCCGCATCTCGCCCTGGCTGCTGCGCATTGAACTTGATCGTAAAAGAATGACCGACAAGAAGCTCACGATGGAGCAGATCGCTGAGAAAATCAACGCCGGTTTCGGCGATGACCTGAACTGCATATTCAACGACGATAATGCTGAGAAGTTGGTCTTACGCATACGCATAATGAACAGTGACGACGGCAAGTTCGGAGACACAGGGGCCGACGAAGACGTCGACAAAATGGATGACGACATGTTCCTGAGATGCATCGAGGCGAACATGCTCAGTGATATGACACTGCAAGGCATCGAGGCTATATCCAAGGTAAAAAGTGCCACAATTATGTGATTCGAATGTGTACGTTACTAATATAAATATATGGGTATATGTCGTGCATAGTTCATATTACTGTTGCGGTAGCAATGGCTAGCTCGTTTCACCTAAGCGCAAATAGCATTTTCTCTGATACACACGCACACATCGCGGTATTACACACATTCAGTTCTACAACCTACCAAAATGACTTCCTAGTTTTTAAATGTACGTAATTTGTTTGCTATATCATACAATGGAATGGATAAAACAAGGTTGGAAGGAGAGAAGAGAGAGAAGAGGAACGTTTTGGATGCAATAATAAAAGACTCACAAACACCAATGGTTTTCTTATAAAACTGCTATAAACGCTGAGATTTCTTATACACTCCTTATAAATATCCAATAATAAAACCTTAAGCTGCGAGAAATGTTAGTTTGGGTGGCGCATGTTGAATACCGTTATTTGAAAAGTAACAGACTTGTCGTCATCGTAATTTTTTAGGTTTACATGCACTTGCCACAAACGGATTCGAAGAAACGGACGGTCATTACCGAAACCGGCGAATTCAAATCGATAGCCGAATGGTTGCTCGAGACGGATGGTACCAGCATGATGAAAGTGCTTTCTGAACGCGACGTCGATCCCGTACGTACGTTCTCGAACGACATCTGCGAAATATTCTCAGTGCTCGGCATCGAGGCCGTGCGTAAATCCGTCGAGAAGGAAATGAATGCGGTTCTACAATTCTACGGCCTCTACGTCAACTACCGCCATTTAGCGTTGCTTTGTGACGTCATGACGGCTAAAGGTCATCTTATGGCCATCACGAGGCATGGCATCAACAGACAGGACACCGGCGCCCTCATGAGATGCTCCTTCGAGGAAACGGTCGACGTGTTGATGGACGCGGCCTCGCACGCCGAAGTTGATCCAATGAGGGGTATGATATAATGATCTAGAGACCAAGTATCGGAGGGCGGTTCTCACTATTCTCGTTCCACTAGGGGTATCGGAAAACATCATCATGGGCCAACTGCCTCGAATGGGTACCGGATGTTTCGATCTTCTACTCGATGCCGAGAAGTGTAAGCTAGGCATACCCATTCCGCAGGCTCACGGAGCAGATATCATATCATCGGGAATGTTCTTCGGTTCGGCGGCTACCCCGAGCATGGGCACGGGCGGAGCCATGACTCCATGGAATCAGGGATCAACGCCATATATCGGGAGCGCCTGGTCTCCCCACAGTAAGTTTCCGTCATATTCCCTTATGAGAGCGACGTTAGAACGGTTTTAATTACAGATTTATTGGGTAGTGGAATGACTCCGGGAGGACCGGCTTTTTCACCGTCGGCGTCCTCAGATATATCCGGAATGTCCCCGGGTTATGGTGCCTGGTCTCCCACTCCCCAGTCTCCGGCTATGTCACCTTACATCGCGTCCCCTCACGGAACTTCACCGTCGTACAGCCCCTCGAGTCCAGCATTCCAACCTACATCCCCATCTATGACGCCGGTTTCCCCGAGATATTCGCCCAGTTCTCCTGGATATTCTCCTACCAGTCCTAATTACAGTCCCACCAGCCCCGGGTACTCGCCCACCAGCCCAGGTTATTCCCCTACGTCTCCATCTTATTCTCCCACGAGTCCAAGTTATTCACCAACCAGTCCTAGTTACTCTCCCACAAGTCCAAGTTACTCTCCAACATCGCCAAGCTACTCGCCAACATCTCCCTCCTATAGCCCAACGTCTCCCAGTTATTCGCCCACTTCTCCCTCCTACAGCCCGACTTCGCCAAGTTACTCACCAACCTCGCCATCCTACAGTCCCACTTCTCCCAGTTACTCGCCAACATCGCCATCTTACAGCCCAACTTCCCCTAGTTACTCCCCGACGTCTCCGTCGTACAGTCCTACGTCTCCGAATTATTCTCCCACATCTCCAAGCTATTCACCTTCTTCTCCCAGATACACTCCCGTTTCTCCAAGTTACGCACCCACCTCGCCTAGTTACTCCCCTTCTTCCCCTCAATACTCGCCGGCTTCACCAAGTTACTCGCCTTCGTCTCCAAAATACTCGCCCACTTCTCCCAGTTACTCACCTACGTCGCCTTCATTTGCCGGGGGAAGTCCTCAGTACTCTCCGACGTCACCCAGCTATTCACCGACCAGCCCCAATTACTCACCGTCAAGCCCTCAGCATACTCCCGGCAATTCACGGTATTCTCCCACTTCACCCCAGTATTCGCCGCTCAGCACCAAGTATTCGCCCACTTCTCCCACTTACACTCCGACAAGCCCGAGCTATTCCCCAGCATCTCCTGCTTATTCTCCCCAGCCCCCGAGATATTCTCCTTCATCTCCTAGCTATTCCCCAAGTCAGGATCATGAATAACTCCATTTTGTGAAATAGTTTAAATAAAGGGAAGTGTAATAAAACTTCCAATACATAGTTCCTTCCGGCTCTGATCTTTATTTAATACCAAAATAAACACAGGAGGAAAGTTATATATCTGTTAATGGCTACTTTTAGGTTCTAGATTGTGATATTTTAGAAGTAGTTTGTTTTTCTTATGTTGTTGATTCCTATATTTATATTTATGTTACATTCAATACAATTTATTTTGAGCAGAATGAGTTTTATTTCGGGGTTATTCGTTACTTTCACAATTACCCTTCCTAGTTGGATTATGACAGCATGACGAAAACAGCATGTATCATAAAATACTTATATTTCGAACACGTTAAAGTTTTAAACTACACCGTTTTTTAAAATAATCTAAAACAAACAAAATAAATAGTTCCTTCCTTTGATGTGAAAGAACAGTCGTCTAATTCAAAGCAAATCTAGTCAAATCCGTCGTTAAAACCTGGCTGATGAGGCAATCACCGGGCTGAAATGAAAATTAAAAAAGACTGCACTGCAAATGTTATCAATAATGGACCTCGATACATTATTAAAAGAAATATATAAGGAATTATTGAAATGACATTATATAACCCAATAAGTAAATATGGACCCCACCCTGACGTCGAATCCATTTTTGTTCGGCCCAATCATCATTTTATCCGACCCAAACAGAACACACAAAATCCAATAACAAGACACGCATTTTATACTAAATCTTTGAAACAATTTATCTGAAATGCCAGGCTGCAATCGTTATCGTGTTTTAGTGTTGTGATTCATTTGTTAAATTATATTGTGTCGTTTCAATAACATCCTAAATAGTACGGTTTTTACCGACACTTTGACATTTTGCAAATATACTCGAGCTTTGTACAGAAATGATGAAACAGTAAAGTACCGCAGTTCCTTAAAACTGACAAGATCTACTTACAGGAGAAACTCGAAAGCTGGAAGAATACAAACAAAAATTTGAACCCGCCGCAACATATTCTCAAAGCTTGAAAAGTGCCGAAATATAACCGCGATCATGCATCATCAAACTGGGAGAGCTCCTAATGAGAGGCGACTCTAAAACGTCGGTACCTTTGAACCTGAGAGTCAATTTTTTGTGACTTTGCTTTCGTCTCGATGGCTACGCTTGACGTTTACACTCATTATATATATGGAGTGAGAGAAATTTGTTGCTGATAAATACGTTTATAGCAGAGGTCGGCAACCTTTTTTGACCGCGGGTCAAAATCAATCAAAATGAGAGGGACGTTGAGGTCAGAGATACTTTCGTATTAAAAAAGCATTCTATTAAATAAGATACGTCTTATTAAGAAAGTAATTACAAACATAGTTGAATAAACTTTATTTATAAAACTTTTTCTTTGATATAAGTCGAACACATGCATTTCAATTTAAAATAGTTAACCTGATCCTGTTTATGCTTCATTTGTGAAAATATTTGCTCACATTTATAAGTGGACCCGAATGAGAACCAAATGGCACATTTTTTTTAAATGATGAAAAAATCGTAGGAACTGATTTGAATTTATCCGTCCATGATGTTGACCTTTTAAAATTTTTCTAAACCATAATTGTCAATTCTTAGATATTCAAAATATTGCAAATTTATAATATTGTCTTCTATTTCATCAGGCTTGATTATATATGTTAACACTTCTCCAAATTTCTTGAGACTCTGAAACCGACGTTCATATTCAACTTTAATGTCCTAAATCCAACATCGATATCAAAAGAAATGAAATTTTTTAGTTTTAATGTCAGTTCCAAATAATATCAGTTTTGAAGTAAAACTCATACAATTTCAAAATTGTGTGGTTCCCTTGGCCTCGTACGTTGAAATCATTATAATGGTTCATTATGTCTATTAAGAACAAAAGTCTTACCATTGTTTATCATTGAGTTCAAGATCATTCTCACCGATTACAACCTATTAATCTATTAAGGACGTTTTCCCGACTTAACCATCGTATTTCAGAATAACAAAAACAAATCTCCATATTTTTCCAATTTCCCCCAAAAAAGCTTTAAAGCGTCTGTGTATTAAGGCTGATTGCGCTATTATCATGTTTACCAACTTTTTCCATTACCTTAGGCTGAGGTTGTTGTGCAGTATGCCTTTGCAAATAAATTTTCTTCATATTTGATAAAATGAAACGATAAAAGTGAACGGCCAAGTTCATTTTCCATTAGTTTTTCAATTCCACAGTTTTTCCTCTTATACTTGCAGCACCGTTAGTTGTTATGGAAAACAAGTTACTTTTTAAATCTAATACTTGCCTATTTTTGAAATTTGTAAACTCTTGTACTTGACGAAAAATATCAGTACCTTTGGTGGTGTCATTCATTGAAGCAAGAATGCATAAAGACGCGCGCGTCCAAGAAGGTACAATTTGTTCGGACAAGGTCGCTGCACTCCGCCTACTATCGGCCGATTCCATATTCAGTCAGGCTTGGGTGGCTTTAACTGATATTTTTATATATTATACGGGATTCAAATTTGGTACGTTCATAACTTTTAGAGAAAAATTTTTTGAAAAAAAAAAATGTTGGTACATCTTATACTTTATTTTCGGAACTAAAAATTACCAAATGGATCACTCTGTAACCGACGCGTCATATGTTGCCGAGCCCTGTTTAATAGACAAGGGAAATTTCTTTTAAGAAAGAAAGTACTTTTTGTCATTATTATCTTATTTACTGAATTTAATATGGAAAAAACGGTTATTAAAAAGAAATTGTGGTACATCTTATACACAAAAGATTGTCAAGTTTCAATTAAAAAGGCACAGAAAGAAAAAATAATTATTTACTTTATTGTTATTATTATTAAAATAAGCAGCTTGTCACTCTGGAAATGATACCCGCGATAAGCACAAGAAGTTTTCGACATAATTAAAACACAAGAAAGGCACTCTGACTTCAACAACGTGAAATAACCCCTTGGACTAATCAACAAAAGAGCAGGTCTGATCTTTTTGACGTTGACAGCCGATCACGCGCATAGAAAACTGGGTAACTGGGTCGGCCACTGTGGCCTCTGGTCAGATGGGAGCTCTCAAAAACTACAGACAAAAAAAACCCCTTACCTGGGGGCAGATTCCGATCAAGGCGTCCGCATGCGAATAAAACTCCTCCTTTAATGATATAACTATAATTTGCAGGGATTCCGTCTTTTCCGTAATGTATTTGGCAACTTTGCCGATGTTGGTGTTATCCAAGGCTGCGTCCACTTCGTCGAGAACAAAAAACGGGGCCGGTTGATAACTGTGAATGGCGAATAACAATGCGAGAGCCGCCACAGTTTTTTCTCCGCCGGACAAGTTAGACATCGGCTGAAATCGTTTGCCGGGAGCAACACAGTTGTAGTTGATGCCGTCCAGATACGGCTCCTCGGGATTTTCAGCGCCTGCATCACCCCGGTAAAGGAAGAAGGTTAGTTTTGTGTCGATAGATCAAATGTACCGTGCGAATTGTTAATGCGTATATGGTTATTAGAAAAATTGAGGCCTTACCGATGAAAATAAAAAAGGTACCGTGCTTGATAACATTTTGATTTATATATATTTTATTCAACTTGTTTTCGGGTATTGGAAAAATAAGACATTTTTATATGGTTTTGTAAAATGACGTGACTGACAACTAAAGTCACCCGTATATTTGACATATTGATAAGTGGTATAAACACTGATAAGTTATTGACACAGTTAATATTATTATTATTAAAATGGTGTTTCGCCAATTCAGCACCCGTGAAAAAAGTGATATGTTCCAAGTATATAATCAGAATAATAAAAGTGTAACTGCGAGTGGAATAATAGTATACGCTCACAGGAATAAATCAAAATGAAGACACGGTGAAACAAACCCTCAAACCCTCAAACTACCTTCTTTGAATTCTGGAGTAAAACAGTCCGCTCGGATTTTGTTATCCACTCAAAAAAGCCATCGCAGCAATGGAAAGGGGATTGACCATCACGCACACGCGAAACTCTAAGCGCCATAATTTAGAAAATCAAACATTACCGAAAACCTGAACAGGAACTCTAAAATATTTGTTTCTATTTTCTTCATTCAAAACACTTTTTTTTTCTTGGCAAAAGTTTGTCGCTCTGGATAAAGTTAATATACTGCGACGTGACGCGTAGCAGTTACCCTTTTTTTATTCTAATAGTATACTTGAAGCATACTACTTCTTTCATGAAATGCTAAATTGGCAAAACACCAGTTTAACTATAATAACTGTCTCAATCAATTAATTATGGTATTGTTGTATTGTATTATGGTAAAAATTGGTGCGCGCATTGATATTCTAGTAGAGGTTATGATTCTGACAGTCTCCTGACAGTCTGTCATCGTCCAAGTTGGTTGTTGAATGCCGCAAGGTCATTCAATTATTTTTCATAGTTGCTTCATAATATGTATTAATCAATATCGCCTAGCAACATAAGAACAACTTGAATCGTCAATTATATAATTGTAACCAGAATAAAATGTTACATTGAATGCAGATAAAATATACAGGGTTGGGGGGGGGGGGTTATATTTAAAAAAAATCAAATAAGCTGGATCAAAGAAAATTGTTAGTGTTTTGATTTTACATATCATTTAGCACAAAACTTGACTGGTAATCCTATACTTTATTATTAATTAATTATTTTATATTATTTTATTTTATTAATTTTATTTAAAAGCAAATAAGTTACAGCCAATCGAAATGTGAGTAATCAATGCAAATTGAACCCACGGTACAGGGTGGTGTTCGTTTATGATAATAACAAAAATACTTGAGACAAAAATTGTTTGGATTCACTTATACGTTTAAAATATTACATTGAGCGGTTTGTATTCTAGCGAATAAGTAACAACTTCCTGTTATTATATCATTAAAAAAATGGTGACTTTATATAAGGTGTCCTATTTGAAAAAGATGCAGATTTTGAAATATTAGCAACACAACAAGACACAACTCAAATAACAACACGGTTTTAATTGAATAATAGAAAAAAAATAAAAAAATAGGAGGGTCAGGGTGCTACAATTAATAGAAAAAGTATTTATAAAAAATCTCATTTTTATATATATCCTTCTAAATAAAACAACTTTAAATTTCTTTAATATTTTTTGCAGGTTCTGAGATAGGGTGTTATCTCATACTAGGCGGGACATTTTGTTCTGTACAAAGGTTTTTAAATTGTTTTTTGCTTTATTTGTAATTATTTATCTTTATTATTATATCGTGTTTCGCATTAACTTTTAATAACTCGTCTTAAAATTAATTAATACCTTTTAAATGACAAATAAATCAAATTGAAAATTAAAATATCAATTTTGTATTAACAAAAAACCAAATCTAGACCTCATAATAGATTGCCAAAAAACTTTAAACAGTAGCTTTTTATTATGCTTGTTCTGTAGTATATCTGTTAGAGGGATTATACAAAAATGGATAATTCTATAGAAATATTTACCACAATCAAGTGTCAACAAATGTTACGGCTTAAATGTACCATTTAAGGTATCAATGCAAAAAACATGCATGCATGCAACATGTGGCGAAGTAAGGCGACTCACCTAGGAATGCTTGTGCGGACTGGTTCTGCGCCAGTGATTTGTATATGGCGTCTATTTCGTTTGCGACATGATCGAAGCAACGGCTAAATCGTTCATAACGGTTCTGCTTGACCCGTTCGAACGCCGCTTTCGCCTTCTTGTTTTGTTTTCGTAAGTTCTCGAACTCTTCGTTAGTCGACTGCAGTTTGCCCTGGGCCAATTCTAATTTTTCTAAAGCCTTCATGTTCGGCGCCTGAATCTTGGTCAATGTGTCCTGCAGCTGTTGTATGCTTTTTAACAACTTGTTCTCTCGCTTTTTGATCTCATCCTTCTCCTCGAGATCTTTGAGATCGTCGGTCAACAGACTGTAGTCTATTTTAATTCTGAAAAATACACAAAAGTCATCGAACTGAATTTTATTTTTAACTAAAGGAACTATTGAAAAAGTAAAAATATAATATAAAAATAAATTAGTATAGTTAATCTTTACAAATTATAATTTCAAGTTTGTATAAAAGTTTACCTAATTACCTTCTATTAAACTGAATACAACTAACTAGATTCTTCCCATGATCTACGTTTTTTAAAAATCGACTCCATCTTTATTATATATTTTTATTTATTTGCACGTTCACAAAGAAGCTCCGCTCCACTTGACGTGTATAATTACAAATCGCATCAGTATGCTGACGATATTTATCATGATATTTATTGTTTGAGTTTGAAAACTCACTGCTGGCCAACAGCCAAATTAATTCTGATTTGCGAGTTGTTTCAAAAATTTCTTGTGCCCATGCTCTTTTCATAAATGAAATGAATGTTGTAAATAACGAGAACATTAATATTACCGATTCTTACAAGATACTGAGTTTGTTTTTTAACAGCAATCTTCGTTCCGAATCGCAAGATATTTTCTCTACTTATGTACATTACACAAAGTATCTTTTTGAAAACTTGTTATAATTCTCTGTACACTGTCTCGTACCGTATATTCCTCTATCAATGTTCTTTCAGCTCCGCTTCCGACTTTAGCAAACGACTTAAAACTAATCTACTGTCCAATTAATACTATTTTTTTTCCTTATTATAAAATGTATTTAAGTTTTTTTTTTGTTAAAATGTGTACAATCAAGTTAATGTTGTAAATTAATTCATAAAATCTCTTGAATTAGGGTGGCTAGGTAGGTAGGTTGCTAGATCTCGCTACCGTCATATCTTATACTGTTTTGTTCCTTATTGTTTATAGATATGCAAATAAAGACCTGTTATTATTATTATTATTCTTAATTAACCTCAGCACAAATTAAAACAAACTACTAACAAGTCTCACTCACCTTGATTCCTTTTCGTAGAGTTGTGTGGAGCTGTTTTCGCTGACCGACGACTGGCTGGGATCAGCAGCGACTACGTCTTCCATATTTCCAACCAGCATTGGCAGAGGAATATCGTCCATCTAAAACATATCGCCCCACCGTCGTGTATACAAGGCAACGTTCAAACCATGATCGTCAGCTAGGCTCACCTTACAGTGCATCAAGATCGCGTGACGATCGCTCTTCAAACTCTCAATCTTCGACTCGATTGAAACGATCGACTTCTGAATGGCTTGGACATCCTTCGCAACGGCCCCCACCTCCCTTCTCGCTTTGCCCACCTCCTCTTCCATGTCCTCAACGTCTTTTTTCTTGGTCAGCTTAAGGGACTTGAGTTCGTCGAGCTGCTTGAGGTCGTGGTCAATGTCGTCCCTCTGTTTCGCTTCCTGCTTCCGGGCCAGTTCCAGGTTCTCTTCCTCGTCGTTAACGCTTCTCTCCCAACGACTGACGTTGCTCTGGGTGTCGCGACTGCGTTCAAACTCTAGGTTGCTTGTGATCCGATTGATCTGCTTCTGGAACTCAAGCCGCTTTTGTTTACGCTCCTCCTGTGCACGGAGCTCGCGGTCTTCGTACTGCCTGATGTTGCGCACGCCGATCTCTCTGCAAAATGCCGAGAACACGTCGTCCTCGACGTTGTTCATGCGCAGCTTGATTTCTTCAATGTGTTGGTCGCGGCTCTGCATGCCGCGCTCGATAGTCTCTATCTGAGGCCCGTACTTTTTCATTTCCTCCTCGAGGGTTGCAAGTTCGCGGTTCACAATCGCTATTTGGCGATTCTGCAAGTATGTAATAATACATCTAGGGAAAACAGTGTCTATACTCAGCAATCCTAGATTAAACTCGCGAAAGCAATGATATTGAGCGAAATATGTCTTAAGTGTTCAGTTTCATGTAGAGAGCGACAGCTACACCCTATAATCTCGCTGTCATGTGGTGATTTTTTTGTACCATTTCATTACGTTTTTTGATTTCTAAGTAAAAAAGATATACTACATACCGTTTTCGAGATATTTGATGAATGAATGATGAATTTTATTAAGCTCATGTCCACTAAAAACTGATCCCAACTTCAATATTGGTTTCCTCGCGAACTGTTCCTTTGAGTTTGAGATATTTTACTAAGGCAAATTTTACTCAATATTATTTTCACGAATTTATTACTGATAGGCTAAAGTCAAATTTTTGCGACAATTTTCTAATTTAAATTCTATTTCATTTTGTATTTCTTTTTCTGAAATTAGTCAGATGTTATTTATTTTAATTTTCCTTTATATATTATATTATGCACTAATGGCTTTTATTTTTCTGCAAAATGAAGCAAAAAAAAAACAAATAATTCAAGAGACATAAGAATATTTTTTCCAAGTGTAAAATAAAAAAATTCAAAATTTAACGCCACTGGGACTGGCGAATCCACTTAGCGCTGCTCATTTTTTAAATCAACTGGTAAGCACTATTTAGGATTATATCAAAAAAACAATTCCCTAAAAATCTTTAAAACAAATATTCTCGAAGAACAGGAATACAGTTTGTCAAAGGCTCTTACCGTGCTATCCATGTCATTTTTAGCGTATTTCAACCTGGTTTCCAATCCCTTTATTTGATGGTCGACGGTGTTAAGTTCCGATTCTTTACGCGATTTTTTCATCGCTTCCCTTAATTCTTCAGTCAGTTTCTCCTATAAATACAAACAATCGGATAAAGTCGGCGTTAGCCTGATTCGTTTTAGTCAACATACCTTTTGAGCTTTGAGCTGGGACACGTGTTTTTCGTCCCACCGCTTTGCTTTACGTGCTAGATCCAGACTGCCGCCGGATATGATGCCGGATTTTTGATAGTAAGTACCGTCCAAGGCTACCGCCTGCAATGAAAAGTTGCACACTTGACAAATGCTGTGACAAATGTTAGAAATTAAAAAAATATGAGTAATTTAACTACAGAACAACTGGCCAGAACTATTTGCGACAATCGAAGATCGACGAACCAGTATCTCAAGAGACGTATCCTGATATAAAGAAACTGGAAATTACACAAGACGTCCTCGCTGATCAAACCATCAAGATGACAGTTTACTGCGTTTATGTTGAGTTATGGTGAATGGTCTATGGCTGCACGGCATTAGCTGTAGTAAATAGACGACCTCAGAAGTATATAAGAGTTATTTTAGAACCACACTTTATATAATTTGAGCCATATATTGGAGGTGGATTAATTTTAATGCATGATAATTCAAAACCACACATGGAAAACAATGAATACTGAGAGATAGTTGGATTAGAAAGTTTAAATTGCCCTGCTGTAATCTTGATTTCCTTTTATATTACATAGGTAAGTTTGTTAAACAACTTCTTTAATCAGATAGAGTAATATATTTTTAAAATTTTTATAAAATCTATATTACAAAATTTGCAGAAGAGAAGAGAAAAGAAAATTTTCGAGACGAAAATAAATTCCAACCTTTTTGATTTACCAAAGTTCAGCATTTGACTGACATAAATAACTTAGCACTACTGGTCGGTAGAAAATATGGAAAAATATTTGGAAGTTAAATGTTCTAGACTTTGGTGTTCTAGACTTATCGGGAACATTTTTTATAAATCAACGATGACTTGAGAAATCTATTTAAAAATTTTAAGGTGACTTATAGAAAGATATTTTAGAAAATATCAGAATCATTAAATTGATTGAAATTATATAGCGGCCCATCCCGTAATATTGCGCAATTCGGCGATAATATTACGACCGACAGTAAGCCCAGATTTTATTCTTGCAGGTACTTTTTGGGGGGAGTATTTAAAGCCAAAATTAATAATGAAATAAATAATACTAATGATTTGCATTTTAAGCGGATAAGGCATTAATTGTGTTCTCAGGAAGATGGAGGACATTTTCAATATTTAGCGAAATATTTATAATCACTAAATTAGTGTTTATATATTAGTATTATCTAAATATTTGTTATGTAATGAAAATATTATTCTTTGATCCATTTTTGAACAATAATAATATTCAAGATATGCCACAACTGTCAAAAATCAAAAATCACTATAACCAGTGATATATGTTTGAAATCACCATAAAATGGCTTTTATTTTTATGAAATAATATACTGGGTTTCCAATTTTAAAAAACATAATTTTGATATATTATGCTTTTTTGTCACACCTTGTATTTAAATAAGTATATTATTAAATCTACACCTAAAATAAAAATTAAAAGGCGGCAACATTTACAATGGATTACTAGAGTTTTGAATTGTAATTGCTTATTTGTATTATTCTATCGTTGTTCTTGTTAAATATTTACATGTTTATTTGGATGTGTGACTAGTCTTAGAGAAATTACTTATTGCGATATAAATGCAAGAAAATTGAACTAAAAAAAAAAGTGACTTACATCGTAACGGCCTCCGATCTCGTAAGCGACCTTGGCCGCATCTTCGGGTGTCTCGCACACCAAGGCATTATTAGTAACGAAAAGAACCGCGTTGACGATCGATTGTGGTTCAAACTGGAGCACGTCGTAGATCAATTTCACTCCTCGTGGATTCGTAATGTTTCGCAACCGTTCCCTGATTGGTTTTGTTTGAAGATAAGTGATTGGCAGGAATGTCTCCGGATCAAGCATCTGTTCCTTAAGGTACTTGATGCACTGTCTGCCAGTGTGCTCCGTGTCAACCACGATTGCCTCCATGTACTTGCCAAGCACCTTTGTGATGGCAACATTGTACCTTTTGTGGATCGGTTGGCACATATTAATTAATCTATCATACTAGAAAACACCAGAAAGCGCCAGTTGTAAATAGCAAATTTCTTTGGAATATTTATACACTCACCACTCCCGGATAGTTTGCTTTGAACCGTTCCACAATTTCTTGCTTCTTCTTTCGCCTGGTATCCTCGTGTTTATCAGTCCGTGCGTCTCCCAGCTGTTCCAGTACGTCGTCTAATTGTTTCTGAATCTCGTGTACACGATTCTTAGACGAGCCGACGTCCGATTGTAGATCCTGTAGGAGCTGTTTTTGATCGTTCAACGCTTGCTCGCTTGTGCTGTAATGACCCATAGAGAGATGTAAACAATTTGCAGCGCTTCTCACCTTTGAGATTAATTTTCAATAATTTTTTGTTTATTATATTCAGGTGTTTGAACAAATGAGACATCAAAATTGTTAAATTGCTTAAAGTTGCATGCTAAAAAATAATAATAATAATCCTTATTAATTGCACTCGTCTAAACAAAATACAAAAATAGCAACTAACAATAATTACAGTAATATCAGTTTTCTCCATCCTAAATATGCACTGTTTGTCCTTATAATAATAAACTGTCACCGTGTATTTGTTAGATTATTGATAGCGTAATGTGTGGTTTTTAATAAGTGCATATCATTTTCTGAATAATTGGCGATATTTTTGAGTGATATTTGAAATAAATTATTAATATTCTAATTAAATTAACAATAACCATTAATATCCAACCTAATAATCATCTAAGCATTGATACAGTTTGTATGCAAAATATAAAGAGAGCCATATCCATGTAACAATTGTTAGGTGACAAAATAAAGAGTTTTTATCTAAATTGGACTAAACAACATATTCATTTGGCTGTTAAATTAAAATTGTAAGCATATCATCTACATGATCGGTTTTACAAGTTACATTAATTAATGTGATTATATAATAAGAAAAAAAAATCAAAAAAACAAAAAGTCTTGCATATTTATCGCAAATATATTGTAACAGCCCTATGCCAATGAATGGATAATACTGACTTTTACCTAACATTCTCAATGTTCAAATCCCAGTAGGCTTAATACTAATAGGTTTAATTTGGAAAGTTCAGCTCTATATATTAACATAACAATTTCTTTTAATACAAAATACTTACCGGATATGCTCAGCTAGTTTCTCTATTCTCTTTTCCATCTCCTCTTTCTCATGAGTTTTCTGCAAGTGTTTGCTCTCAGCAGCCGCCCTTAATCTCGAAACATTGTCCAGTCTGTCTTGGTCGGCTTTCTGTTCGCGGTTGACTGAATCCAACTCCTGCATATACCTGGCCGATCTCTTTGCTGCCTCTTCTTTCAACCGGTGATACTCTCTTACTTGGGCGTCTTCCAAATGGACATCCCTACCCTAAAAAAAAATCGTCAGGTAATTAAAATTAAACAAAAGATCCTGGAATACCAAAATAATTTTTTTATTAAATAAATTGAAATCATACCTGGCTCTGTGATTCACCAGCTATCTGCTCCTCATATTCCTCTTTCGCCTTTTCCACTTCAGCAAGCTCCTCTTCGAGCTTGCGGATATCATTCATATGAGCATCGTGAGCCTTCCTCGCTTGATCCAACATTTTAATAGCACTGTCTACCTTCTTCTGCATGTGGGTTACCTTCTCTTTGGCTTTGATGAACTGAGGCTTTTTTTTTGATATTTCTGCCTCAACCTCCCTGATGTCCTGCTCAATTTTAGCCAATTCTCTGTTAACCTTGCCCTGCTCCTTTTTCCTTTCCTTAAGCACCTCTTCAAGCTTCTCTTTCTTTTTTTCAATTTTCTCAAGTTCTTTCTGCTTCATTTTTAACTCCTGTTCCCTATTCTTCATTGCCCGCTCATTGTGAAAGGCTCGGAAAAGCTGGTGTTCCACTTGCTTATCATTCTGCATAATCAACAAGTTAAATGTAGTACTAAATTTACTGAACACCCACCAAGTCGTCCTTCAATCGAGAATACTTGTCCGCTTCTTCTTTTTCCAATCTAGCTTCCTTACGTTCAGCATTAATCCCTTTTTTCTTTTGAAGAGCAAAATTTATTTCCTCCTGTGCTTTTTGCATCTGTTGTTTCAACTTCTCATATTCCTCTCTCACAGCACCAGACCTACGTGGCGAGCAGTGTAGATCAAAATTTAAACTACCAATACAAATACTACTTACCCGCTGATTTCTTCAAATAACGCTGTCATTTCTTTCGGATTTTTCATTGCAACTGACTCAACTGCGCCTTGGAATACCAAGAAGTTTTTGGCCTTTACATTAATTTTTAGTTTTTCTAATTCACATAGATATTCGTTGCTTGTAACGACCTAGTGAAAAATCAACAAAAGATTTTTTAAGGATAACATTTACTTGATTGGCGCATGCCACTTGAAAACTAGTTGCAAATATTGCTTGTCATGAAAACTGTACCTATATGGTGTAGTGCTACATTATATATAGAATATATAGGATACATATATTGTATGTGCAAGCCTAAACAATATTAAAAAGCTTAGATAATATTGTTCTGATCAGCACACAATAAGAGTCCATATGGGGTAGTAAGTACTATCTAAATTGTGAACCTAACAATAACTAAAGACAAAAAGTGTCAGACTCAGGTTTATCTTTGTGATTACAACAGTTCAAGTCGACCTGTGGTAAAATAAAGATTAAATTGAGAAAAAAAATACTACTTCACTGAAAACAATATATAAGTAATAGGGCAGGTTTCCTTTCCTAGCCACAATTTAGTCTGCCTACAGAGGTTTATTGACAGCAACAACATCAAAGAAATAAATATTACTTAATGCATATATATATATATATATATATATATATATATATATATATATATATATATATATATATATATATATATATATATATATATATATATATATATATATATATATATATATATATATATATATATATATATATATATATATATATATATATATATATATATATATATATATATATATATATATATATATATATATATATATATATATATATATATATATATATATATATATATATATATATATATATATATATATATAATGATATATCGTAATATTAAAAAATAGAGTTTTAATACTTAAAAAATATATCAAACTAAAAAATAAAGCCCAGAAAATAATATCTAGTTTTATATTTGATTTCAATTTCTTTTCTCTCTTTTTCCTAAATAAGTTTACAGGAAATTTATATATTTTTTGATGAAAAAACGGAAATATATCCTTGCATTTAATTTTTTTGAGAAAATAAATGTATAGTGATGTAGGAAAGTACCCACTAGGAGCAATATAAGCAATCTAAACGAATCAGCCCAGGACAACGTTTATAGCCTAAAAAGAGTCCTTTCCAAAAACTACAAGTTTGCTAAATGTGTTCAGTCACTTCCCACTGCTTTCCTTTAAGAGATAGAACAAAACCTAATTAAAGAAAAAGAATTGAATCTATACCATGTTTGCAAAGGTGACCATTTTAGCTATTTGTAATATAAGATTATTTTTCAAAAAACAAAATTTAAAATTCAAAATTTTGATTAAACTCCCTACCCTACAAATTTAAAAATAATTTTCACTGTTTTCTCTTGATCACTTTAGTGTTTAGTTTTTTCACCTTAAGTCTTTACAACATCTACTTTTTCAAATAGGGCCCATTGTCCTTAATTGGTCACTTGGTATATTGCCCAGGTACTCACACTTCCATTTATTTTATATTCAGACGATGAACCCTGCACTGAACGCTGGAATGAGACTTCTTTTTCGGGATCTCCACTGATCACAAAAACTGCAGTAACAGAAGCACTCCTTGATACAGGTTTACTTATAGCAGCCCCATGAATCAAATCACTAAGCCTTTTCACTCTAAGGCTTTGAGTTCTTTCGCCCATAACGAAACTGATCGCATCCATAAAATTGGATTTTCCTATTACAAAATTAGTTAGAACAATGTTTTAATACTTTGGCGGGATTTTATATACCTGAACCGTTAGGGCCGATTACAGCATTGAACGGTTTCAGCGGCCCGATAATTCTCCGACCTTTATAAGATTTGAAATTTTCTACTTCGATGTGCTTTAGTTTCGCAGTCATGGCGCAAATACTTTACTTTTATTACAGGTAAACTCTGATAAACTAATGAAAAAACAAATATCAAGGGAAATAATCATAACACAACGAACACCACTGAAAAATTAGTGGTCTTGCTTTTCATAGATAAGGGGTACTTTATTAATAGGAAAGGCCGCTCTTACATTATCGACAAGAAAGTTATTTGCATTTGTACTTCTGAATTTCTCATAAAAGGAATTTTATTTCCATTTCCATAACCCAAGGAAAATAAAAAGAAAAGGATGTATTATCATGATGTTTCCTATCCTCGTCGAAAAATGTTTGATGCAATATGTATAAGAGGATCGAAGTAGTCTGCTCTTTTGATGCTGTTATTCTGACTGTTAATAAAATAATTTTCAATTGAAAAGAAAATTTATGTTACCAACAATTTAACAAACACCAAATCTTTGAATTCAGAAACTTACAGCACGTTACACATTCTTAATAGCGTTCGGCTTTCAGTGAGCTGTGCATGGTAATCACTACATACATTTTCGAAGAAGCGAAAAACTTTTCCATATAAATAATAATTGCACTGAACCTAAGTAAAAACATAATAAATTCGAAGTCTCACGATTTTTTGGAAGCTTCAACGATTCATCTTGTTTAAAGACACATTATAAAATGAGTTTGAAATGCTTGCTGTTGAAATTACTAAATATTAAAGAAAAACAGTTTATGACTATTTGATTTTTGTTGAATTGCTTTAGTAGAAGAACAAATAATAAAATAAACCAAAGTTATAAATTGGATCACTATAAAAAATCATAGGCTAAAACAATGGGCGAGTAACATAGCTGATTTGTTCATTATTAAATAAACGTAAAAAGAAGAAGAAGAATATTACTGTGACTTAGTCTTTGATTATGTGGAGTTGTTTTAAATTTTGAAAATGTCCAATCAAAGATATTTTATTTTTGTGCGATCACAACTTGATATAAAATAAATCGCAATAATAAAGCGCATTCTTTTGATGACAAGATTATGCGTTTAAAATGCAGTAAAACACTGTTTTATGCTGTTGCTTTGATAAATATTTTGTTTATTTTTGCACGAGTGTATAATGCGTTTTTAGACTGGGACGTCGGTGTAAAGAATAAATTATCAAAGGGCCCTTCTAAACCCACACTGACTAAGCGGCTAAGCAGATTGGTTACGGTAATAATAAGAGAGTTTGAATCCAATGAAAATGATGTATTGTCAACTGCTCAAAACTTTCTCAACTTCTTTCCCAGCATGGTTGTATGGGTTTTGTACAATGACGTGATTTACCCCCCTCTGGATCTTGTGGCAACAAATAATTCCCAGAAAAACATTAGACTTCATAACCTCTCTCCAAATCTGAAAGGAAAGTTTGATGTTGCCTACCACATTAATACAAAATATGTGTTGTTTGTACCCGATGCAGTAAAAATAACGTCGAGGCTGCCGTTGAATAATATGGTGAGCCGATTAGAGAGTTACCAAGACCGACTTGTGGCTCTGGGAGTTAACGATCATTTAGATTTGAAATGTTTAAAGATTCATTTGAACATACGAGAGTGGTCACTTAAATATAGCTCTTCAAAAGGAGTTACATGCGACGGAGTGTCAGGAAAGCATTTGCTAATGATGGAAAAAGCAGTAATGCAGAAGTTGCACGATCCGTTTTTGTTTCCTTTCCCGCAAGCTTTGTATGTACAAACTGCAGCCCAAAATCTAAAGGTAAAGAAAAGTTGCCATTACTTTCATATATCATTTTATGTTACTATTTTAGGTTAGTATCATAAAAGGCTTTTCCGTATTCATAGGCCGCCCTATTCTGAGGTCCCATCACTCACAAATAAAGAAAAAGCAGAATGACCGAGAAAATTTTAAAAAGTTTTATCATGTGTTTAAAATTAAGCAAGTGATTCGGGAGAATGGAGCTACAGAGTGGTATGGGTGCAGCAGGGACACAAACATGTGTTTTGGCTCAGTCATCAATTCAATGCCCTCTTATTTGTATGAGAGAAGGTGGACACCCCCATGTTGTTTAACTAATTTACGGAAGACTGCCCGACATGTTTTTGCAACATTGGATGAGACGGGTATTCGGTACTGGTTGGAGGCTGGTAGTCTCTTGGGGGCCATGAGAAGTGGAGACATCCTACCCTGGGACCACGATGTCGACGTCGGTTACATGCGGGACGATTTACTTAGATGTAAAGCCCTAAAGAGAGCCACAGACAAACCAACCGTGGACAAAAAGGGTTTTCGTTTTCTTTGGGAAAAGGCAACCGAAGGTAATTTTTACAGGGTGTTTTTTAGTAGAACGAACCGAATTCATGTAAATCTATTCCCGTTTTATACCAAAAATGGGACTATGGTCAAGGATTCGTGGTTCACAGGCCATAAAAATGTTGAATTCTCAGAATCATTCTTGCATCCGATGTCAAGTATTGATTTTGTGGGGCGCAGTGTTCCCAGTCCCAACAACATTAGGGATTTTTTGGAGCTCAAGTTTGGCAAGGGTTGCATTGAGAATCCTCAATATCCCGATCCCTCCAAAATGAGTTTCCCATAACCTTTTTGCTCTACTATTCTCGGTACTATTCTCGGTCTAATATAGAATGTCCCTTCATCATTTTTGATGTTCTTGAGTTGTCTGGTGCTGCTAAACACGTGATATACTGGTGAATTCATAAGGATTTTTTACCATAAAAATCTTTTGTATAACTGATATTGAAAAGTCTCTAATTTTGAATTACCAAATAAATAATGGAATGTTCATATTCCTATACCTGTAAAGAAAAGGTAATGAAAAATATTATCCCTCCATAGGGACATTTCAAGTGCAGCAAAAATACACGGAAGAAACAATAAAGATGTTTCACTGCTATCATTGGACAATACAAACCCTAAATCTTTACCTATGTGACAACAGCCTACCTTTCTTGTTTCTCTCTTGTAGCAAATTGTATTTTTATTGCATTACTATTTATGTGTCTGTTTTCAGATATTAGCTAATAGACTCATTATCCCAATGGTATTATCTATTTGATTCGAAGAATATCGACTTTTGTTACACTCGAGATTTGCCTATAGAGGGATATATTTCGATACCAAGAATTTAATTGTTATGTCAATGACTGGCACCATGATTTCTATGATATATTTTTTTATTATTCAGTTAATTTAGAAACCAAATTGCAATAAAATTCTAAGAAATAAAAATGCTAGTAGTTCACACCAAAGATTGGGTATACTCAAACTGATATTGAAGTTCACGTTTTTTTTGTCAGGGTCATTAGATTTTAATAAATCGTTAATACCAATTTTGAAAAGCTCAAAACAGATTTTGACATCAAGTCATTCTATTGCATTCCTTTTCCCTTATAAGAAAATGTATATTTGTAACATTTATTCAAGTAATATGACAGAACTAAGGCTTACTTAGGCCTATAAAAGACTTCAATGTCGCAGTAATAGTTGCTAGTTAACGAAATGTGTTCCAGGCTAAACTGTAAATTGTACTTTTGTGCCAAATAAAGGTTTGCTTGACAATTTAATTCGGTTTTTTAATGTTACCGCTACTTAAACAAAAATATTTAAAACCTCTTGTTTTAGTTACTTAAATCCCTTTTGTTAGCTATAATTAAGGAGATAAAATTGTTAATGATTTTGGCTTGTGCGAGTTACGATTTGAAGTTGTTAAGAAATAATTTGCGATAGATCTAAAATAAGGAGGTTGACGTGCCAAATAAAACGAAACATATTATGCACAATGAGAAGTTCGTGAAAGTTGTGAGCAAGTAGTAATTGGGGAACGCCCCTTTGGATTGAAATTTATAAACAAGAATTGTGCTGTATATAAGGTCGTAGCCAACGGCTTTATGTTGTGGAAGATTATTTTCAGTTGGGAGTTAAAAATTAAATGTGCAAGCCGGCGTTTGTAGAAATTAGCAATAAATCGCGTTGCTTGTAGTTGTAAAGGTGGTTTGTCGCTAAATTGCAAAAATATGCCTGTTAAAAGGTTTAAAAAATAAAATGTTTACATCGAAAACCCTTCTTGACGTTTCTTCAGTGGCACCCATCAGTCAGAGCAACTTGGTTTGTGTGTGTTGAAGTTACTAATCTTTTCCTTTAATGTTGAACAACCGTATGAATCCATAAAGGCACTGAAATGCTAACGATATTAAATGACTTCTTTTTTTTTCAAGAAATATGCACATTAACCGTACAACGCAAACGCGAAACTCATATAAAAACAATGTCAACCTTTCAAATTTTACCTCGGAAGTAGCTTAATATACCTTCCGTGAGAGGTCTCATTGGATTGTATAATCGCGATGTAACGCACCTTATAAAACCACAGTCCGAAATTAAAATAAGATAGCCGTAGGTTCTATTTATACACTAAATATCCATTTGGATCCGTTTCGATATTTAGTTTACTGTTACTCTTGCCGAATCATAGATCGAGGTGAATGATAGACCCCCTCTCGATGTGTATGATACCGGCAAGTATACACAAAATGATGAAATATAAAAAGAAAGTTGTCTCAGTCATTTTCATCCTGTTGTGAGATAATCTGAGACAGATTTAAGATTCAGTGTCCGAATTATTTATTTCTCACGTGGAAAGTAAAGGAATGCATGAAACACTTCAAGTATCCAAATATATTTTCTGATGAAGACGCAACACTCGTGTATATGTATAAATATATAAAAATGAATAGCGAATAGAAAAAATCCTGTACAAGGTGTGCAAATACGCATCACTTAGCAAAGTCACCGTAGCCCCGCAGCTCTGAGCTCCATCAGCGCGCTCTGGGTGATGATTCCGTGTGACTTATTGTAACTGTTGAATGACGCGTACACGGTGTTCTTCGGTATCGACCTCTTCTTGGGTGCTGCTTCGGAAGTGGACTTCAGGTGCCCTTTGTAGAAGTCGCCGGCCGCTTTCAACACGGGGGTGGCCTGCGTTTGCTGCTGTCTCGTCATCGGCACCGTCGAGTCCGACTTATTCAGCTGCGGCCTCTGCAGGCCTGCGCCGGAAATTCGGTGCTGAATTTTAGACTCGGACTGCGACTGCGCGTGGCACCTGCTAGCGTGCGATCTGATATATTTCTCCGCATTTCTGGATACGTTGGAATAAACATCTGGCACTGGATTTTGTTTCACGCCACGTGGCTTCGCCACACCGGATCTATGAGGGTGATGGTGAACGCACATTAGTTCATATAGTTTGTTTCGGTACTCGTCTACTGAGAGTCTGACGTCGTCGTTCAGGGGAATAACCACAGTGGACGTCATCGTTACTTCTTGCCCGGGATCGTGGAACTTGGCGGTGTACTCGTGCTGTAACGCCTGATCCGCCTTGAGGCGTTTGTGTGGGTTGAATACCAGCAGTTGGGAGATAAGACCTACAGCATCGGAAGGTATTCCGGAGCCCAAGATGGTCCGCAGCGGTATCTTCTGACCCAAGGAAGCGTTTTTGATCATGGAGGACCCTACGCCCGATATGCATACCTGGCCGATGTCTGCAAAATGATTGAAAATTTTCGACACTTGTGTCCGGGCACACTTAGGAAAGGAGATGTCATATTTACTCCGGCTCTTAAAAAAATAAAGCGAAAATAGCTAAAACCTTTCCGTTGGAATTGTTCCAGCAAATCATCAAAATAATATGAATATATGAAAATTACTGCTAATATTCAATTTTTCGAGTAACTTACTTATCCTTAATTGCACATGGAAGTGGTTTTCGCAGTAGTGCACTATGCAAGCAAAATTTCTCTGAAGCTTTTCGTTTTTATATTAATATACAATGACAACTTCATTATTAGAAAATCATTTAAATTAAGAAAGTAACGTTAGAAAAAAGAATTCATTTTTTAAAAAAATGTTGTATTCATAATGATCTCTATTTTCTTGGCATGTTTTAATAATTTTTTAAATGTTATTTAAAATTTTTGTACCTGAGATTATTGATAAATCCCAATGATTCTCAGTAAAAATAAGCTAAAAAACGAGGGTCGGATTACTTTTGGCCTGACTTCGTATACTTATTCTGATAACGGCACTGAATTCTATGCAAATAATTTGTATTACAAATTTTTTTTTGGCAACCTAATAATTTTCAGGGAATTGGCAACATATATCACTTATCTGCAATCTATTTAGATTTAGGAACATCTAATATCTAATAATTGATAAAACGATTAGGAAATTTTGACTGATGAAAAAAATCATGATTGAGGTATTTTGCGACTAAACTAATAAACTTTAAAAATTAAACTTTCACATCCTTGTGTGCACCTGTCTGCAATTAGATGAACCTTTCATTAAAACCAAATGTATTTATCTTTCATCCATGTTTATAACAATTTTGCTCTGGATGCAAAGACAGGATAGTGCACAGCATGTTCCGCTTAAAATTTCGTTTTATGTGGATGTTATGTTAAGCAGAATCCACCAAAACTTAATAACAATATTTCTCACATAATTCAAATAATTCTCAACCCAAGAAAATCAACATTCTTTCTAGTCAAGGTATTGCAGTCTCACCTTCCGGGGTAGGCGTAGGTATAGCTGCCATTATCTTCTCCACCTGGTTGACGGTGGAGGTACCTGGAAAAATCGGCTTCCCTAACATCATTTCCGCCAGTATGCAGCCTAAACTCCACATATCGATACCCTTGGTATACCTGGAAATCTCACCATAATAATTATACGTTTTTAATAGCAAAGGTACCTTCTATTTGCGATTAGTATCTCGGGCGCCCGGTACCATCTCGTGGCTACATAGTCAGTCAACGTTGGGTCGCCATCTCCAATGGCGCCTTCAGCGCCTTGGGTCAACGATCTAGCCAAACCAAAATCTGCAATCTTGCATCTGCCAAAAAAAAAGCCAATTCGACACCGGTTACAGTCTGATAGACTAAAGGCGCATTATAAATAAATAAACCTGAGGGAGACTGGTAGTAATGAGTATTCTGTTCTGAACGTTAATATTAATGTCAGACAAGTGTAATAAGATATTGTTTTAGAATATTTCTCATTTTTTCTGCCTATTTCGGCTTTGTAACCCAAAAACGATTTCTTACATTCTCCGAAAACGTGGATATGAGCCCACAGTACTTAAAGTAAAGTGACTCACGACAGTGTTTAATAAAGGTAACGTTTTAAAATGCCCACACCTGATCAGTGCATAGTTGGGTAATTTAGAGTAGGAAGTAGAAAAGGTACTCTATTTTAAATTCTCAAGTCAATGTCTGGACCTTATGGGAAATAAATTGATACAAAATTTGAATGATATAGGCGTTTGTTCTCTCCTTACACTTTGCAACTTCTGAGGGACTTCTAATATGTATCTTAGATATATTTTTACACATAAAGCTCTCTGTACATACATGAAATAAATAATTAAATACTACTTTAAATGAATAAAAAATTAAATGTATTTGTATTGTTTATTAGCCATACTATAAAAAATAATATGTGAAAATACTATACCGGCACAGGCTGTCCAATAGCACATTACTAGGCTTGAGGTCGCGGTGTATCACATTCCCGGAATGGATGTACTTGATGGCTTTCAGCAGTTGGTACATGATGTACCGCTTGTGGATGTCCTTCAAGATGTTGCCGCGCTTGATGACGTTATGCAAGTCCGTTTCCATATACTCGAAACCAAGGTATATGTCCCTATTGTTGGCCGCTCTATGAAAATCAATATGTGTGTTATCGGTGCAACAACCCACCATCCCCACGTTTTGGGGAGAATAAATAGTGTTTAAATGATTATCAGTTTGAAAAATTGTGCTGTGTTACTTTTATCGGAAATTTATCGATCGAACGCATTGTGGAGTGTCCAAAGCATAATTTAATTACATATTTTTTTAAATCTGGAAAACTATTGAATTTGGTTTTGGAGACAAAATTGTTCAGGATACCTCGCATACCTGCCTCAGATCTCTCATAACATTAGTATTAAATCCACTAATTTAAGTACCTGTAATTAGTTCTCTAAAAGCTGAAGCACTCAAGCAACCCATTCAACAAGCAAAAAGCGAGTGAATATATTTTTGTAGTCTCAATTCCCAGGTTTCCCTAAACGAATTTAAATTTTAATAGTAACAAAGACCAAAGTTACATTGCTAGAAAGTGTAAAATTCATGTAACCGTCAATTATTATCCGAAATTATTGTCTGAACTACCATACATGCTTCAATGTTAGAAAGAAAAATTTGTTTTTCCAAAGCTATGAACCAATCTGCGTTGTCGGTTGAATATTGTCACCTATTCTTTTGGTAATAGCTCTAGTAGCGTAAACTAGGCTGGCGCTGAATTGAGATAGTAAAAAAAACCTTATTAAGTTAATCCCAGTTTGATGAAGTTTTAAAGTTTCAAATGTTGTATTTATTTGTTGTAGAATAGTTTTATTCGATAAGTTGTGGTTAAATATTGTATTGTTGTCTAGAACATCTCTTGTTGCACAAGAATTTGGTGAAGTTATATGAAAAATGCTTGAAAAATTCAACTTTGTGGCGGGTGATCATTGTTAATGCGAGAAGTTGTAAGTCCCAACTAATTTATTGGGGCAGTATTTGTTTATCGACAACGGGTAAAGTTAAAATTTCAATAATTGCCAATAAGCGCTTTTTGCCTTTCTCAAATTTCAAGCATTTTTAGTATTACTAAAGAAAACAAAAATGTTGATCATGGACGCGAAACTATTTTTTACAAATCGCCATGTATTTCCGAAACTAACCGAAATTTGGGAATGGTTAACAACCTGCAAAAATGTCAATTTTTTTCTAATTTGAAGAAGTATAATGTCGAACAAGTTGGCCATGGAGCGGGAATTCAAAGTTTTCCAACATATCACTGCGATTTTTTTATAAATATGCTAACATTGTTTTATAGCTAAATTTACACTTTAATTTATATTTATATTAAACATTTTAAAGTAAGAATGGATTTTTCACCGATGAAACTCTACCCAAATCCGTCAGCTTTCAGCATTTGTATGCGCGAAGTACCGAAATACGGTTCTGGCACGTCATTGTGGAATTGCGAAACTATTTATTTTTTCAATTCTAGATTTGAAAATAGGGTAAGTTGTAAGTCCCAACTAATTTATAGGGACAGTATTTGTTTATCGACAACGGGTAAAGTTAAAATTTCAATAATTGCCAATAAGCCCTTTTTGCCTTTCTCAAATTTCAAGCGTTTTTAGTATTACTAAAGAAAACAAAAATGTTGATGATGGACGCGAAACTATTTTTTACAAATCGCCATGTATTTTCGAAACTAACCGAAATTTGGGAATGGTTAACAACCTGCAAAATTGTCAATTTTTTTCTAATTTGAAGAAGTACAATGTCGAACAAGTTGGCCATGGAGCGGGAATTCAAAGTTGTCCAACATATCACTGCGATTTTAGTACGATAGAACTTGCTTCTAGTTGGAAAATATGTGTAGAACATGTCATCGAAGAAAAAAATGTTTACAGATGAGTCCAGTAACTATAGTGATTATTTTGATGTAGAATAACTTTTTTTTATAAATATGCTAGCATTGTTTTAGAGCTAAATTTACACTTTAATTTATATTTATATTAAACATTTTAAAGTAAGAATGGATTTTTCACCGATGAAACTTTACCCAAATCCGTCAGCTTTCAGCATTTGTATGCGCGAAGTACCGAAGTACGGTTCTGGCACGTCATTGTGGAATTGCGAAACTATTTATTGAGAGTTAGGAAGAGAAACCCAATTGAGGAAGGCCTGCGGTTAGATCTTCATATAAATTTACCAAAGTTAAATACCGGATAATGTCGTAAAAACGGTATATGGTTCGGAGAACTCTATGACAATTTGTGTGTGAATTTGAAAAGATTTTGGACAAGTATTACTTCAGTGTATCTGAAAATCAAGAATCTATCGGTGGATACACTTCACAACTATAACACAACTAATACAACGTTCTGGACGCGCGTTCGCTCACTAGGTTAACATCATAATCATCATACACTAAATTGTAGTTTATATCGTAATATAAACTAAACTGTAATTATGTCATGATGTCTAAGTCTAAACTGTAGTTTTTATTATGTACTTAAGTTAAGTGAAGGTAGTCTAGTAACCCAATTAGCGAACGCGCATCTTAAACGTTGTATTAGCTGCAATATCTCGGTAAGCAGTAAGTAAACACTTAGTGCTAAGTTTGGCTTTCTTTTTAATGATAATGCTGTGTTTGTGAATTCCAGTATGCATATTATTTCAGTTGTTTCAATAAAGAAACACTGAGTGTGCTCAAGAAAAGGCAGAACTTTGTCTCGCAATGAGGAAAAAATGTTCTTGCTCAAAACGCCACAGTTTTATTTCTAATTCCTTTCCTATGGCAAAATTTCACACGTACCTGTGAATGCTGTGCAACCTTACGATATTCGGATGGCCCTTGAACTCCTGCAGGAACATGATCTCTCTGAAGGTCCTCTGGGCATCAGTCTGATTGCGGAACGCGTCGAAGATCTTTTTAACCGCAACCACCTCTTTGGTCTTTCTGTCCACAGTCTTCCACACGATCCCGTAGGCTCCCTTACCGAGCCGCTTCTGCACGTCAAACCTTTTGGCGATGTGCTCGTCGATCTCGGACATACGGTCCTTGACGTTCTGCTGGGCCATTTTTCGATTAATGTTTTTGTTACGAAACCGAATTCATTTTGTTGTAGGGACGATGTCGCGACGACTGACGTGCGTATAAATGACGGCGCGTCGCGTATACTGCCCGATGTTTTGTCATTAAAATGTGACTGCATAAATATATCTGTCTGTCTGAAAAATAGACGGGATTGTTTATCCGCGATATCGGTGACCGGGTGAAGGGGAGAAGAGTGCGGGTCGTCAAGACGACGGGGGCGCTTGTTGGTTCTCGCCGGGCTGTCATGTGACCGCGCGCAATGTGACAATTTTTTTCATGTTATTACTTATTTACGGACGAGTCGGTCGAATCGGGCAATAGGCAATTGGATCAATGAACGAGGTCAGTACAGCCTTCGGTGAATAATTTAGTATGAGTGTTGGTCCTCACCCGGAAGGGTTTAAAAATTGTAATAGGTCGCCTTTAAAAGTAGCCCAAATACGTAATTTGGGTTTTATTTGTTTTTTTTTATAAAACAATAGTTTATAAAATTTAGATCTTCTAAAGAGTGGTTGAAAAACTGGTATAACAAGCGGGCCTAATAAATGTCCAAATACATATACTGGATTGTTCTAAATACAAAAATATTAATATCCGAAAGAAACTATTCTTTAACAGAACCCCACACTCAACATGGTGGCAGCTACGGATCTAGAAATAAAAAAGGGTTCCAAGGATGGCCCACAAAAAATAAATTAGACCCTGTCTTAATACCCAATTATCAATCGAGTTACGAGTTTTCACTCTCTAAAAATTTGTTACTCGGAGGTTACAATCGAATTGTTATACCCCACATTACAATTACGTTTTAAAATTTATTCACGAATTATATTTTTGTCTTGCACAACGTAGACATCGAGCAAAGTCATCTGTTTAGTGGCTCGTTTTATGTACTCAAAATAGAAAGTTTCGTCAGAAACTGTCATCAATGCATTGAACATCGAATTAATCCAAAAGAACCAATGATAAGCAGCCTTACATCTCTTTAAGTATAATAATGTATGGTACTTAATAATTAGTGTTTTTTTGAAATTATTAAGCTTTGTAAAATTACAATACAATATTTCTGAAGTAGGTGCGTTCAGATAATGGTCCACAATCTCGTAGTGAATTTTTAATTTTTTCCAAAGAATTTGATTTTACAAGCAATGCTCACTTTCCCAATCTAAACTATGAGTTGAGTCCGCAGTTAAATTAGCAAAAATTTAATTAAGGATAACATTCATAAAGCGTTATTAACCTATAGAATGTATGGCAGAAAGATTAGGTCCTTTCTTCCAATGTTGCCAGTTAAACGATTTAGTACGTTTAAGTTCATTGAAAGAGAGAGAGGGAGGATTGATCTAAAGGTTATGTTAAACAGTTTAATACACACTGTACAAAAAATAATATGTGATTTAAGAATAGGAAATTATATCTGGCTGTATTGATCGACGAGATCGGCAGCATTTAATTCCTGCACCGTTCTATATAGCAAAAACTAACCAACAGTTTACCTCCACATCAATCTTGCCCCAAAAAATTTTTTTTTAGAAATGACTCTTCCTAGAGGGTTAAAAAACCTCAATATTTGAAAGGGTATATAAATGTATAAAATATATATTTTATATATAAATATATAAATTTCATTTTAATATTTGACTAAAAGAAGGAAATGTCAGTCTTAAGTCAATCTGAAGTGCCCTGTTCGTGTCAGACAACAAAAACTCAGGCGGATCTAATAGATATACCAAATATATACGTTGTATACTGGATTGTTTTAAATAGGAAAAAGTTATTAATATCTAGAATCACCGATTGTTTAAAAGAACTCCAAACACAACAGATTGTTTCTACCATTAACAGAAAACGAGAAATAAATATAAAAAACTATTAATATGCAATAAAGCTACAAAAAAAGAAATAACAATTTCAGCATCATCACAAAAACTTTATATGCCATTTGTAAACTTTATATTAAATAGTCATTATATATTCTCATCATTTTTAAACATAATATTTGAATTCGATTTTTATTCAATCAAGAAGACATCTCGGGTAGGTACACAAACTGCTTGGCCAAAAGTATAATATAATAATAATATTGTACTTAATTTTTGGCATAACTACGACATATTAATAAATAATAAACGGTATTTCAAGACTATGTTAATTGCGCTTAACTTCCGCGTTACTGAGTTAGCAACCTCTTCCAGAGGAATGCCTACATGATAAAAAGATAACAGTAAAAAGAATCATCAACAGTCAACAAAGTATTAGGTTGTTCGGAAAGTCATTTCGTTTTTTTTGGGGAACATGAATGACAGTTTTCGTATAATGAATAAATATTTTATTAAATTATATATTGGCCATTCTGGTCCAACACCTTTTGGCATCTTTCTGGCAGTAACATAATTCGCCTCTCATAAAAGTTTTGGTGCTTGCTGGCAAAAAACTGGTTCAGGTGGTTTTTGACATCTTCATTTGAGGTAAAGGTTTTGCCATCCAAAAAATTTTGCAGGGACCGGAACAAATAGTAGTCGGAAGGCGCCAGATCTGGAGAATATGGTGGATGTTGCAGTACGTCCCATTCAAGCTGTAAAAGTTTTTGGCGAGTGACCAAACTTGTGTGAGGTCTCGCATTATCCTGGTGGAACACTACACCCTTCCTGTTGATTAATTCGGGCCTCTTCTCTTTAAGTGAATCATTCAATTTGTCCAGTTGATGACAATAGACTTCTGAATTAATCGTTGTATTGTCCGGCAAAAGCTCAAAAAAAAAACGATTCCTTTGACATCCCACAAAACGGAGAGCATCACCTTTTTTTGGTGAATGTTGGCTTTTGACACGCTTTGAGCCGGTTCATCTTTTCCGCTTCATGACCTCTTGCGTTTAACATTATTGTATACAACCCATTTTTCGTCCCCAGTAATAATCCGCTTCAAAAATGGATCATTTTCTTGACGTTTGACGAGCGAATCACACACGTCAACGCGACGACACAAATTTCGCTCCGTAAGGACATGGGGCACCCACACATCGAGCTTCGAGGTTAAGCCCATGCCTTTCAAAACAGTCGAATTCGACAAATTTAATCTCTCACCGATCTCTCGTGTGGTTATTCGCCGATTTGCATCAACTAATGCCTTTATCGCATCTTTGTCAGCTTCGACCGGCCTTCCAGACCGTGGTGCATCTTCGACATCAAAATTGCCGGATCGAAATTTTGCAAACCAGTTCTGGCACTGGCGTACTGCTAACACGCCTTCTCCATACACATCCGTCAATTTTTTTCTCGCTTGGACAGCATTTTTACCTTTTCTGAAGTAAAAAAGTAAAATATGATGAAAATGCTGCTTATTGCTCTCCATATTTAAAAGGGCACCAACCAAAAACTACTGCGTAGAATTAATAGAACTTTTTCACACACAAGTCTTGCAATACCAGCTCTCAAGACATATAATGGTTATGCGGCTTAAGTGTGAAGTTGGTTGCGAAAAAACGTAATTAAGTCCTCTGACGGGAAAAAACGAAATGACTTTCCGAACAACCTTATATAATTTCCATTGCAAACCTGTGTGTGCGCGTGTTTAGTATAATGAAACACCCTGTATCTTTTTAAATAATTTTATTAATTATTAGTTTTTTTATGAGTGGGTCTAAATCTAAATCATTCACTGGAGAGATGAGGAAATACAATTTCAAATAGCCGTCGAGAGATTCGAAGGATTCAAAATAAGTAAAAAATATGTGTCACTGATAAACACACGAATATTTTATTCTATGAAAAATTCTGAAAATTTAAGGTAAAAATCTGAAATTCATATTCAATCACCGCAAGAACATGCATTAAATTTAATAAGCCCTATCCAACTTGCTCCCGATGAATGAAAAAACAAACTATATATTTACTATAAATTTCATGAGTATGCTCATGCATGCATCAACTTTAAAAATTATTATTTGGCCTATTTGGAAACGACGGTGGAAAGATAGATAATTATTTTCATGTTGGATGTTCTTCGCCAAATTTTCTAAAAAATTGTGTTTATCTTCGAAATAGCTGTAATACATTGATAGTTTTAGAATTTTTGGTTGATACAAATTTCATGAAATTACAATAGTTGGATTTTATAATTGCCAATTTAAAAGATTTGCCCACAGTTTTACTGTAACGTAAACAGAGCATGTTGACTGCCAATGATCAACGATCAACTACCACGATAGAAATTAGGCAAAAAAGTTGCTAATGGAATGGTGATGCGTTGGCCTATTGGCTTGCAGGAAAAACGGTCAGCGTAAGCTATTACTATTAGTGAACGAAAACTTTGCAGTCGCCCGCCCCTTATATAATTCTGTCCCATACGTTTAAGTAACTCTCCGCCAGATGTCGCACGCCGGGCTATTTTACATTGAGAATATTGGTGAGAATAATGGTGCAAAAATGGGAGATATATTTAAAAAGTTAACGCGAACATATATCCTCTGGGACCACGTTTACTAGCATGTACACACCTGCCTCAAAAATGGATTCTTCTTCCCCTTCTAGATGACTATCTGATTAAAATAATAGAATAAAACTTGGAAATATTAATCTATGTGATTATAATAGATTATATTATTCTATTATAATTGTTTCTAAATTATATATATTATATTATATAATAAAAATAAATAAAACATATTATAGAAGAAAAGGTAAGCAAGGAAAAAAATTATGTAGCTTATTCAATCGCCGTAAGACGAAGAAAAATCTAAAGAATTCGAAGTTTGAAGAAATGTTTTGCATTGCGAATGCAATTTTAGAAATTTCTTACTGCAATAAACAATCAAAATTGAACAAATAAGACATTGCAATAATATGTTTTTTTTTTTAAATAAAGCGAGGTGATTTGACAAAATTCCACATAGGGAACTAATTTTGCTGCATATCGCACTTTTTTAGGTGCAACATCTGCAGTTACAGTTTAAGTAGTCTTACATAGCTAGTCAACTTTTTTTTTAAAAAAAAGCTAAATTTTAAACCTAGATGTTTACTACTCATTTTTATCTTGAATTTCAATGATTTAACTGATACTCGCTTTCAAACAGATGATCGATCAAACGGATAAGGGATGTCAACTACAGGTCCGAATGAGCTTTTTATACGTCGCATTGCAATATGGGGGGTGCCTGAAAGGTCATCAATTTCTATGTGGCATCAGGTGCTAGTGCACTTGAACAAGTTTTTTCATTTACGTTTAAACA